TTCTTTTTGGAACACTTTTAAAGTACGCTATTGTCCATTTAGTTATAGGCATTGTTTCTCCTTTGCTTTCCAATTAATATTAAATTCTGCATTTGAGGGGACCATTTGGTGGACATTTTAATAAGTTTCTACATTTCTTGGAATCACGCGAGAACTTTGTTATTAATTTTAAGTTATAGCACAAGTGTCAAAATTTCTAAAAATATATACATATGCTAAAAAATATTTATCAAACATCCTTAAGAAAAAATTTATCTTGTCCGTGTCACCCTTGATTATTCGCACAGGTGTCGCTGCTATCGATAGGGATGAAAATATCATATGAGTAGGGTTGGAAAAATTTTGCTGGGGATGCTTTTAAAGTTTACGCTATTATCCATTTCAATTATAGGCATTCCCACACAGCCACAAATATCCACAGCACATCCTTGAGATATCTCTTGGATAAAAAACTGGATATTGCCATATCCATCAGAGATCCCTGAGACGTCTGAATATCCATGAAATATCCAACAGAAATTCAGGGGTCGCATCTGTGTGATGTCTTGCAGATATTTGGATATTGATGTCTGCTGCACATCCAAGAGACAGCCGACAGATATCTTTGGCCTATCACAGTTATCCAAGGGATATCTTAAATTAAACATTGATATCTCTCCAACATCGTTCAGATGTCTGTTATATTTAGTTTCTGGATATCCTAAGGATATTCTTTTAGATATCTCAGAGACAACCCTGAATGTCTGAGAGATATATTTCATTTTTGTTTACTAAAGTATTTAAAAAATGCTTATTTACTAAATTTGTATTATTTATTATTAAACGATACAAATTTTTAATTGAGAATTTCTNGATATTTGGATAAGTAACAGACGTGTTTGGATATCCCTGGGATAGCGGTGGCTGTGTCGCAGGTGTCAAAATTTCTAAAAATATATACCTATGCTAAGAAATGTACAATACACATCTTTAAAAGTCTTTTTAATTTGTCCGTGTCACCCTAGATTATTAGCCTAGATGTCGCTACAATCTATAGAGCAGCAAACTTGATATGAGAAGGGTGGGGAAAATTCATTTTGGCCTGCTTTGAAGAACGCAATTGTCAATTTCAACTCTAGGCACTGCTCTCCCTTGCTTTTCAATTAATATTAAATGCTGCATTCGAGGGCGTTATTTAGCAGACAATTTAATGATTTTTTACATTTTTTTGGTTCACAAAAGTACTTTATTAATTTCAAGTCATTGGATAGGTGTCAAAATTTCTAAAAATATATACATATGCAAAGAAATATACATTAGACATCTTTAAAAATTTTTTAATTTATCCGTGTCACTCTAAATTATTAGTCTAGGTTTTGCAAAAATCGATAGTGATGCAAACTTGATGTGAGAAAGAAGGGGGAAATTCGTTTTGGCCTACTTTGAAGTGTCGCTTCTATCGATAGTGATGCAAATATCATATAAGTAGGGTCGGAAAATTTTCTTTGGGGATGCTTTTAAAGTATACGCTTTTGTCAATTTCAATTCTAGGCATTGCTCTCCTTTGCTTTCCAATTAATAGCAAATGCTGCATATGAGGGGGTCATTTGGCGGACACTTTAAAGATTTTTTATACTTTTATGGTGCACCAGAGAACTTTGGTATTAATTTCAAGTCATTAGATAGGTGTCAAAATTTCTAAAAATATGTACATATGCAAGGAAATATACATTAATTTGTTCGTATTACCCTAGATTATTAGCCTAGGTGACGCTAAACTCGATAGTGATACAAACTTGATATGAGAATAATATATTGTAAAATAAACAAAAGAAGAAAAAAATTTAAAAATTGTCCAAAGCCGAGATTCGAGCCTGTGCCATCTCGCGCTCCACGAATAACACTTTGCGCACCGTCCTACAACATGGACTACACTTATACGGTCTTCCTTCGACTATTTAGCATCAGGAACACTCTCACGGTTAGGCAATCCAAAGGGTTTCGAACCCCTTGCGGCCCCCCTAATTGCTCTGTAACAATTTCCTTTAGCACATTTGTTTGGCCCATAGTGACCTACTTCCGGCCACAGTTTGAACATTATAGTTAAATATTAAAGGGATATACGTGGTCTTGAAATCTGAGTGCCGATCCCGCCATCTTTGCCTCCTTTTCATCCATTATACGCTCTTTAGCAAAGACAGATACTTGTTTTTATCTATCGAAATCCCTATTCAAGCTACAGTGCCGAAAATATTTAAAAGGAAGTTAAAAAATAGTATAAAATAAAATAAATAAATAAATTATCCCGGATTTTTCCTTTGTTTACGCATTATTTGCTATCTCCCGAAAGAAAAAAAAATTTGCATATAGAACCCTTTAAAATATCGAAAAATACATTTAAAAAATAATATAATATAAAATAAACAAGAGAAAAAAAAATTTAAAAATTAACCTCCGCCGTGATTCGAACCTGCACCAGCCCGCTCAGCGAATCTTGCACTCGCACAGTCTTAACCCCTTTTTCACACCATATACATTGTTCCCCTGAATATTTAGCTTAAAGAACCCTCTCGCGGTCAATCAAACAAAAAGATTTTGGGCCCATTCTGGGCCCCTAATTGCTCTATGAAATTTCCTTTCTACGATTGTTCGGCTCCTGGGACCCTACTTTCGACCCTAGTTTGAACACTATAGCTTGATATTAAACGGAGTTACCGACCCGGGCCGTTTCTGTCCCATTTTCATCCATTATTCGCTCTTTAACAAAGAAACTTGGTTTTATATATAGAACTCCTTATTCACTCTCAAGAATCGAAAATATTGAAAAAGAAGTTTAAATAAAACAATATAATACAACATAAATAAATAAATTTTCCCGGATTTTGTCTTTTGTGCACATTATTCACTATTTCCCGAAGGAAAAACAAATTTTTTTTTACTTGTAAAACCCTTTAAAATATCGAAAATCACATTAAAAAAATAACAAGCAAAACAAGAAACAAAAAAAAATTAAAAAACTGACCACCACCGAGATTCAAACCCGCATCAGCCCGCCCAACGAATCCGCGCACAGCCCTTACTTCCAGGCCTTGCCATAAACGGTGTTCCCCCGACTATTTAGAACACTCTCCCGGTCAGCCGTATAAAAAGGTTTTTCACCCGTTGTTTCCCCGTTGGGAATAAAATTTTCATTGACCAATCTCTATGAAAATTTCTTAGGTACGAATGTTCGGCCCATTTAACCCTACAAATATTGCAGCTATGGTATTATAAGGGAATCAGTGGCGTACGCAGGAGAGGGGTTTAGGGGTTTAAACACCCCCCTTGAGCTCAAATAAAATGGCTAAAATAAAAATTTTAGTAGAAATTATGCATGCTACTATTTTTTAAGATTATATATTTTTATTTGCCTTATGCCTACTTTTTTTTTCTCACGGTATTTCTCAGAATACTGAAAAAACATTTACAATAATAGGATTGTACTTTTGAAACCAAATTCACGTGATACTTTTACGGACTGGTTCCTTTCTGTCCTGCCAGTATAGTTTTCGAGACTAGCTGTCATTCGCGAGGTCTTTACGCGATGATTCTGGAATCCTAGACGTTCTGCCGTCTTAGAGACAATTCGAGAATTTTGGAGATGCGGTGAAAAATTATATAAAAGGGGGAACAGAGTAAAGTGGAGTTAGTCAGTCAGACTAAGAGTTATCTCTGCCGCTTGTCGCTAAATCTGTTTTGTTTTGTCTTAACAAACAGTTCATTCAAATGCCGAACCCGTCGTCGCCACTATTTCGACTATTGAAAAAATCAGTAACAATACCATTGGAGATACTGTGCTCGTTGAAATTATTCATTCCAGCTCGAAACTTTGAGATCCTAGCATAGAGCGGATATTTCTGTGCCAATATATATATATATATATATTGATAACTATGATAAACTACTATGATAACTATGATAACTTGATAACTATGATAAACTATTCCTAAAGCCACTGGACGGTATAGTTTGGATGTATGACCTTTTATACTGGATTAGTTAAATATTTTTTAGTTACTTTTTAATATTTGTAGCCTCTTAAAATTAATTTAATTTTAATTGTCCAGTATAATAAACAGTTTNAGTGAGGTGACAGCATCTAGTACCAATGTAAGTTTTTCTGTTGTACAGAAATGTGATACTTCCGTTGAAGAAAACGTTTCTAGCATAACAAAATCTGATGAATGTTAAAGTGGTCCTCAAAGTGTTACTTCTCACCCATTTGACATTGGACTTTTTTCAGAAGATATTACATTATGTTCCTAAACTTAAAAAATTAAATCAAAATTTAACTAAACAATTTTGTCTAAATAAAAAGTACAAATTGTCTAGCTGTCTAAATTAGGGAAATATTAGTGCTTTATTACAGACTCAAACTTCTTTTAGTAGTTTCAGAAAATTATGAACACCCCCTTGAAAAAATTCTGCGTACGCCACTGAAAGGAATATTTCATAATTTAAAAGTAATTAAGAGCAACTGTTAACATACTCTTAATATCAAAATGATATAATTTTATTTGAAAATAAATCATAATCATAGCAAAGAAAACATAATTTTCTTATTTTTATATTTTAAAATAACTGAAAATTCGAAAACATTTTCGTCTAATTTGTTTTTTAAGCACAAATCCCCTTTTTTCTAGTGAATTTTTTTTCTCGAAACGAATGCAAACACAAGATTATGCGCAAACACAAACGCGCATGTCCAAAATTATTTTAATTTCTATTTTAATTCCCAATAAACGCGATACCAAAGATTGTATAAGTTCTTTGGCGGTACCTTTCCAAATTCTTGCAACCAAGACCCAAGATTCTAGCCCAATTACCCGGATGTTCTTATGTCTTTGTTGCCATTCTGTAGTAGAAACTAAGGTTAAAAATTAGTTTCAAATTCCTGTAATGAGAGAGACCCACGAGATGTGCGCTTTCAAATCAGCAAGTGCAGTGGGAATGACATGTTATCACGTGATAGGGGTTTACCCACAACTCCCCCCCCTCCCGCGTAGACAGCAGTGTTCTGCCTATTTATATTTGTGAGTTTTGCTTTTGATAAACTAAATCCAGCAAATCTATAAAACTTCTCTCTCTTGAAGAAGTATAAGAGCAAAACCAGAATTTAGAACTATACATATTCATACTAGGATCAAAACTGACCAGATTTATCTATTTTTATCTTTCAATTGTTTTAATATCTCAATTAACTTGAATAGATATTGTTTCAACTTTCAACCGGTTTTTCACAAGAGTCATTCAAAAACTTGTTTCGACCTACTCATCATTGTTATACATTCTGCGCTCATATTTACATGATAATTATTTTAGTATTTAATAGAGTTCCCGATTATTCCGGGATTAGTTATGACAACAAGTGAACTATATTCAAAGGTATTATTTTTAAAAAAAATTGTTATCAGTAATTTATATCTACTTGAGTCTGCTATTACTTATTTCTTGTTTAATGCATTGCTTTGATTCGGAATATTTCAGCATGTGATCGACTTTCTTCACGTGATGGTGTTTCTGAATATTTTTTTTTTCTTTCTGTATTATATAACAGAGATACGATGTGACCATTGTTTTGTAAACAGATATGTGTTTAGATACTTTTTAGTACACCTAAGCATTTTCAATCTATGAATTACAGACCTAACGTTTTTTAATATTCTTTATTAAAATAAGTTTTTATGTAGCTTTTGTACAATTTTTGTGTGAGCTACTAAAGATTTTTACTGGAAATGAATACAGTATGAAATTTTTTGTTTCTAAAGATGTGTATGCTTTTCTTGTGTACTTCAGTGTTAGTTATGAGCTTTATATATATATAGTATAATAAATAAATACAAAAAAAACACAAAGAAAATTAAGAAAAACTTATATTTGAACTTATATATATATACTCTTAAAAATGTCTTAAATAAAGATTGTTATGATCTATCTGTTTTTCTTGGCGTTGCAAAAATAAACAGTAAATGAATTTAATAATTTTTCAATATCTTTTCTGGATCACTGTATATCTATAATTGCAAGTTTTGCAATTATAGATATACAGTGAGTACAGTATAGATGTTTACAGTTATTTACAGTATTATTTGACTCTACAGTATTTATTTTTATTAACAGTTATTTTAATGTATTATTTGACTCTAAGAACCAACTGTGTGCCCTCTAAAGAACTTTTTCATAAATTATTATGAAGTCGTGTTAGTCTTAATGGCACAATCTTCTTCTGTTTTAATTGAACCAGATATAGTCTAAATGAGAGAAATGATTTCTTAAATTTTAGTTTTGTTGTGGCTAAATAAGGCATGGAAAGATTTTAATGTCATAATTTGCGATTGAATGATCGCAAGGTCTTCTGGACAGGCGAGTGACTAAAAAAACATTACAGAAGGAGACCATCTTGTTGATCATAGCCAACACCAGGCAGGGCCGTCTTAATAGCATGCTGGGCCCCCGGTCACAAAAATATTTTAGACCCCTATAACATAATGTTTTAAAGTGAATTAAAAATCTTCACATACATAAAATAAATCATTTTTAAGATATGATGCAATAATTTCAACAAATTTAAACTATTTATGATTACCCTAAAAACTCAAATAAAACATTTTTAAACTATGTATAATTTTTTGAAAAAAAATTTGTATGCTAACCAGTTGTAATCCTCAAATAATAAAATAATTTTCAAAATTATGGAAGTTAATTAAATTAAATAGACATAAAGGTATAACAAATTAAAATAAATTCAAAAGATATGAATCATTTTGTCAAACTAAACAGTTATTAAAACATCTTTCAATGCCCAAGTGCCTAAAATTTTCATTGGAATGTTGAAAAATAGATTTTGGTTGCCTTTTTGATTTTTCTTGTTGATAAACTGTTCAAACCAAAAATAACAGGCAATTGAGATTCTATGTGCTCAAGGTTATGATTGGCATGTGTTAGTTAACTTGTGCAGGAATCTCTTGTTAAATACCAGGATTTTTTTTTTTATCCACTTCAAATGATGACTTTTCATAAACACCTACCTCAACAATAAAATAATACTTTTAATCTAAAAGTTAAATTACTTCATGTTCCTTTTTTATCTACTAGATATGTAATTTTTTATTATTTTTTTGGAGTATTCTACATTTATGAATTAATCAAATGTTATAGTTTGGATTTTCTGAAGCTGTATGACTTAAAAAAAAATTGAAAATAAATAAAAATTATGCTAACAAAGATATTTTATTTAAATAGGTAATGTGTAAACTTAAAAAGTCATTGCCTATATTTTGTTAATTTCGTTTATTTAGGCTATTAATGAATATTCAACTGGTTAACCTCATTTTAGTTTCAGTATTAAAAGTTCATTACTAAATAGTATTTGAGTAGTTATTCAAATCTTTATGTGATTCTAATAATAATTGATTCAATATTAAACTAGCATCATGAAATATTATTTAATGTCGGGTAAAATAAATATTTAAAATTAAAAAAGGAAGAGAGTTATATATGAAGAATCAAATATAAGAAAAAAGATTTCTGTATTGGTGACCAACCTAAAATATAAACTCGTAGCCCCTCCTAGCAAAATGCAACATTTTTTTTTAAATGTTTTTTAAGCTAAAACCCTATTGGCCTCTGGTGCAAATATTTGGCACAAACATGCATCGATACAGAAATATCTTCACTATAATATTTTATTTAATAAAATAATCAAAATAACGTAATTTGACGCGTACGTGTATGTTGAGTAATTGTTCGTTTTACATTTAGAAATTCATGTTCAAAGAGCATTTTGAACTAAAATGATTAAATATATAACGGAACATATGAAAATAAGCTGAAATTATTGAGACACTCAAAACGTGTGGGCCATATTATTTTTCAATTTTTGATTATCGGAAGAACATGTATAATAACGTGTTAATATATATAAATCATTTTGTAGCAAATGAATTACTGCAAAGACTATGATTAAGAGTGCCACCTGTGTCCCGTATCTGGAATTAAAATCTTAATGCATCTAGCCTTAGTGAAAAATTGTTAATATTTGTATTCGTATACTTTTTATTTATTTATTTATTTTTTTTTTGCAAAAAAAAAATAACTATATGGAAAAAATTTTTAAAGAAAATAATTATTATTAGATAACGAAGGTCCACATCCTCGCATCATCGAAACTAAAAATTATAGAATTGAAATAAGTTTTGTTTTTTAAGAAAATTTCTGCTTCTGAATGAGTTGACAAAGATGATTGGAAAATGGAAAGAAGAGCCTCTCTGGAAATAAAAGAATGATTCACAGTTCTTTTTTGTTAGTAAATGTGAAAATATTATTAAGCTTGTTTTAAACTTTTTAAAATTATTTTTTAATTCAAAGAAAATTATTTTTTATTTTATTATACACACTATCATACAACAAATTTTCTTGAATCATAAATTTTTTAAAATAAATAGAGTCAATCAATTTATGGTTTAAACTATTTTATTCAATCCATATGTCTATATTATGTTTAAAAAGTACGAAATTGAGTTAAATCCTTCCTCTATATTCTTTATAGACTAATTTTAAGTTATTCCACACTATTTGTAACTAATATTAAAATGAATGCGTTTATAGCTATTTTAAAAAAAAAAAAAAGACTATGGGCTGAATTAAGAACTTTTTGTTTGAATTGTGTAGCTAAAACCATAAAGAATGCACTAAATAAATAGTTTTTTAGACATTTATGTGTGATATGATGCATGGATGCTATGGAAGAATGTAATATTTTGAAATCTGTTTAAATGCTTATTTGTTTTAAAGGGTGCTCGCATCTGGATACCTGATCCTGAACATGTATGGGTTGGTGCACAAGTTGAAAAATTTGAAAAAGAGGAACTAAGCGTTGAGCTAGAAGATGGGCGGGTAAGACTGCTTTTTTTATATCTGCTTTTCATTTTTTTAAAATAATGTAATAACACATAATAATTGTTTGTTCAATATGTACTGTTCTAAGATTAAATTCTTTATTTTAGTTCTAATTCAAGAGTTAATTTAGAAAAAAAATTGGGTTTGTTTACAGACTTTTCATAAAGTTTCTTTTTCCAAAAACGGACCCTTCACAATATTCTAAACTACTTAAACAGACATTAAATTAATTGCACCATATTTAAATGCTTTTCTTTTAAATCTGCAAATTTAAAAAGTAAGTAATGCAAATATCTTTTGTAAAACAAATTATTACCATACTTTGCTTTGTTCACTATAGTTGATTTGATAAAATTTATTCTAGTCATTTTGACAAAAGCTATTAAACATTTAGTAAGTTTTATGTTATAAATTTAAAAAAAAATTATTTAAATAATTTTTATGATGTTTAAAAACATTTTATTGAAGAAAATTAATTTCTTTCCTGAAATATTTTTTCACGGACTATCATTTGATAGACAATTTCTACTTTAAATATTGTTACCTATAATATGTATATGATAATTATTGATTTATTAGTGATGCATGATAGGTAAAACATTTTTATTAACATATAATCTATGGTCACTCATAAAAAGATGTTTTTCATGGATATGTTTCAAAAATAAGATCCTTCTAAACTTGTCCAAAAAGTGATTATAATTGTTTGAGCTACTTTTCTTTTTTAAATAATCTTATTAAAGCTTAAATCATTCAAAAATTGAATCCTTTAAAGTTCTTTATTGCGAATAAAGTAATTTTTTTAAACCTTCAGGTTTATATTAAAAAAGCTATTTATTTTTTTCTTCTCTAAAAACCTTGACTGATATTCTTATTATGGCATTACCATTACTAATTTTTATCTTAAAAAATCTTTTGATACTGCAATTATAAAATCTTATGTAAATTTTCTCTCTCTTTATTTTAGAAGCAGACAATTAAAATCAAATCAGAGGATCAGTTACCTCCTTTAAGAAATCCTGATATATTAATTGGTGAAAATGATCTTACATCCTTATCATACTTGCATGAACCTGGAGGTAATGATTTATATTTTATTACTAATGATTTTCTGAACTTTATTGTAACTCTTTGAATGCAGATTTGTTCTGTGAGGATGTGGGGTGCTACCAGCCTAAATGAGCAAGGCATTTTTACACATTCAACATTAAGAAACGTGTTGCTTTGAAAACAAGCAAATAAGAAAAACCATATTATATAAATTCAAAGTAATTGATATTTTATTGTTTTGAAGAACACTGTTTTACTCAGAAATGAGAATCCTTTTTATGATTTTTACCAGCCTTCCAAATTTTGTATTATTTTTGTCCATTTTTTACAATTATATTATTAAAAAAATTGGATAGCATAGAAACAAAGGCAACATTTCATTACAGCATGAAAATAAACACGTATTTACACGTACACGTGAAAATAAACACATAAAAAAAAGGAAAGTGTAAAAACAATGTGGAAATCTGAAGCAATAACTGTTAAAAGTGCCTTTCACAAAACCACCTGAGGCCCTATTACCAGCTTCATGAAATCTCCTTTCGATCGAAATGAAGCTCTCGTGACATTCTAAATCCATAAATGTCAATTAGACCGTATTACGGACTCTTGATTCCGCTCGGAACTAAATTCCGGTGCAAAATAATTATGAATCCGAAATTTTCACGTACAAAGCAATGTTACCATTTAAAAATCAAGGTTTTTAAAAACCATGGGAAAATCTGTGTCACTAATAACTTATGAAAATGCAATTGATTATACCACTCTAGTTTTGGGGTGAATCGATAATAATTGAGAGCGTTAAAAAGTGATTCTTCAAATGTGCGATTCAAATTTCATGGATCAAAATAATATTGTATTAAAACATTGAGATTTTAAAAACCATGTGAAAATTGGTATTTACGACTGCCGATAAAACCATTGACGAATCGTTGGGGAATCGTCGGTAATCAACTGGACCCAGAACTGATTTCTCAGTAGATGGTGTATTAAAATATCGAGATAAATTCTGTAGATATAGCTGCCAAAATTACAAACCGCGTGCAATCTTCTCACCAAGTGTGCCATACTAAGTGATTACTCAATTGCATGATTCAAAATTCGCTGTACGATAGTCATATTAAATCATTTATATTTTGAAAACTGTGTGGAAATGTGTAGCAATAACTTCCAAAAATGCTATGGTCATGAAGAAAAAAAAGTGGTGAAATGTTGAATTTATCAAGAAATTAATGGGAATTGATTTAGCTCAGTACCATGCATTTTGTAAAGTATTACCAATATATAAAATTTATTTCAAAACAGTTGAATTTCTTAATAAATTAATTTTTGTTCTTTGCATCGTTAATTCTCAAAGGAGTGTATAACGCAAAATTCGTAAATTCTTATTCCCAATTATTTTTTAGCTTTTTTTAAAAATTGTGTGTTCTTACACCTGTTTAGACTATGTTTGAGATTAATAATATTTGGAGAAAAAAAAAGATCTGTTATTTATTCTGTACTTAAGTATGCTAGGCCATTTTAGGAAAAGATATTAGGCATTATTAGCTGTGTCTGGTAACAAATTAGATTTTGATGTTGTCTAGAACGGTATGGTGCCTTTGAAATTATTTTACACAATACAACAGTATTTTTTTCGAATACTTTTTATTAGTTGAAATGTTTTTATTGATTTTTGTTTTTATACTAAAGTAAAGATGCATAGATAATTATTCAGAACATTTTCAATAGTATAGGTTTTAAATTTTTCTGGGATTTTTTTAAGCTGGGTTGAAAGACACTAATAAATTTTAAGCATGACGAATTAGGATTTATACTCAAAACAACTATCTCATTTGAATACTGCTTTGTCTAGAGGTAAGCAAAAATAAGGACAAAACTTCAAACTTTGTTTATATGGGAGGTTATCAATGCAGAAGAAGCAACATTGCTTTTGTAACAACAGTTCCTTCTAATATAATGAGACATCCTGATACATAAGAGTTAATATACTGATCTAGTTCATCTTTGGTTTAATATATTGATGTTTTATTGAAACTGTTATTAATTTATATAATAATTAATATGTTATTTAAGTTTATGTTTAACATAGTGTTCATAGTTTACAATGTTTGTAGAATACCATATTTTACATCATTTTTATAAATTCTTGCATTAAATAAAATAATTGTTAGGGTGATTACCATTAAATGCTGGGAACAAGGTGAAGAAATCTTCCTGTGTCTGTTGAAGTTAGTGAATGCCTTTACAGTTAACAACTATTAATCACCTGAATTTTATTAAGATGGGTCACAAAATTTTGATATCACCTGCAAGCTAAACGAAAACCATCTTGTTGTCCATCTTGTACTGAAATTTGGCAGACAGTGTTATTAAAGAGATCTTCTAAAATACCTCTCTCATTAGAACAACCACACAAAAAATTTTATACTATGGTATTTCAAATAGTAAACAATTTTATTTTTAGAAAGATGGCTTACAGTTTGCTGCAAAATTTTATATAAAATGGCCTCAAAATAAAATTAGTTCAACTCGCTAAAATCTTCCAATATTAAATTGAAATTGGGAAAGAAATATGCCATTAGTAGAACTAGACGATGTAAGAAATTTTATATTTTGATATATCGTCTGTTAGACATCGCAATATTGTGATATATATCGTGTTATAACATTTGTTTGAAAATTGTTCCCTTTGATTCAAAAATTTTAACTGAATTAAAAATAAAAATAAATCTATAACAAGCAAAAATTTTAATTCTGAAAAAAAATGCTTCTATAATATCAATAGCATTGCTTTATTTTTTCATTTAAAATAATAATAATGGATTGACTTCAGACTGATGTCTAAAAGCAAAAACAAGTACAAGCTCTGTTTTAATTTATTTTTTTAAAATTAAAAACAACATAAAACTTAATGTATTAAAAGTAATAAAATTCTAACAAAATATTTTACTTACGTGTATTAAAATAAAATAAAAAACAAATATGGGAAAAAAACAATTAAAAGATTTAAACAAAGTTTTAAATCATTAACTACTTTTAAAACTTCAAAACATCGCTAAACTTTTTATTTAATTAAAAAAATGTAGTCGTTTTGCTTAATAGCGAAATTCTAAAATAAATATTTAAAAAAATAATGCAAATTTAGTTTTATGCATTATTTAGCTTAAAATAATGTTTTTGGTTCATGCATGTTATTAATGAAATAAATAATTGATTTTTAGTTCTCTACAATCTACAAGTGAGGTTCTGCAACCAAAATGCAATTTATACATATTGTGGTGAGTTTATTTATTTATTTTTAAATTATTTATGTCAGCTTGTTTAACTAAAATAGATCAGTCAGTGATCAATATAAAGATCTTAGGGCATGAAAAGACATTCTAATGCTATTGTGAGTACACAAGGAAAGAAATATTTTCTCCTTCATAAATAAATTTTAGACTCATTTTAAAAAAGTAATGCTTTATTTAAAATAAATAAGAATGAAGTAATAGATTAATGATAATTACTACAACTTTTTTTAAGGTCAATACAAGTGTAAAAATATTCTTTAAAATAATATTTTATTGGTTAAAAATAATACTCTGGTCCGGATCAGCACTTTTTTCGATAAATGCATTAAAATAGCTCATGTTTTGAAACCTGAAAGTAAACAGCACAAGGGAAGTATTCAGGGCTCTGTCTGGCAGTACTGAGGGAAATTTTATTAAAAAATCAACTCAAAAATTTGGATTTATCGTTTCTTACGGGATACAAAAAAATTTTTTTAAAGAAAAGTATTTTGTAAAACTACTGTTTTTCCTAGAGTTGAATTTGTGAAGGTACCGCTAAATGGTAGTAAATTTGGCTTGGAGCGGCCCCTGGTATTTGACAATAAAGAATGGTTAAAATTTTCAAAGAAAGGTATGATCCATAAATTTATTGTTCCTTTATAGAATTTTTTTTGTTGTTGCAAAAACCACAAATGTATCATTTTTAACATATGAATGCAGATACACTTTTGGTTATGAATGTGAAATAATCTGTATTAATTTTTTAAAATTATATCTACTACCTAGAATCTCTTGGGGTCAATCGTTTATTTAAAGGGGATTTTAAGTTTAACATCCAAATAATTAATGGTTTTTAGTTAGTGAAACACAAGTGCTGCGAATTTATTTAAAATTTTGCCATATTAAATATGAAAAGATTATATTCAGTGCAGGTGTCCTGATGGATGTTGAAATTGCAAGATAAACATCATATTATAATGGAAGGCTCTTTGAGACTGTGTATACATTTAACAAGAATTTATATGATTTTTTTTGTGTGTTTATTTACTAATACTTGTCTTACTAAATGTTATCCAGGTTGGGGGTTAAAACTTAACTATAAAAATTATGCGATCACATCTTTTTGTTCTGAAAACTAGTTTTATTGCTTACCCGTTTTCGAATTTATGGGTGGTTTCACTGGAGAAAACCACCAAATTAAAAATCATTAGAATGTAATGCAGAACATAAAATGTATTACACAGTATACAAAATTATAGTCTTAAATTAAGTATGTTTTAAATGTTTTACTTGTTGTTTAATTTTGATTTTTAATTAATTTTTTTAATTAAGATCAATTTAGTGTTTTATTCCATTGTTAACTCAATTAGTTATAATGAATTATTATTCAAATTAAATAATAAGTAATGAATGTTACACGATCATTAAGTCTGAAAATTATTTTAAGTGATATATTTAATGTTCAATACCAAGTAGTGTTCCTTAGAATCTTTTTTTTTTTTTTTTTTTTAATATTATTTCTTACGCTGCCTGTAATAAAATTCTATTTTGGTTCAGGAAAAAAAATTTCTTCTTGAAGGTACCAATTTTAGTTTAGTTTTATTTGTAAATTAGTTAGTGATATGTAATTCATTTCTTACTGCTGTGGCGATACTACAAAAATTCAATAAAACACTTTTCTTTAGGCATGTATCCTAGGAATTTTCTTGCTTGCTTAGAAAATCAGGGGTTTGTCTAGGTTTTTTTAAGAGGTACCTATTTTGTGAAAATGTAGACATAATTTGTAAAAATTATATTAAAAAATCAATGCAAAAATAGGGTAAAGTAAGAAAATATTTTCAAAAATTTTCACTACAAATAAAAGTCATTTTTGACTGGTAAATTTATATATATTTTTCCCCTTAAATTCAAAAAAAATTTTGCTACTGTAAAATTTTGAGCTAAAAATTGTTTCCAAATTTCAAAATCCATAGTGAAATTTCAACTTTAATGAAACATACATTTAACAGTACTAGTACTGAAAGTTATTTTAATTATAAGAACATTTTCAACTGTGGGTCATATAGAAAACAGTTTCACAGAGAAAAAAATGGTTCATAAAAAAATAAAGGTCCGTTAGAATAAATTTACAATAGTGTTTAAGATAATGCTCGAATTTCGACTTCCTGTAAACTTTATAGAGGGACAGCCTCGCCATTTCATTTTAAAAAATGCGGCAAAAAAAAAACTCGCTTTGATATGGTGTAAGTGACCGGCTAGAGTTACCACCAAACACATGTTACCTTTTTGTAAAAGAAATCTGGCAGAAAAGCTCCTATTTTCCATAGATTGCAACAAGAATGGGGTTTGCATGAGAACTTGCTTTTTTATTTGTAAAGCTACCGTTTTTTCTAAAGTGGAATTTGTGAAGGTACCACTAAACGGTAGTAAATTTAACCTGGATAGACCCCTGAAAATTAACTTATTTTATACTAGTCATTGTGATCCTTCTTATCCTGGTGCACGTCTGAACGCAATCATTAACCATTTTGTTTTGCAATTTTTTTATGTCCACGTGTTCAGTGTTTGAAGTAAAATTTGTACAAATAACATTTTAGTTATAGAAAAGAAAATTTTAAATGTTAAAAAGATGAAGAATTACAATATTAAAAATCCAGTTGTGGTAAAAAGAAAAGAGCAAGCAGTGTATAGGATTACACGCATAGGCTTCATTTTCGAAACACAAAAATTAATTTCAGTGGATGACGCACTTATCATGAGCATTGAGAATTTGATTGTATTTATACTCAACTTTATTTTAATTGGACGTCATTAAGTACTATTCTTTTCTTTCAAAAAAGGTATTGTGTTGGTGGCGATCAATCCTTATGAGACCCTCCCTATTTATGGCACTGACACTATCATGGCATACAGGGGTCAGTCTATGGGTGACCTTGACCCTCACATATTTGCAGTCTCTGAAGAAGCTTATACACAAATGGAAAGGTATAGCTTTATTTATTATTCATTTCTTAAAGCAACTGAAAATATTTTTTAACATTTTGTTTTAGATCCTATTGTATGCAGAATGTTATGAGATACTCTGTAGTAAATGATATGTGAAAAGCTTTTGAGATTTAATGAAATATTTTATAATTTTTGTATTTATAGATTGGAAAACGAGATATTACACACTTTTTTCTTTAAATGTTGAATTGATGGAAATAGATTTCAAATTGACAAAATTATAGTTTAGAAATTATTAAGGTCAAAAGAGTACTAAGTTACAAATTTGTCAGTGTTATTTAAGAATGCAATTTTTTTTTTATTGAATTCAAACATAAGTTGATGGAAATAATAGTTTTGACGTTCGAAAGATATTTTCCTTAACCTTCATTAATATAAAACCCTCGTTACTTTTAAGCAATTTGTTCTTTGAGATTAGTTTTTATGTTATTGATTCAGCATAAAACAATGCTTAGAATTCAATACTTTGCCTCTCTGTCAGAGGCCATAAATAAGTGCCTGCACACAACTGAATTTTTTATACATGAAAGCCATTATAACTTTTATACTGTTAGTGATATCGATTTTGTTTTGCTTTTATTCTGTTCCATGAAAAAAAAAAGAAAAAAAAAGGAGGAAACAATTCCTCTGCTATTTCTTTTAAAATTAACAAGCAAATTTATTTACTTTATTGTTTGTTATTTGTTTGATTTGTGATAAGTAAATATGTATTAGTGCAGCATAAGAATCCACAATTGTTTGCTTTGTCTTTAAAATTAGAAAATTTGACCCGCAATTTTATTTTGATGTTTAAACTTATATATTACACCGTTAACTTTAAGAAAACTGCTCTTGTAAAGAAATGTGTTGAAAAAATTTACTTTTGTTAAAATTAATTTTTTAATTTTTGCTCAATTCATAAGACATTAGTATAGTATAATTTTTTTTAATCAGAAAATGCCTTATTTTGTTAAACAACAAATATAAAAAATGAAATTGTAAAAAGTTTCCAAAGCCATGCTATTTCATATACCTTGAATAGTCTTTTTTTAGCAAATTATCTAATAATTTGTGAAATTAAACTCTGCCAAAGTACATCTAAAATATACCCTAAAATATATCTACAATAAATTTTTGGCACCGAAATAAAAGATATATTTTCAAACAATTTTGAGAAGGACCGAAACACTTGTTTGAAGTTACTGTCCCTGTATCTATTTAACTTTAATTCTGGATGTGCTAAGGGACATTCCCTTTTCTCATTCATCTTTTTAAATTTCAATTGTAAACTGAATTTTTTTGACATCCTTAAAAAGTTTTTTTTAAGGCTAGTAATAAAAAAATTGTCTTGCATTAATTTTTTTAGAAAGTTGTGACTTATTACTAGGTTTTCAATCTAAGAGCCTATGCTATCTTACATAAAAATTATTTTAATATCGCATGAGGTAACTTAATATACTGTGTTACAAAACGAATAATCCTAAGAAACTAATGCAAAAAGATAAAAACTTCACTGACATCAAAAAATATGAAGATTACATTAAAAGCAAACTTGTTTTGAGCATTCAAAAATTGACACCACAAGTCTTTCAATCCTGTTAATACTTGAGCTTTAGTGCTTATTTTTGAGCGCTTGAAGCATGTTGACATTTATTTTCATCTTCATATTTAAAAAGCCAATGAAGTTTTTATCATTAATGTTACATTTAAGTCTTGATCAAATTTTTGATATTTTGTAAAGAATTTTACGCTCGTAGAAGTAAATATTTATATTTTAACTGGGTTCAAGTAGTCCTTAAAAAAGTAAAAGAATCTTAGTATCAATATTATAATTATGAAGTTATCTTCTTTAAAATTTTGAAACTAAATATTAGGAGTAAATGAAATTGAACATTGTGATAAATATAAACGTAAAAAAATGCAGTTTATATTCTTAGTTTTGCTACCTCTATTTCAGTATTTTAAGGACCTTATAAACTAAGGAGAGCAAGGGTGCCACTCTTCAGTCTTGAAAGAAAATCAGTAGTTTCATAAATTAATGTCTCTTTTCAGTTTGTTTTAAATATTAAAATTTATGTATTTCCTTAAAATTTTAGCACATTTTTTCTGTTAAATAAAAATTACATTTTAATGTAAACATTGGTAATTTTTATAATTATTGTGAAATGGTCAGGTAACGATAAAGCTCAATAATGAAAGAATAAGATTGAACTTCAGCGCTTGTTTGCTTAAACAAAATTTGTACTATTGTTGTATCTAAATTTTCTTGTTTTTATTTTTTCCAAGTGTTTTTGACAGCTGGCCAAAGTTAAATTGTGGTTATTATTTTTTTAAAAAAAAAATTATAGAGATAGGACAAAAAGTAAATAATGATGAAGTGAAAAAATAGTCGAGATATGTATAGATGTACAAGGTTATCTGTTATTTTTATCTTGTTTGCTGTAAAAAAAATAAATTAATAAAATGAAGGGGAAAAAAACTCTATAATTGATTTAATCCTTATCATAGATAAGTACATTCTGGAGTCAATGAGCTATAAATGTCAGAAAATTCTAGTAAACAATTCTAGATTGTGTTAATTTATCAAAAAAATAAGTTTTGAAATATTTTTAGAGTGGCATCCATGGGAGAGTATGTAGTGATGGTGAGAATCATAAAAGAAGTTTGTAAATTAAAAAAACAAAACAAATTATAGTAGCAATATTTGGTGATAAACGTAGCTAATCATTTAATGAAGAACATGTTAAGCAACATTTTATGGTAATTTTGCACAATTATGTTTCAGAATGTATCGAAACATCAAGATGCTATTCGCTAATCATTTCTTTTCAAAAAGAAAAAAAGCTATGTAACTTAAATATTTGGCTGAATGAAACAATTTCTTAAACAATGAATACTACACTATACAACATGGTATTCTTAAACTTACATATTTCAATGCTTTTAAAATGTCACTCAGCATTCACCAATTTTATCAGTTATAGAAAAAAGAAATACTGTTAAATTATATAAAAACCTTGTGAATATGCATGTAAATTGTAATTTGTATGTAAATTGTAAATTTGATTTTAGTGTGAACTCTCCATATAAATGAAGTTATCGTAAAATGTTAGATAAAAAGTTCATGTACTCAATTTCTTGGAAAATCATAAATAATTTATAAGTCGATCCAAGTTTTCCTTTATAGAGATTAAAAAGAAAACGCTTTTGGGTCAGAAATGAGCTTAAAATTTTTTTTATTTGCTTAGAAGAGATATTATTTTTCTATCAATAAATAAATCTCTCCGAGCAAAAACTTTAATTCTTTTTTATTATCAGTTGCTTGGCTATAGAGTAAGCTTAGCTCTTTTGAATTTCTATATAATTATCTTGAATTAGCTGCAGAGGTATTGCTGCTTGACTGTTTTTTGGGAGTATCGCTAAATAGATATAGCTCCTAGTCTCTTGCCCCCCTATTTTAAGGATTCCAAATATGTGAGAAAACATATGTTTATTTAGAGAAAGTATGTTTTTGTAGTTTAGTAATTAATAGTTAGCACTAATTAATTTGCATATTTGAATTCATCCCAGGAACCATTGAGATTGACACTTAGTACATGAAAATCCAATCATTAGAACAAAAAGGGTGATGTCTTTTTCATTTTATACTCTGTGTATATTTATGTATCTGACATAATTACCTAGATAAGTGTGGTATTGTTTCCTGTGTTTGTTTTTACACTGAAATCAATACATTGATGCACCCATCAATGCACCTGATTAATAAAATTACTAGATTTTAAAACTATGAGGGTTTTATGTTGTGGGCAAAAGTTTTTCTGTTCATTTAAAAAAATTCTCGAGATATGGCAAAATACGCAAAAAGAAAAATTAACATAACGAGATTCAAACTTTGATGCGCTTTCCTGTCCAATCTATGGGGAATCTGTTGCATATTCATTTAGAGGAAGTACGTTTTTGTGTCTGATTTCGTAACTTAAAATATCGTCTGCATTAATTAATTAACATATTTGAGTTCACCCCCTCATATTATTAAGATATAGTCCTAAAATATGAAGATCTGATTATTTGATTGAAAGTTATTCAGGGTGGCTAGTTAGTATCATACAATGCATTTCAATTTAGCAGTGCATTTTAGACAGTTATTGTATGATTCATCCTATTATAAATTTCAGAGAAAGCAAAAATCAGTCGATCATCGTGAGTGGTGAATCCGGAGCAGGCAAAACTGTGTCAGCAAAATATGCAATGCGTTATTTTGCGACTGTCGGAGGATCATCAGAAGAGACGCAGATTGAAAAAAAAGTTTTAGCTTCCAATCCAATTATGGAGGTATTTTTTTATTTATTTGTTTAGAATGACTGACAGTTTATGAGAAGAAAATTCATAACAAATTGTTTGTACTAATAATATAGTTATGTTTCATTCAAATGTGTTTAATTTGCAGTATTATAGGATAATTCTTTCTGTTTTGATGAACAAAATGTTAAATTTATATATTAATATTTTTTGTGACTCATTTGAATCAAAATGAAGAGTGCTTACTGTTAATATGAATTAATTCTTCTTGACTTATCTTTAAAAAAAATATTTGTTTTGGCATATAAATATTACATTGCTTTAGATACAATCAGTATTATATTTTGTTCTTACTGCTAAAACATGGTGCATAGCGTTTTTAAAAAGTGCTAAAAGGTGCTTTTTTTCAGTTATCGTGTTTCAAATGCCCTTAAAGGTGCTTTTTTTTAATTAGTGTTTTTAAAAAGTGCCAAAGTTTCCTTTCTCGAGAACGAGATTTTTTTCCTTTACCGTGCAATTATATATAGATTTTCGGCACGTACCCTGTGGCAGAATTTTTTCAAGCTATCCGCGACAAAACTCTCAATCACTCATATCTTTCTGCAAAATACTTTTAATAATAGTAAACATGTATGTTATTAATTTAAAATAACAAAAGCGCTGTGTTTANTCATCGATAAAGCCATAGTATAAAAAGTAAATGTTCCATTTGAATTTCACGTATTGCCTGCCCCGAGGCAAAAAATTTTTCCAGCTTTTTACAGCAAACCCTATCGCATCAATACCTTTCTGCAAAATACCTTTAATAATAATAAAAATGCATGTTACTAATTTAAAATAACAAAAGCGCTGTGTCTACAAAAAAAAAAAAAATCTATATATAATTTTTTCTTCATTGAACATATAATTTTTATTCTAATTTTATAGGAAATATTTTTGCATTTCGTTGGGAGGGGGGGGAGCAGAAATTATTTCCTTCGCTTTTTGTAACTAATCATCACAACAAAAAAAAATTTAAAAATCATTAAATCCCTAGTGTACTTGGCAAAAAAAAGATCGATGACAAAATCACGCGAATCGGACATCTCAAATGCATGTTTCGTTTCTTGATTAGGCAGTTGCATAAAAATAATAACGTATAAAAAATATCGGATTTAAAAAATATGGAGAAATCAATGGCAATAACTGATAAAATTCGACAGAATTATTGCCTTAAAAAGTAAATACTCTAATACATAATTTTAATTTCCCATGTTGTTTGTCGGGATATTTAAAATCCACATGAAAATCAATATCAATAACAGACAAAAATACAATCGAAACAATGCATCAATTTACGATACTATCGGCGCATATTGAGCGTGCCAAAAAGCGATTATCTAAATGCATGATTCAACTATAACTGTTAAATTTCTGTCAAAAAATAAATAAAGGTAATTTTTTTTTTAACTTTTCGAAAGAAAAATCTTTCTGTAAGAACTCTGTAACGCTCTGTGACAATGTCGCCATGTCGCTGCGATTCTGCCATGGGGGGTTGGACGTATTGTGCAAAAGCTTGCTTTTCACATTGTTCCTTTCGACTTTATTCACAATTCATTCAAGCACAATCTATTTTGGCGTACTGTCGGTCCATATCGTATAAAAACTCCATTTATTTTACATGTTTGAGGAAATACTTAAGAGTCCAAGTGTGCGTCTACTGAGCTGAGTTCGGTGAGATTCTAGCAGTCTCATGTGCAACTCTGTAGCATTTTGCAAGATACTCTAAATTTCAGGCTTCATTTTCCACCCTCTGATATCGAACCAAAAATCTCTTGATTATTTTATAATGGCTAATATAATCAAGAAAAGTGTTCTATGTCAGAAACTAGTTATTTTATCTTAATCATGTAAAGCCTTTAAAAATTATTTTACTTTTTGTTAATGTATATAGTGCTTAGAAATATTTTTTGAGTGCTTAAAAAGTACTTAAAAGGTGCTTGCTTTTGTTGAAAGATTTGGCTATCCACCCTGTAAAAAGTACTTTAAATGATACATCAATTAAATGTTAGTAAAACCCCTAAAATTTGTTAAAGTCAATTATGAAAAAAAAACACTCTTCATTTCTTGAAGGAAGTTATACCTTTCCTTCCTTTCATTTCTGTTCATGTCTTGCAATAATTATTTTCTCTTTTGATATCAACTGTTTGTTTTATTCTTTTTTATTTTATGTTTAAAACTTTTCAGCAGTATAAATTTTTGGATTTTATTGATTATTATGTTTTTATGGTCATTGAAATTTCGTAAAAAATGTCATTGTTGAGTTTCATCCCCTATGAAAGTATCTTTTCTTTCGCCTAATAATTTGTTGTCTGGACCATTATTAGAACATTATTCATCCTCATCATAGTTGGCCAGACAGCCCAATGTAAGCCTTCCTCTGAAAATTTCTTCATAACGACTTCCGATTTATCTTTCATTTCCAATTCTTTTCGTTAATTGCAAGAAAATCAGACTCCATTGAGTCAGCCCATCTCAACCGCGGCCTTCCCCACTTTCTTTTTCCAGTGGGTTTAAAAAGCAGTATCTTTTTTATTGTGTTGTCATCACTCATTCGAATCAGGTGGGCCATCCAATTTATTCTATTTATTTTTATGTATTTAATAAAATCGGCTTGTTTATAAATCGTGTACAGTTCAAAGTTAATTCTCCTTCTCCAGTTATTGTTTTCATTTACATTATTGTCATATCGCTTGCACATAAATCTTGTACAAGATGAATTTTCTGAAAAATACCTTCTAATTTTGAGCTTTCTTTTAAAAAGTAAGAAAACTACTTAGAAATTTGCATAAAACTTTTTACATTTTTAAGATATTCAAATCTGACTTTTTTAAATTTGTTTCCAAATTCGATTTACAACAAAATTTAGAATTTTTTTTTTTTAAATCTTTTCTGAGAAGTCACAGCATAAAACTACTTAAATTACTCATATCTTGTGCAGTTTTTAACAGAAATTTCTCAAATTTTAACGCAGCAATTTTGTAACCAATTTTAAACCGATTCAAAAGTTTTGTTCAATTTTATTAAATACTTTCAAGGTTATAGCAAATAAACTTTACGACACAAAAATTCGTTTTTTTTTATAAAATTGAACTTTACATTTGTAATTTATTATCGGTCTCTTAAACCTCAAAAAGCTTTAAACTTCGTTGATATGTACGAGAAATTGCACAGTCACTGATTCTTAACTGATATAAACTGATTCTTTAAGTATTTTTTGAGAAATATCAAAAAATGTGTTTGTATCAAAGTGTTTTCATTATTTGGTACAGCTCCTGTACGGATTCGTAAGCTCTGAGAATTGTCAGGGGCAAATGCAATTTTACCCTGAAACCGGGAATCATCATTGTCAGAGAATTCAAAACTCAATCCAATTGGATTTCACTCTTGCATTTTTCGTAATATCGTTATTTGCACTAGCGCAATAAGGGATTGAAAAAAAAAGCTTTTTTTTTCTGAACCAACCATTATTAGGTGCATCTTCAAGATTCTTCTATTATTCTTAATCATTTCTGAGTGTTGTCAATTGTCTGAGTTAAGGAACTTCTGCCTCAAGAGTATTCACATCTTAGATTTATTTTAAATTCACTTTTGTTACTCAGTTTTTGTTATCCTTGATTTATTGTGACGAATTGTTTTATAATTTTGGATAATACATTATTATTACGAACTAAAAGTTTTTTAATTGCCTCTTGTATTTATTTATTTGGCATCGATTTATGAAACAATATTTTTTGAAGCAATATATTTAATACATATGTGCAGATCTCCAAAACCTTCAACTTTTGATAATTAAAAAAAAAAATAATAAAAAATAATAGGCACGCTATTTTTACACCTCCAGAATTGCTTAAAAATGCATAAAATATCAGAAAATAATCGTGAACATCGAAAATTTTGATGCCCTTATTATGTTAAATTCAATCAATCAATCCTGAGGTTACGGTTTGATAGGGTTACGGTGTGGACAGCCTAATGATCGAATTTGATTAATGATTCCTGAGATTCGCCCATATAGCACAATAAATACAAAAAGGATAGAAATAAAAGAAAACAAATGAAGAAAATTAAAAAAAAAAATTATAAGTTATATTTATGTAGATATGATACATTAGAGAACCAATAATCCGGGACAATTGTTATCCTGGATGTCTGAATTTCCGACTTTCTGGATCATCTAAAAAGTGTCGTTAATGCAAGTTTTGTAGTGTGGGTATCTGATTGGTTGTTGAAACGTGGTATTTGTTTACCTTAGCAACTGTTCTTTTCTTTCTATTTCGAGTATGCCAAGCCCATCAAGACACATTTTTTCACAAAGGTTCTTTCTCCAAGATTTCAATTTTTTCACTATATATTTACACAGAGACTTAACATAAAGACAATGTAATGTGGAATATAAGCAAAAATATTATGCAACATAGTTTGCCAGGTACACAAAACAAAACCTGAATTACAATGAAAGAGACCCGAACTCAAATTACAATGAAAAATTATCGAACCCAAATTACATTGAAAAAGAGTAACACATTTCAAAATAAGAAAGAAAAAAAAGAAAAGCTCTCCTGAATTTAAAAAATTAATGATAGAAAAATTAATAAACATTAATAAAAATTAATAAAAATTAATAAAAATAATAAAATTAATAAATTAATAAAAATTAATAAAATTTAAAGAAATAAAAATATTTGCAAGTTTAGACAAGAAAAATAAGTTTAGAAAATAAAAAATTCACAAATTTATTTTTTGAAGATTAATTAAAATCAACAAATTGGCTAATATAAAACAAAACAAATTATTAAAAAACACAATATATTTCATACCAAATTATAAGAGAAAAAAATTATGAAATTAAAGAAAAACTTATTAATCTAAAAAAAAAAAAAAACACTTGAAAATTACTCCATGGAAGCAATAGTTAAAACAGGCACTAACATAAATATTAAAACCCCGGATGGGGAAAGATATTATAGGACCAACTGAATTTAAAAAAAAAACTTAAATCTTTAAATTTATAAATAGAATGAATTAATTTATTGTGTACAAAATTTATTGTGACGGGTTGAAAAAAAAAACTTAAAACAAGTGGAATCAGAAATGTATCGCTTTAAAAAAGAAAAAAGAAAGCTGCAATCTGCTGCATAAAATAATTGTCCATTATTAGTAATAAATAATTGTATGCTTAGATTAATAAACAATCTTCTTACTTTTTTTATAAAAGCCGACAAATTTTTAATGATATCAGATGTGATTCCGCATCAAGAAAAACTTGCAAATGATGCCACATTGCTAAGGAATCAGAATTTGTTCAATAGAAAATATTGTTTCATTAATCCATGTGAAATAGATTATTTTATGAAAGGCGATAAATAAATGTTTTATCTGTAATAAATAATCCTAATAATAATGTATTATCCGAAATTATAAAGCAATTTGTCATAATAAATCAAGCATAACAAAAATTGAATCAAGTGAATTTAAAATAAATCTAACATGCCAATACTTTTGAGGCAGAAGTTTCAAGCTCCTTAACTTGGACATACAAATGACAACACTCAGAAACAATTAGGAATAATAGAAGAATCTTGAAGATGCACCTAATAATGGTTGTTCCGGAAAAAAAGGAAATTTTTTAAATCCATAATTGTGCCAGTGCAAATAACGATATTACAAAATCATGGAAGAGTCAAATCCAACAATTTGATCCAGTGACGAATTATCTGACAATGATGATTCTCGGTTTCAGGGTAAAATTGTGTATTCCCCTGACAATTGACTGACTTTTTTTTCTTTCAAATCTCATTTTCCCTGACTATTCGAATTCGTAATCCATCATTTTACTTTCAGACGATATTGTTGTTCAATTTCCCAAATTTCATTCTAAATTAAATAGGATCCGAATTGAGAAACAGACTCATACTTCTTTCTTTTTTTCTTTTTCAAAGCATCATTTTTTTTATAAGGAGGGGCAAAACTTTCTCACGTTTTTCATTAAGTGTTGAAAAAAATTTCTTATGTAATCCACTTTTTTAAAAAATAATATGTTAAAAAAACTAACTACTCAAATTTGGATTCTAGCAGATGTTTTAAACTCTGTGGAATCATTTAACTTGTACCAATAATAAAAATGTATTCATTTTATTTTGATGAGTTGATTTACTAGACTGGATAAAGCTGGATGGTTTTTGTGTTGTTTTTTTTCCCACTAATACAGCCAATTGTGTTAATAATTTACTAAACTATTATTATGGTTATTTTTTAAATGATTATATTTAGCTTAAGTATGTTCCTACTTTATTATTGAATAAAAAATAGCTGTATTCGTGAAAGTAATAGTATTCGTATTCCTATTTAACTTTTTTTAGTGAAGTACAGGGATATATTATTTTTATTTCATCTTCTGTTCACTGATATGCGATTGCAATGCGAGTCCCCTCGTAAATCAGAGAGAAAACAGAATCAATATGCCACTCTTTTATGTTTGATTGACGGCAGCTTATCAAAAAAAGATTTCTTTCGGACGCACAGGAGAAAATAAATCATTTGTCCCTTCCCTGCCCCCTCTCAATCTAAAGATCTTCAAGGTCACAGAAGAAATATTGGAGTTTCTCTGAACAAATGGACCCTTCTCCCACATTTTCCTCGATCCTTCTAGTTCAGAATGACTGGAAAAACCAAGCAAAACTTTTCTCCGTTTCTTAGATGCCGGATAAATGGTTCTCTACTATATACATAAAATAAAAATATAGAGGCGTGGAAAATTATGAAGATTAATGAAAAGAAACATTTTAAAAGGAAAATATTTTTTAAAAATATATATTTTTTTTAAAAATTATATAAATTTAAAAGCAGAGAACAAAAAATGAATAATCTCTTCATCAGCTCACTAGATTATATCCGCAAAAATGAGTGCTTTTTAATATTCTATCAATATAGCCAAAACAATACAACAGTGTGAGGAGCACTCAAAATTGAAGCAAAATAGAGCACATTAAGCAAAAAATATATCACTCAAAAAAAAAAAAAAAGAAAGCAGAAAATAAAATGTAAAGAAAAAACAAGACAATAGTATAAATTAACAAAGAAGTAAGATTATTGAGTAGTAAAACTCAATAATTTTGCATAGAACTTAATTACTTTAGTTGGGTAACTATTGTTTTTTATCAAATTTTAAAAGTTTGTTTTTTGGATAAATAAACATTACTACATATTTTTTTAATACTATTCATTTGATTAAAATTTGTATTTAAATAAATGTTCCTAGAAACATTCCATGCAAATAGTTTATTTATTTCAAATAATTTTTTTATCATATAAATCACATGGTGCATAGCGCTTTTAAAAAGTGCTTATTTTCGATTTTCGTTTTTTAACAGTCCTTAAAAGTGCTTTTTTCATTGGGTGTTTTTGAAAAATTATTATGCAAAAGCATGGTTTTCACATTGTTCTATTCAATTCTTTCACAATTCATTCAACCACTATCCATTTCAGCCTACCGTCGGTCCTTAACGTATGATAGCGCTAATCATGTTACATATTTGATGAAATACTTGGACTGGGTTCGGTGAGATTCTTGCACTCTCATGTGCAATTCTGCTGCATTTTGCACGATATTTTGAATTGCAGGCTTCATTTCCCACCCTCAAACTGAAAAATCTCTCGATCTTTTTAGGGTGGATAATATAATCAAGAAAAGAGTTCTTTGTCAGAAACTAGTTATTTTATCTTGATCATGTAAAGTTTTAGAAAATTATTTTGCATTTTGTTAATGTATATAGTGCTTAAATATATTTTTTAAGTGCTTAAAAATTACTTTAAAGGTGCTTGTTTTTTGTTGCGAGATTTGGCTACGCTCTCTGAATCAACGATGCGGATATTTTCTTCTTTTTTAATTACTATCCCAAAAAATTAAAAGCAATATTATTATCATGATTACCAAGCAAGATTAATTCCTCGGGGTAAATATTATTTATTTAATAAAATTGTATAATCTTGAAAATTAAAGATAATTAAATCATCAATAAATTTAAAAACAAATTTAATATTAAGAGTATAATTTTTTTCATAATATAGTGCAAAAATAAGTTAGCTAAGAGAAATGAAAAATTAGATCCTTGATATTCAAGCAATTCCATCAATTTGAATAAAGATATCTTTTCCATTGTAAAGATAATTATTAAAAAAACAAAAATTAATTAGAGTTTTCCAATAATCAAAATCACAGTTAAGGATATTCTTAAAATCATCTGAAAGTAACATCTTTTAGTTTAGAAAGGAGAATGTTGTTAAAAGGAAATCAAAAGTGGTAATAACATTGATTTTATTTTGTTTAATAAATTCTAAAATTTGTTGATTATTAGTAATAATCCAAGAAAAACCTTTATATTTAAGTAGTTAGAGGAAATGGTGCCAGCTTTAGTTAAGTAGGTATTAGATCCACATGTGATTGTTTTAAATTTGATTGGAATTTTATGAAATTTAGGACTGATAATTTAGTAAGGAAATTGTATATTGCTAATTTTAATTTTTAACCTCTTATATAAAGCTATAATTTTTTTAATGTCATTATTTTTTAAATTACTAAGCTTGAAATTGTTACAATTTTTTAACTCCAGATTAGAAAAAAGTTAGCTTTGTCTATGGCGGTAATTACAAAATATTTTTGTAGTTATAAAGTCCTTTAAATTATCCAGTATAATATTATTACCTTGCATACATCCATTTTTGGGCTAATCTCTGGTAAGTAACAAATCAAACGTGCTTCAGTACTGCTGTAAGAAAGTGGTATGAAACAAAATCCCTCTATGCTTTTAACTCCATTTGCAGTTTTGTTTTCATGTTTTGTAAACTGGCAATATTATTACGAAAATATTTTAAATCTTTCTTGAAAGATTCTGGCACATGTAAGTTAATTTGAATTCACTACTGGCTTTATAGACTTCGTTTTGTGTTTTGTTCTGTTTTTTCTTTACATTTTATTTTCTGTTTTTTGCTTGATACGTTTTTTACTTAATGTGTTCTATTTTGTATAAATTTTTTTGAGTGCTCGTCACACTATTGTATTGATATATTTTGCTTTGACTATATTGATACAATATTAGAAAGCACTCCTTTTTGCGGATATAATTGTGTGAGCTGATGAAGAGATTATATCTTTTCAATTTTTTTTTGTTTTCAGGCTGTTTAATTTATATATATATATCTTCTATATATATATAATATATATATATATCTTCTATATATAATATATATATATATAATAGAAGAAAAAATTATTAAAATATAATATATCAAAAATATTATATTTTAAGAATTTTTTTCTTCTCTTTTCATTAATCTTTATAATTTACCATGTTTTCACCATATTTTTAACTTATTTTATGAGTTCTATATGCTTGCAGCTTATATAAAACTTATTAATTTTTTTCTTTTTACTCATGAAGTTGTCTTATGTTTTAGGCAATAGGAAATGCTAAGACGACACGAAATGACAATAGCTCAAGATTTGGAAAGTATATTGAAATAGATTTTAATTCAAGATATAATATTATTGGGGCAAACATGCGAACATATTTGTTAGAAAAGTCTAGAGTCGTCTTTCAAGCTTCAGATGAGAGAAATTATCACATTTTCTACCAACTTTGTGCATCCTCTGAACTTGAAGAGTTACAGGATCTACAGTTAGGTATGTGTATGATTGCTCAATTAAGAAGTATCTAGAATTGAAGGTTTTTTTTTAAAGTGAAAATGTAGTTTTTTTAAGTCTAAAAATATCATATTAATTTTGAAATATTGAACATGAAGATAATATCTATTCATTGATGAATTTTACGAAACCTTACAGGGTTTACAATCCACATAACTAATACAACAAGTGTAATGTGTATGCATAATACTGAGGATTTTTTTATAAATAAGAAATGTATTATAATTTTGTAATATTTTTTTCAATCATGTAGTTTATTTTTTTTTACATATTTAATCCATTTTTATTAAATTTTATTTGTAAAACCAATATTATTTAAATGAGTTTTACTTGATATAATTTTGTATGAAAAGTAAAAGTTAAACAATGATTTCAAAGAACAATATTTGCGAAGAAAATTGATTAGAAATGATAAAATGTGAGGAAAAAAACAGACTTCATGTAATCCCTATCTGAAAGAAACCTGCTGGGTTTGGGTCGGGGGCCAAATTCCTAAAGGTATCGATTAAAAAAACAGCTATAAAAATCTTCAATTTTTAATAAAGAAAAAATTTTAATAAAATTGTTTTCAAGTAATTTTTTTTTTATTTATTAAATTACAAAGTTGCGTAAAAACTTATCATTTTTGATATTTTAATAAGCCACTTCATTAATTTTGTCCTATTATTATATGAGACATATAATTGGAACATAACTTCTACAATTTTCATTGGATCAAAAGTTTTGTTCATAATTTACTATAGTAAGTTAAGTAAAATGAGTACTGTAATATTGATAGTTTCAATAAATAAATCACAAGACATATTTTTGCAAACTTGCAATCAGATCTTTGATTTTATCAAACTTGGAATAAATTCTTCTGAATTTTTTTTTGAAAATTTGTCTCTAAATATTTTACTCTAATAACTTAACTAATAAAACTTTTACTCTTTTGATAGATTAAATTATTGTTCTTTGCTATTTCTGTTTGCTGTAAATTTTATTAATTAAGTACAGAGATTTTATTTATTTATTATTTTTTTTTTTTGCTCCTTCACTTCTTTCTTTTTCAGCATTTCTCATCCCATGGGCGGCAGTGGGTTGTGAAACTTTTCTACTTAATTTTTAAAAATGAATAAATATAGGATTAATTGAATGCGATTCAAGGTTTCAATCATAGGTTTCAAGTATAGATCATCTTTTTAAGAACAAACAATATCAAAAATCCCATTTAAGTTTTGCTTTCAAACATTGTATCATTTGAGTTTTCTTATGGTGGTGATAGCTAAGTGAATACAATAAAGTTATTTTCTTTGCATAGGAAAATATTTTTTTTTATTATTGATGCATTATGCAATTTTCCTCTTTTTCTTTCTTCTCACTCATGGGAAAATGTAAACTTGGTATGTTATTTTTAAATCAGAACTTTTATAAGAAATTTAATTTTTTAAGGTAAGAGATTTAATTTTTTTAAAAATGTTTATTTTACATGTATAGCGTAATTGCAGTTTTTTCTTCTCTTTTTTCTCTTGATAAATTTTTAATTTTTTCTTATGTGTTTCTAGGTGACAGCTCGTACTTTCATTACACCAACCTTGGAGAGGCTCCTGAAATCTCTGGAGTGGATGATGCAAAAAATTTTCAAGACACAAAAAATGCATTCTCCTTATTAGGTAATATTGCATTGGTTAATTATACTAACCATCAAAACTCATGTTGACCTAGCATGACATATACGTCACCCAAATTATGAGAATTCTGTAATTTTTATTCTAATCTGAAACAAGATTCTTTTCAAAAATCAAGTAGTAGCTAACAGAAGAAAATATTCATTTAGTTAAAGAATTACCACTTTTTTTTTAATAGAAGCTCTTTTGTGTCACCTCATGTAAGAAATGAAGGCATTAATGGGTTAATTATCTACATTCATTCCTTAATTTTCAACAGAAATGGATTAAGACTTACAGCTATTTCAATCTAGAGCTGTAATACAAATAGATCAAGCTCACTGTCTTTTTTTTTTCCATCTCTTTTCATAAGCATCAGAGTCCTGTCTGTTATGTGCTGCCCTCTTTTGGCAATATTGGTAAAGAAAGTTTATGTGACAGTTGAGTAGAGTAGATTAATGTTTTGTACTTATATAAGAAAAGAAAGGAAGTGTTAAGAACAGATCATTGTTTAGATAAAACTTAACTAAATTAAAAATCCTTTTTAAAATTTCAATTTTTTAATGTGTGTAAACTGTTTAAAACTGTTTACATTTTTACAAAATTTCAATTTTTTAATGATTTTGAAGAGGTTAAAGTTGAGTCTTTTTTTTATAAAACTTATAACAATTTAATTGAATTGTTTTTTGAAACATTTGAAGTTATTTTGTAACAGCCCTCTGTAATAATTTTTTATTGTTTTCCTGATGTTGAAGTATATAAAAAACATGTTTAAATTTTAATTTAGCATAATTTTATAATTGTACAGTGTCCTGTAAAATCATGAATATATTTTCCTATTTGAAATTTTTGAAAGCATTTACAAGAAATGATTTTGATGTCAAGACGTGTCAAGAAGTCACAAAATAAAATAAAAATTGAGAATAAAAAGAGGCTACATCACTTTAAAAAACTTTTAAAAAATTCATTTCTCTCTAAGAAACTTTACTTATTTGAACTTTAGACCTGCATTGATAAAGTTAACCAGCTCTAATATCTAGTACTCTCAATTTTTTCATGTGTTGTTGTCGTACAACAAATATCTAAAATATTTTTCTAAAAAAAAACCATTCCCTCTCAAATTGTCTCTCTTGGAACCCCCTCTAGGCACACCTGTTTAACGTAAAGCAAATGTTTGATTAGTTCTAATTAAAAACTTAATTTCAAATATATCTCTTTACTTGTTTTGAAATTTTTTGCTTTGAGTTTCTTTCTAACAATAGTAATAATTTAAACAATAACTTTATAAATATGCTCCTTAAAATATGGATAATGCAATAGCAAATTTATTGTCATATCACACTGATTTTTTAAAAAATTTTTTGGAAGACTGCCTTTACCTTCCTTTCTCTAGCTTTTTTTAAATTTATTAATTTATTTTGTTTATTTAATTTCTTTTTTATATCAAATTTATGTATTTTATAAAGAGATTATATTATTTTGAACCAACTTTTAGTAAAATAAAAGTAGGACTTTGTAAGACTCTCCTTAGTCTAGCGGATTAACAGATCTAAGTTGAATTGAAGTGTATATATCCAAATCAAATCATGATGTGTATAAATTGGAAGAAATGTCATATCAAAGATCTCACATCAAAGATCTCAATGTTACTTATTATTATTATTATTATGATTTTTTTTTTTTTGAATTTCATAATCAACGTGAGTGTTCAAAATGATTCCTGTGGTGGCCTTTCTACCTAAAATATACTATTTATTATAATTTAAGTAATACGCATATAGTTTCAGTTAGTGTTCATTTCAAGTGTAAACTGTTTTTATAGGCCCAGTGATTCTACTAGACTTTGGGAATTACAGATCCTTGGGTCCCAGTTTCGGGATTTTAATTTGCCCTCTTTTTGCACTAATTACATTCGTAGTTTTTCTTAATCAATCTTCAAAACGAGAGACATTATATTTGAACAGTCAAGAATTTTATTCCATTGCAGTCATTTGGCAAGCAGACAGTACCATTTTTTCCCCTTTTAACACAATACTTTCTTTTTTAATTTTTACATTAGAAAACAAAACATGACCATTCACTGTGATATATAAAGCTACTAATTTTAGACTACAATGAAAGGAATTTTTTGAACTTAGTAGTTGTACCTAACATAAGAAAAGCTACTTAATTTAAACAATAATAAACTACCACTTGCTGATAATTACACAATAATAAATTACCCAGCTTTGAATATTTAATCATGACTGATCAAACAACTGCAACAAGAAAAAACAACTTTTATAAATTCTTCCAATTTTCTCCTTAAAAAAAATTTTTTTTTTTAAATGTATAGTTAAATTTCTGTTGAATTTTCGCCTACTTAATACTCAATTTCCTACTTAATTGCTCATACATGTGTTTTTTTTTCATAATAAGCACCCCAGAGAACCTATCAGAATATAATTTTTTGGTACCTTCAATGATTTTTACTGTATTTGTTGTATTATAGTGCAAAATGACAACCTTTTGTAAAATTTATTACAGGATTCTCCCATGCTCAACAAATGATGATATTTAGAATTCTTTCTGCCATTTTGCACCTTGGCAACATTCATGTAATGAAAGGAGGCAAAAATCAAGATGATGCAGATAGTTCAGCCATTCCAGTAATTTTCTTTCAGTAATTTAATTTTTATGTTAATTTTTTTTTTAGTCCTAGCTTTTTATATTGCATTCTTTTACATTGCAAATATTTCTATTCTGTAATGCATGTAGTTTTGTTTATTTGTGTGTTGAAAAATTGTTTTCTTGTTTATTTTTATTTATCTTTTTAAAAGAGATCCCTAGTTTATACTATTTATCAAATCATTAGCATTTTTTTTGTATGTCAAAGTATTTTATCAAATATAAAAAATAACAAGTTTCAGAATTTTCACACCATTTGTTTTAGAATATGTCTTTGTAAAATTGATAAATTTTTTAGCAATTTATAATTTTTAAACAGCTGTAAAACTATTTGACCTAGAGAGTTAAATTTTCTGTCATTTTGCTCAGTTTGAATGCCATTTTATCAAATATGTAACAAGGCTCAGTTCTTTAAAAAAAATGAAAGGAATTTGTTTAATTTTTTTGAAAAAATATATTTTATTCAACTTTTTTCTTAAACAGTGTTAATCCCATGATGAAAAACTTTCTTGTTGTAACATGTCATTAAAATGTCATTGTGTGTTATTTTAAGACTAACATTTTTATGCAACTACATGGTTTATATATTTATGTTAAACTAGAAAATATTTTTTGTTGTGATCTCATAGGTATATACTATCTTGAAATTTGTCTTTGCGGGGAAGAAAAAAAAATTTTTTCAAAAAAATTAAACATTTTAACTCATTTTTTTAATAAAAATTTAGCTATGTTACATATGTTTACTTTAGGCATGTTGAGCCACTTGATAAAGAAAACAGTTTGAAAAAGCAAAAACATAAGTATAAAATATTACAAAATAATGAAGAAATTAATAGACTTGCTTTGTCATTAAAAACTAAGAATGATACAAAACTTAGTTCTCTAGGCCTCTCAACTGCATAAAATCTATGAAAATAAAATATTTGAATTTACTAATATATTATATTATACTAAGTGGAATGAATGCAAAAAAAAATTTAATCCTTTCTTCCCCTTTTCATAATAAGTCCAAATTATTACTGAACAGAAATTTTCTTGATTAACTCTACATTTTTTTTATTTTACAAAATCTTTTATAATTTTACACCTCTTTTCATCATTCTCGCTTACAGCAGATGGAATTTTTTTTTAATGAAATAAAATTCACATTGCAATTTCATATCTTAACTACTCACTTGCTGAACTACAAAATATTGTTGTGAATATCCTGTTGTGGCTCCCCTCTTATTATAACTATTACATTTACTGTTGTTTAAAGGACTCAATATTGAGTTTCTTTTGTAGGCGTTTATTTACAGTATTGTAACAGAGACTAGGAGTGTTCATGTTTATTTTGGGATCGTGTTTATTTTCAGCGGCAATCACTTCAACCTTAGGCTATTTCAGTGTTTCCCAAAGTATGGTACACAACCTCCAGGGGTATGGGAACAGTTTAGCGGGTTAACAGTTAACATGTTCTGATGCAAAATATCTTGCTACAAACAAAAATTTAAAAACATTTTATTTAAAAACAAAGTTAGACATGAAAATTAACGATTACGTATTTTTCTATTGGCTATTTTTTGCAGAGTTAATAGTTAATAATGAGCGGTGTCAACAGCCAGTTGTGATTTTTAACTTTTGTGCATTTTTTATAGTAAAAAATGCTTTTTTTTTTATTCGTGCTACACAGTGTTACGAAAAATTTAGAAAGGGTAAACAAAAGTCATAAGTTTGGGAAACACTGGAGGCAATTCTTGAGCAGGGACATTTCATTGACAAAGTCATTTCGTCAAATAGGATTATTTTGCTGGAAGGTTCCTCTGTAATTTTGAAACTATTCTTTGTGATTGTTTGCTTTTTGACGTAATTGAATGTATTTTTACTCCAAATATTTTTATTATTAATTAGAAAAATACCGTTATATAATTTTTAAACTAAATTAAATTTTTTTTACTATGTTGCTATTGCCATATACGAAGCGTTTCTTTTAAATGGTTTCACCCTCTCCCTTAGCTGTACATCCAGTTAAAAAAAAAAACAACTTTTGTGATTTTTAAAGTATTTATTTCTCATATACATTGTTTAATTTTTAAATTGAGTTCATTATTATAAATTAACGTCTCGAATACAATTTCTATAACTACTGGAAATGATTCTTGATACAGCAAGTAAATGAAGGGAGAATAGGAAATTGAACAAAGTGAATTAATGACTCAGCAAAATATTGAATCCTAAATTAGAAAATAATGATACAATTTTGTGACTGAAAATTTTATTTTAGTTTTGTTTTTAAAATAAATTGATGATTAGTTGAGAAGCATTTAATGAAGAACAGTTTATGTATCAAAATCTATTTTTTTATGTCTAAATTTTAATAGAGCACAACACTTGTTTTTAGGATTGCCTTCAGATCATTACTAATCGTGATATCCTGACCGTTGTCCATTGTGACTCCCGTGTGATGTTAACGATCAAACTATTTTTAACATCGAATCAAATTAATAAAATATGATATCTGGAGAATTAAAAGTTGAAGAAATATATTACAATGATATTTAAGGGACCATTTGGAGGTGGGAAAACTCAATTCTTTGCTGTAAAAAGTTTCAACATATTTTAATTACACTTAAGGAGACTTTAGTGTAGATCCCTCCGCAATTAAAATAATCATAGGTCTTAAATAATTATCTATGCATAAGTAAACTAATTCACATGGTATCTAGCCAGTAAATTTTTTAAAAAAAATTTTAGTTTTGTGACACATAAAAAAGTGTTTACATGGGTTTAGAGTTGACTAATGGGATATTTCTGATATTTTATTAATCAAAAATTTTCTGTTTTGGCAAAAAGGATAAAATTAGTCACATTTTTATATGTAGCTACAAAACAAAACACAAAATTGTTAAATAGCAAAAATAAAAAAAACTAAGTTTTGATGCTGAAAAAGTAATTTTGTAATAACTTTTATTGGAATTTTAAATTTTTTACTTATCGTCTTTAATAATAGAGCAGGATGATTGAATATGCTTATTCGAACATTCAAACTAAGCAATCGAACTTTGTCTAAGTTTCATCGTGTCTAATTTTGCAATTAAAATTTCAACCACTTCTTGACAAGTTTACATGCTCAAATTTTAACTGGTGTTCTTTTTACAAGATGGCAGTACAATTTTCCAAAGTTTTCTGACCACTGTAAGCAGAATTTTTTTATCATTTTCCGGCTTGAACAGGCCAGGAGACACAAAACTGAAATGTGGAAAATATGAAAATAAAAAAAAGCACATACTATTTTTTTTAAAAAAAAACCCTATTTGTTCAGTTGACTAAAAATGAGAAAATTTTATAAAAAATTTTCAGTCGTCACAAAAATCGCTCTGACTCTTCTTATCTCTTTGCTGAAGAAGAAATTTGGTCAGCTTTTATCTCAAAAGTTTCAAAATTTCTTTTTCTTGGAATAAATAAGAATTAGAAAATACTGGATATAATTTTTGATACACAAAAATTGCTTAGGTCTAGTTAAACTAGAATGTTAGTCAACCGAAAATTCTTCTACATAATGTAAAAATTTCATATATTACTTAATGAATTAATAATTCTGTAATGTCTCATGAATGTGTGTGTTTGTAGGATAGTGATCCCCACCTAGTCAGTATGTGTGATCTTCTGGGCATTGATTGTGATCAAATGAACACTTGGTTATGCAACAGAAAAATACAAAGCATGAGAGAAGTTATAACAATGCCTCTACCTCACTCACAGGTAATTATAATGCTATGCATTTGCCCATATCAATTCAGCTCATTCAGGAGTTTTTATCTATTAAACTAAGAGGGCCTCCTGGTGGCAGAATCATGACGACATTGTTGCAGAACAATACAGAGCGCTTGCAGAAAGATTTTTCTTTAGAAAAGTTTTTTAAGAAAATTACTTTTCTTTTCAACAGAAATTGACACATCATATTTAAATCATGCATTTAGATAATCACCTTTTGATGCTCTCAATTTACGCTGATCGTATCGTAAATCGATGTAGTGTTTCAATTGTACTTTCGGCAGTTATTAATATTAATTTTAAATTAGCCAATATATTTCAAACAATATGGAAAATTCGAATCATGCATCTGACTATTTACTTTTTAAGGCAATAATTCTATCAAATTTTTGACAGTTGTTTGCTCCATAGTTTTTAAGTCCCATATTTTTTATACGATATTATTTATTACGATAATCTAATCTCGAACCAAAATACGCATTCGAGGAGTCCGATTTGCGTGATTTCGTCGTCTATTTTTTTTTTCTTTTCCGGCAATTACTACTACGGATTTCATGATTTTTCATTATTTCTTTTAATTTGGATGATTATTTATAAAATGCGAAGAAGGAAATAACTTGTGCCCCCCCCCCAACAAAATGCGAGATTATCACCCATAATATTAGAATAAAACAAAAATATATGTTCAATGTAAAAAAAATTATATATATATATATAAATATTTCGTAAGCACATCGCTTTTGTTACTTAAAATTAGTGACATATACGTTTGTTATTAAAAGTATCTGGCACAAAAATACTAGGGCTAGAGAGCTTTGTCTCTGATAGCTGGAAAAAATTCTGCCACTGGGTAAGAGGGTTGTAATCAACTACCTAATTCTAGAATATAGTGCAATCTGTAGGAGAATTCTTTTGGTTCAAGTAATTAATCTTAAGCATGTTGTAATGATTAAGACACTCAACTGTTACTATGAAGGTATCCTAGTAGTGGCTTGGAGCCTTCACATAGATGCTTGCCTGGGAAGTAAAGGCGGTTTGTGCACAATGCTGACTATATTAACACAATCATGACTCCCTTGGTCCACAACAGGCGTTGCAACAGGATTGCAAAAAAGAAAAAAGATTGTGATGTTTAAGGGAGAACTTCTGTCTGACTAAGCATTCAATTTTCTATAGCAGTGCTTCCCAAAGTGTAGTACGTGTACCCCCAGGGGTACAGTAAGAGTTTAGCGGGGGTATGTGTTCTTATGCAAAACATCTTGCAACAAACGAAAATTTCAAAAATTTTTATTTAAAAACAAAGCTAGCCATAAAATTTTACGATTGCATATTTTTCTATTGGCTATTTTTTGCAGAGTTAATAATTAGTGATTCAAAACAAATGTTTAAGATTTATTTTTGAAATTTTCTGGCCTTACAAAGTATTTTTAACATTTTATTTTTGAAACTTTNTTTTAACTTTTGTGCAATTTTTTTATAGTAAAGGTTTGTAATAAATTCTACTTATTTTGATTATTTTTATAAAGCATAATTTTTATTCCTAACAAAGAATTTTGTACCAAAATTTAAGAATTTTTTACTGCAAACTTTGTACCAAAAAATAAAAATAAACATATTTTAAAAAACATATTTAATAGCTTTATTTAGACGGAAATTTANAGCTGGCTCGGACATATCCTTAGAATGCCCAAAGAAAAAATTACATCTGTTGCGCTTACATGGGCCCCTCATGGTAAAAGAACAAGAGGAAGACCCAGACTTACCGTCCAGCGCAGGTTTTTGGGCGAATTAAAGGAATATAGAATATCTAGCTGGGAGGAAGCAAGATCTATTGCTAGAGACAGAAGGCGTTGGAGGGATATGCTAGAGGCCTTAAGTGCCCAAAGGCACATAGAGGATAAGTAAGTAAGTAATAATTAGTGGTATCAACAGCTAGTTGTGATTTTTAACTTTTGTGCAATTTTTTATAGTAAAGGTTTGTAATAAATTATACTTATATTGATTATTTTCATAAAGTATAATTTTTATTCCTAACAAAGAATTTTTTACCAAAATTTAAGAATTTTTTACTGCAAACTTTGTACCAAAAAATAAAAATAAACATATTTTAAAAAACATATTTAATAGTTTTATTTAGACGGAAATTTATCGTCAAACAATTGAAATATTATCAACTTAACAATAGTACTTTGTTTTTGTTAAAATTCTCTCCATTATCACCCTGCTAAACTAGAATGCCATATGAAACTCTCCAGTTGTTGCTAAATGAATGGAGAAACCCTTCACCTCTTTGGAGATTATGGGACTATGCAGTTTAGGAAAGGTAAAGATTGTGGGGGAGGTGGAGGAAAGGGTTAGGATATTTGCTTCTGTTAATAAAAGTTTTTTTTTTCATCTTCATCTGTTCTGTGGGCCTTTATCGTTCAAGTTTGTTCAGATGCTATGGGGGCAATTTTTCTTTTAACAAAATGTTTTAGTATTTTTAACTTAATAAAATTCTCCAAAGAATAATTGGCTATGATTTAATAATAGATTTCATCTTTTAATTTTTTCTTAAAGCTTTTGTATTATTTTTTGTTAGCAATGAATTATTTTTTTCTCAGCCATATCAATCACTCATTTTCTTGAATAACAGCAGAATCATTACAATTGTTGCATTGATGTTAATTTTCTGGATTTTATTTTTACCTTTAATAAAAAATTTAATTTTAAAAAAAGGTTCTTTTACAGATCACTATTTAGGTGTTAACAATTAATTTTACGTTTTGTTGGTTAATATTTGATTTATGATTTGAATTTTGTATTAATCACAATGTTGAAAGTTAGTAAACATTGCTTACATTTCAGAGATGATATTTTTACTGTGAAAGCTGGCAGAGACAAGGAATCTATGGGAAACATGTTAAATGCTGTACAAACTTAATATATATGTAGAAAAAATATTTACGCATGTTTATTAGGAAGAAAAGAAAATACTTTTTTTTTTTTACTGTACAAGTACAGGTTTTAAGTTGGGCAACCAGATGACCAAAGTTTTACACTTAATATTAAGTAAACAAGGTATTATTTCCAAAGCAAAAAATTGAAGCGTTGGAAATAATGACTTATAAATATCAGTTTTCAATAAGTTATAGGCTGTTTAATGAAGGGCTACATCATTTGAATTTTTTCACCGTGGTAAGAGAATCTCTAGCAACAAAGTACTTAAAAGAAAAACATTTCACACTAATAATAGAAAAGGCAAAAATAATAATTAAAGTAAACTGTTTAACAACCAGCCCCCTTAGAACGCATACCAAATTTCAAATTAATTATCTATCATGTTTTGCAAGTTGGGAACTGTCTAAAATTTTTTATTCAAATGTCAGCTTCAGAATTCAGTCAAGTTTACATTTCAATTACAAACAACTTCACATAGTTTAGACAATTTGTAAATGAGTAATCATTTTTGCTTTCATGTGATTTACAACCAACTCCAATAATTTAATCCATTTAATTTGCACTTATTATAATCAGTTTTTATAAAACAAATTGTTTTTTGACATGTTATGATATTTTATGTTTATAAGGTAATGTTTTTAGGAAATTTATGTTCCTTTTTTTACGTCTGACACCATATAATTGCCTATTTGTAAAACGCAATTAACTAATCTAAACTAAGAAGCCGTGTAGTTAGAGTGAAATTCTTTAAATATTCTAATTTTAAATAAGAAAAAAGGATATAATTTAAATAATTTTATCTAGTTTTTTCTATAGAATGTACAAAAAAAAATTGACAATTTTGCATTCACGAATACTGAATAGCTCTTAAAATAATAGTGCTAATTCAAAACAAACAACATTATTTGAACATTGACTTTAGATATTGGTTTAAAGAAAAATATATAAATGAATTTTATAAAGAGCACTGTTTGGAGAAAATGCAGTATAAAATAACTTCATATTGAAATGTAAATAAATATAAAAATTTATTAANAATTATCTATCATGTTTTGCAAGTTGGGAACTGTCTAAAATTTTTTATTCAAATGTCAGCTTCAGAATTCAGTCAAGTTTACATTTCAATTACAAACAACTTCACATAGTTTAGACAATTTGTAAATGAGTAATCATTTTTGCTTTCATGTGATTTACAACCAACTCCAATAATTTAATCCATTTAATTTGCACTTATTATAATCAGTTTTTATAAAACAAATTGTTTTTTGACATGTTATGATATTTTATGTTTATAAGGTAATGTTTTTAGGAAATTTATGTTCCTTTTTTTACGTCTGACACCATATAATTGCCTATTTGTAAAACACAATTAACTAATCTAAACTAAGAAGCCGTGTAGTTAGATTGAAATTCTTTAAATATTCTAATTTTAAATAAGAAAAAAAGGATATAATTTAAATAATTTTATCTAGTTTTTTCTATAGAATGTACAAAAAAAAATTTGACAATTTTGCATTCACGAATACTGAATAGCTCTTAAAATAATAGTGCTAATTCAAAACAAACAACATTATTTGAACATTGATTTTAGATATTGGTTTAAAGAAAAATATATCAATGAATTTTATAAAGAGCACTGTTTGGAAAAAATGCAGTATAAAATAACTTCATATTAAAATGTAAATAAATATAAAAATTTATTAATGTATAATTGCTTGGAATTATTTTCCTTTGCTTAATGAAAATATGTATAAAATGATACTTATCCAAGGTTTTTTTGGGTCACTCTGTATTTACTATTTGGTAGATTTTGTGCATAAACTATTTAACACATTAAAACATTTTTTATTCATTAAAAGCAATATATTCAATAAGCTAAACATATTTTCTACACATCTATTCAATATGATATATTAGAGAAAGCATTTTGAATAAAATACTTTATAATATTTTCACTTTTCTTGTACCACCTACACTTTATAAGGGAATAAAAAAAACTCACTGACCTGGAAAATTTTAAGATTTTTACTGGAAAAATCAGAGAAATTTGAAACCTGATTTGAGGGGTACACAGCAATACGAAAAATTTAGGAAAGGTACACAGAAATCATAAGTTTGAGAAACACTGTTCTGTAGGAACTTTATTCAACAATCCCTCAACATTATCTATTTCTCCTCTGTGCTCAAAAAAGTTCATTTTATTTCAAATTTGAAGTTTAAAATTGAGAATGAGTCGATTTTTTTAAGCATATTAAAATATTTTTTTTCCCAGACATATTCTAACTTTTTATTTTTGGTAAATTGAGGTGGTTAAACTTTGGGATGCAAATGAAATAAAACTTTTCTCTAATTCAACTAAAGTGTAAACTGGTAAATGCATAACAGAAAAAATTTTTTAAAAAATAAAACAACTTGTTGGTGAACTTTTTTTGATGAATAAAAGCTTTGTTGGCAGTCTTAAAGGGATCCATTCCATGGTTGAAAGTATTTCATTAAAGTAGTTACTATTATTTTTGTGTATGCTTCATTTTCTTTACATATTCTGCTATAGTAAAATAATTTTTGACTCTCAAGCTTGGTTGTCCTAAAATAATACATTGCAATATGTAACACATATAATAATTGTACATGATTGCAATATGTTTAAATAAATATTTTTTTTCTTTTGTACATTGAATGTAACTGTTCAAATTTAATTGTAGGCATTGTTTGCGAGGGATGCCCTTGCCAAACATATCTATTCACAATTATTTGAATGGATTGTGAAACAGATCAACAAGTCCCTTGCGTCTAATAAAAAGATTCACAAGTTTATTGGCGTTTTAGATATTTACGGGTAACTATTTCATTTTTATTTCTAAATGCTTGTGTTGTTTTCGTGTTTTAATATTTTCTTGTCATTTTTTTAGGTTTGAAACTTTTGAAATCAATAGTTTTGAGCAGTTCTGTATTAATTATGCAAATGAAAAACTACAACAGCAGTTCAATATGGTAAGCAACAAAATAGTCTATTTTGTAATTTTGAAGTAGTTCAGCTCACGTTAATGCCTTTTTCTGACTTCAAATGTTTGAATTTTCAGTATGATTTCCAATTTATTTTAATAAAAAAATAAGAAATTTGATTCAGTGGTATACTAGGCTCCTATATAGCTTTCTTTTGTTGCATTGAACCAAAACCAATTTTTTTTAAAGTCAATAAAATACATTTTGCCTTATAAAAATAAAAATCATTTAACATTGCATTTACATAAAATGCCTTTTCACATTTCTTTTTGAAAGTCAAGTCTCCTTCAACATGCTAAATTTCTTTCCAGTTTGTTTTCAAATGTTTATATTCTTGTTTGACGTCGTTTGCCTTAAATTATGTTAATTTTCAGAATTTTAGATTGAATTTCTCACTCAATTTGACTCTTGCAAAAAATCAAACTTATTTGCTTCAAATAGTGAATTACTTCATTGTAACATTGCTCTCCAAAATTTTAGGATATTTAATTTTTCCTTTTTATTTTATTTTATTCAAAATTGGAAAAAATGATTTAAAATGTTTATAAATAAAGAATTAGCATAAAAAATGATGCTGGTAGTTTATTTTGGACCATAATGAATTTTTTTTTTTTTGTGAAATGAATTTTCAGCTAATAAGTTTACTTGTGTGAGTAAATTTCCATCCAAATTAATTTATTGATTAAAGAACTTTTTAAAATGTTTATTGACTTTGTGAGAGAGCCAGAGATTCATTTTGAAGTTTCAGCTTAAAATTTATAACAAATAGCAGTGATTATTGGGGGACACCCAATGCTACGTCCATGATTGGAACATTCAATCCACATTGAGCCTGTAGGCCAGCGTATTTTCTTCATTGATTTCTATGCAAACAAGGCTTGCCATTGTGCTGCACTGGTGCCCTATATCATAACAGGCAGAAATATTGAGAGTAACAGTGAATACTGTCTGTTTAGAGGTTGTATACCATTTCTATTGCTTTCTCCGTCTGCTCTCTTTTTGCTGACCTTCAGCCCGATTATCAAGTGTCTTTGTAGTGCTCTTATCTGTAAGGAGCTAGACCAGTGGTTCCCAACCTGGGGGCGATAATCCTTAGGGGGGCGACGAGTATTCAAAAGATAAAAATTGCTAATAATGTTAATAATAGAAACTATTTGAGATTGAAATTGAAAATATATATGAAACCTATGGTTCTGGTGTAGACAAAGAATTAGAATGGTTAGAAATTAAAAAAAATTCAAGTGCAGGATCGTTTTCGTCATACGTTTTGGTATCGCAGGAGGAAATCGTATGACAGAAGACAACAAGATAAGCCTAAATCAGCATAGAATCCATGGTCGGAACGCAAGTCGTAAAGAGCTAGAGCACAAGACTTGCTGCGTCATGAAATGATGGGAAACAAGAGAGGCAGAGATGAAATGAAAACGAAAACGATAATATAAAATTAAAAAAAGAAAAGAAAAAAAACAGTTTATTCAACAATATGAAATTAATCAAAACTAAGTCCCCTATCACAAGAGCTGCTCAAAATTGCGACCACCTATATTAATGCAAGCTTTACACCGACGAAGGAGTGACAGCCGTACATTGGCATACACACCAGGCATCTCTATTATGGTGTCAGAAGCTACAGATATCCGGACAACAAGGCTTTCATCAGAATCTATGGGGCCATCTTATAACCGTTGTTGAACAGCCGACCGAATTTTATGGTTTTACAACTGTTAATGTTCAACTCCGTAGTCTTGTAATTTTGAACCCAATCCTGAAGACAAGGGAACTCCTGGATCAAGTACGGGGAGAAATTTGCCTTCGAGGAGAACTTTTTGATAAAACTAACCTACATTTGCGTTACATGAAGAGGAAAAGAGCTAAAACCTTCCACGGTTAATCTGACAGCAAGAGGACTGTAACTCATGATCCGTCTACCAATGAGGATGCTTTACGTCAGCACTGTGGTCAGTGCGAGCTGGATGCGGAATTCGTATCGATCATACATCGCTGGGATTCGAACCCGGTTCATCTCATTGGAAGATGAACGCTCCATCNGACACTTATCTACAATTGTGGAAACAAACTGAGCAGCTTCTCATCTCGTTCCCATCAACCTATTTAGTGGAGAGAGGATTTAGTTCTGTCTTCCAGCTGCTCACAAATCAAGGAGATAGGTTGGACATTTGCTTCAAAGGAGACCCGTGTTTAAATCTGATGAGCATAAAACCTGACATTCAAGCTTTTACTTGAAATACACCAAGCACAGGGCAGTGATTGAAGTTGTAAAAATGTACTTTCTCCCTCTTCATTTTTTCCCTCAAATTTTAGTTGTTAACGTTTTAACTTTTTCTTGATTACATTAAAATATTAATTTTAAAAAATGTACTTTTGTTTTGATTATTCCGTTTTAAATGTAATTTCTTTTTGAAAAGAATGATGCACAATTTTTTTTAATAAATAAAAATGACAGGATAAATGTGCCTCCTTATTTGCATTACAATTTAAATTAAAATCAAATAACATAGCATATTTTCAGTGTTTGGTTGCTCACAAGCAACAATGAATGGTGTTTTGAGCAAGAAGAGAAAGGGGCGATATGTGTCAGCCAACCCCAAGAGGGGGGCGATGGTCCACAAAAGGTTGGAAACCACTGAGCTAGACTTTCTTCCTCACTGATTTATGGTTGATTCAGGTCTCACATGCCTCTTGGTGTCTTTTGAATATTGGTTGTACTACATACCTTTGTAGGCTTGAAACAGCATTTGTTAAGACTATTTTATATTCCTTTATTGAAAGAGCTCTAAGAGAAACAGAATCCAAGAGAAACAGATTAAGTACACAGGGGTCTGTACAGGCCAAATTTACTACTGTTTAGCGGTACCTTCACAAATTCAACTTTACGAAAAGCGGTTGTTTCACAAACTTTTTCTTGAAATTTTATTTTTGTATCCCGTAAGGAACAATAAATCCCTATTTTTGTGATGATTTTTTAATATAATTTTTCACAAATTATGTCTTAATTTTCAAGAAATAGGCAGTGCGGCAATAGGTTTTTCACACTCTGTGAGAAACCTAGACAGACCCCTGGTACACAATATCAAGCTAAAGAATTTAATAAAGTAAAACTAATTTGGCTAGGCAAGAAAAATTTCTGCACTAACGTTTAATGTTGTCGTTTTCACTTTATAATAGATAAATTTTTAATGATATTGTCTGCAATTTAATTAAAGGGTTGTCCACTAATTTGTGTTTTACCATCATAATATAAACATATGATTAGTTAGCCTTCATTCTATAACTTTATGTATTTTCTTCTAATTCTTTCATGTTTTATAAATGAAATCAATTTTAGAGATTCATCTTGACAGCTATAATTTTTACTCTTATGTTTAACTTTAAATCCATTTTAATCTTATTTATTAAAATTTAACATTATTATGTTATGTATTGATATTATTTGATATGAATTTGAATTAATATCTATTTTATGATGTCTTATTTCATGCATGCATATTTTTATGCATGTTAAATTTCATGCATATTTTTATGCATGTTGAATTTCATGCATGCAATGATGATGCATAGTTAACTCATAAATAAGTATAATTATCTTAGTTGGTGATATTTTTTAAAAGTTCTCTGCATTTTTAGAGGTATTGTATTCTAAAAATATATTTTAGCTTATTTATTATTAATGGCTTGTGTCATTCCATGCCTAAATCTCTTTTTTCCATTACATCAGCGTTTTAATGCAAGATTCCACTATTGTTTGTTTCTAGCATGTGTTCAAACTAGAGCAAGAGGAGTATGTTCGTGAGACCATAGAATGGAAGTTCATAGATTTTTATGACAATCAACCCTGTATAGACCTCATCGAGAGTAAATTAGGAATTCTTGATCTTTTGGATGAAGAATGCAAAGTATTTTACTTTTCATTATTATTCTATTACCCTAGTGTAGCATTTCACAGAACGTAACAAAATAAATGTGTAAAGAAACATTTATTGCTGCAATATGTTTCAAAATATAAAGGCATTTTTTACGAGAAAAAAAAATTTAAAATATCCTTATAAATTTTCCTTATACGAGGAAGGAAGGATGAAAAATTATAAATTCCATTATTGACAACATAATTTTCAATTGTTGAGTTAAATCTAATGTAAAAATCACGATTATTTATTAAAAAAGATACACAACATAAATAGTATGTTTTTAACATTGTTATTTTAAAGAAGTTGTCCACGAGTTCATGTGATATGTTAACTAGCACAGTCTGTATACATTAAATACTGCTAAATTGTAAACTAAATGAAATTCTTAAAGTATTTTTCATGTATGTATATTTGAGATGTAGCTGTACCTGCTGCGATGCAAGGAAGGATTGAACACTCCTAGCAATATGAGGGTGGGCATTGTCCTGTTGAAATACAGTGCCTGGCAAGGCTTGAAGGAAGGGAACATCTTGGGGCTGTATAATTTCACTGATGTACCGGTTGCTGTTTATATTACCCACAATTCTTAGCAATTTTAGTTACGTCTATGATATGCTATGGCACCCCAGACCATTACTCCGGGTGTTCGTCCACTGTGGCATTCGATAATGCACCCTGGTAGGTGGCGTTCACCGGGATAGCGTCTGACACGAATGCAGCCATCATGGTACCACAAATTAAAGTGTGATGCGTCAGAAAACACGTCACGCTGTCAATCAGCACACCAGTCCCTATGCAGATTGGCCCATTGTAGCCGCAAGCGCTGATGGTTTAGCGTGAGGGGGATCGTGTATAAAGGAGTCCTTGCGTGCTGTCCACGCTGCAGCAGACGTCTACGAATTGATGAAGCACACAATGAAACACCTGTAACTATTGACCACTGTGTTGCCAGTTGACAAGAGGGAGCCGTACGGTTCGTCAGCGCCATGCGGACCAGGTGTCTATCATTGCGAGCTGACGCGACAATTCGGGGTTCACTCCCGAATTTCCGAGTTGTCCGACACTTGTGCGTCCACTGCTTCCAAACACGCATCACTGTGCTGCTGTTACACTGCACGCGAGCGGCTAAAGCACGATAAGACAATCCAGCTTCACGAAAGCCAATGATTCTCCCCTGTTCAAACTCCGTAAGTTGTTGAAATCTTGCTCTCTTTCGTCGAAGAGGCATAAATAACAATTGAGCTAACGTTTACCACTAGCAGATAACCATACACGCCTCGCTACAGCCGTCTATTTATTCGGATCCATCCGCCGTTCAGAGGGCGCTGCTCAGCATACGCATGCGCTACGGGTCTGATATTCTAATCATTTGCATATCATGCTCTACTTTGCATTTCCTGAAAATTTCAGCTCACTCGCGCAGGGCTGATTGTGTTCCGGAAAAAATCCGGATTTCCGGAATTTTTGCTATCAGTGATCCGGAAGTTTCCGGAGATCAAAGGTCCAGAAGTTTCAAAAAAATCATTGATCACAGAAGTTTCCGGAAATCAAATTTTCAATGGTGGAGCTTAAAAACACAGTTTATTTAATTTTTTGTAAGGGAGAGCCAGAAAGATACTTTATAAGCTTATATTCATGATTAATATNTTATATCTGATTAATATTGAAACAAAGAAAAGTTCACCAGTTCCTATCAAAATTAATATTGTAAAAGTTTTGTAAAATAAAACAGAATGAACTGAAAAATGTGTCGTTGTTAAAACAGGATTCGTGAATTTTTTTTTTAAATTTAAAAAGTCAGATTTTTTTTTATTCAAATACACAGTAAGAACTTTGATTTATGACTAAAAAAACTTCATAAATGTTTAATCAAAATTAAATTAATATTAAATCTATATTGTAAGAATATTTCAAAAGCTCTACCTACCTAAAACAATTTTTCATTATAATACATAGCTTTGAATGCATAGCAACCATTTTGAAACTATTGCATGATTGAAATTTAAAGACTAGATGAAATAAAGAATTTAAAGAATACTTTAACTATTTAAACAAAGTTTCAGTTACCAAACCATAATTTTAATTTAAAATTGTGATTTTTTTTTTCTCTTCTCTTGATTTTTAAAATGACAAAATAAATGTAACTGATTGTGTTTATAAATGTAGTCATTCATCAAAAAATCAATCAATAATTAAGCTATATATTTTTGTATTAAAATATTCATTTTTAATCCTGTATCAAAATAGATAAGTTAAGCTAAAAATAAAATTTTTAAAAATTTATGTACTCATTGAAAATTTTTTTCGCAAATTTTTTTTATGGAAAATCTGATAATGTCAAAGATACTTTAAACATATTATGAGAAAAAAGTACTTAAATATTTACTTTAATCTGTAATTTCAATCTCCAGAATCAAAAGATTTTCAAAAATGTAATTTCAAATGTGTTGAAATTTAACACATACCAAGGAAGAAAGCCATTTCGTTAGCTAAAATTAATTAATGCAGCAATAATAAACTTTAAAACTAATACAGCAATTTATTTAAAATAAATTTTGAAACTAAGAAAAGAAATAATAACAGTTTCAATAATTTGAAACTCTGTTTTTTAACTTTTTAAATCAATATATATTTATAAAAAATCAGTTGATTTAATTCATGATTTAAATCAACAAACCCTGCGTTAAAATCCAAGTAATCAAAGAAATTTGTAAGACTGTTATTGCTTTAGATATCAAAATGATCTCCAAATATCTATTGATACAAATTAAAATCGCTACAGGCATTAACCCTCTGACTGCTTATCCCGCGATTTCTGTGGTCAACTCAATTGTAGCAAAATTTACTCATCCTGTGATTTTTGTGGGCATGTGCTTTTCTTCCTTTATTGAAGAACGCATCCCGCCTTTTCACCACTTCAAAGATGATTGTGCTCTGGAAAAAATCGGGATTTCTGGATTTTTCTCTAATTGCAATCTGGAATTTTCCAGAAATCCAAGGTCCAGAAAGTTCAAGAAATCATCGATCACATTTGTATATAAAAATTCTTGTATATTTTATTTAAAATTATTAGAATTAGAATTTATACTATAATATAAGAATTAGAATTTATAGTATAATATTGGAATTAGATTTTCATTTGTAAATATATCTTTTGGTAGAATAATAAATGTGATTAGAGATAAAAGTAAACTTATACACAATTATTCATTTAAATTATGCTGTGTGGTTTGATCCCCGCCACCTGAAGATTCTGTATGTAGTAAATGGTGACTGATGCACGTTAAATCTGTCGAGTCGCAAAGTCCTCCATGTTCCCATAACAAATAAAGACCTCTGGGGGTAGTGATCCATCAGTTTCCTTGTCTTCTGGATTGGTTCAAAATGACAAGGCTACAAAATTGAAAATAAATAGTCGTAAACCCAAAATTGGGTTGGCTGTTCAACGACTACAATTGTGCTACATATAATTTATTGAAATGGGTCATTAATGATTTTACTCGAGAAATTTTCATTACTTTTGAGTTGGGCTCACAATCACCCCTGTTGTTTAACTAGGGAAATAAATTATATGTAGTATTAGACGTTTAATTTAGTCATTAGTCATTCCACTACTTTGCAGTGTTCGAAAGTCTCTCTAACTTCACTTTGTTTTCCACCTTTTCTAATCAGAAACGGCAGTTAGAAAGCTTTCAGCGATTGACAAAATATATTTGATTTATCAGATTCTGAAAATTATTTTAGTTTTGATAGTGATATAGATTTTTCAGACTGCTTCTCAGATGGAGATGAATCTGATCTGATCAAGATTCAATAAAGTAGCAAAGCATTACGCAATGGTGCAAAATTGATGTAATATATATATATTTATATATACTGCCAAGTCTCCAACTGTTTAATGAAAACTCCTGTATTTTACCACTATCTCCTGTTTACCTGTATATTCTCAAGTTTCTCCCTATTTGGTGAAATTTAAAAAGAAAAAAAAAGTGGCGATAAAATATCCGCTGATGGTAAAAATACTTCTCTTATTCCTCAACAGATAGTGCGCTATAGCCAGCACTGCAGTATGTTGAGTGTGAATAGTTTAAGTAATTATAAGTAATGGTTTAAAAAATATTTTTTAGATTACGATGCATATACATATTTTTTACTTCGCCAAATGTACGTGCTTATGTTATTTCCAATTTTGAATTTCTCTTTTTGACTTACATGATTATGCATGATGTATCAAAACTTTACTCGTAGTCTAAAAAATGTCGCTAATAAAATCTCCGTTTTTTCATTTCTCCAGTGTTGGCAGGTACGTATATATATATATACACACACATAAAGAAGAAGAAGAAAAATTTTGAAACGATTTCGATCCACCAATTGAGCAGCCACCTAAAGGTTTATACGAAGTCTAAGGGAAACTTGTTCTTAAATAAACTAATCCATTGTATCATTATCAGTTTCAAAACGATTCACAAATCCACTGTACTTATGAATTCAAAAGTACCTGTAGCGTTCATAATTGCTACTCAAAACTTGATACAGTCGAACTCGTTTATAACGAGCACAAAGGGACCATAACATGTACTCGTTAAATCCGAGTGCGCGTAATAAACGGGTCCTTAAGGCAGGCGTGCAAGCAGAAGAGGGGGGGGGGCTTGGGAGGTCAAATGATTAAGTTTATTTAAAATTTAATTAATTCTTACTTACTTTAATTACATTAATTGATTTAATTAAATACTTTTCTTAATTTAATAACGAACTCAGAATTTCCAAATTGTTCAGCAAATTTTTCTGCTTGCACTTTTAGAATAAGTCCATTCACAGCTAAATCAGTTCTACGTTGCACCTTCATCCATTTCAATAACGCTTCGTTCAAATCCTCTTTCGAACACTTCTTCAGTCGTTTACAGTCTGCTTTATTTTGGTCGTTTGCATCCATTAACTTGCCTTTGTTTTTTAGCAGTGCGGAAACAGTAGATGAAGACAATCCTTACCATTTGCAGATTTCGACATTTTTAACACCGTCATCCTACTTCCGTAAAATTTTTACTTTTTCGTCAACCGATAAAACTTTAGAGTGATAAGGGCAATTAAATTTCAGTTCGTGTTTTTTTTTCTTTCTGATTTCGCGCGAATTTTTTATCATTTTGAAAGAAAGATAAGACAGAGAGACTATAAAGATGTGAAAAAAGATTGCAAGACAGAAAAATATTGCTGGCTAAAACCGGGTCTTGCTCGTTAAAAGCGACTTCTGTTTCATAGACTTAACATTGATTCAACCAAATATTCTCGTTTCCCTCGGTAAATCCGAGTTCTCGTTAAACCCGAGCTCGTTATAAACGAGTTCGACTGTACTATACTTGTAATTGTTTCAAAAAGAAATTATCACTAGATTCATTTGCAATGAATAAATTAAACTAACATTTTTGATGCTGCCATGATGTTAGCTCTCAGATAATTTTCATTTGTTTGTTTTTTAGAAATTCTTAGAGTTTTACTTAATTTAATGTTTTAAAATTTAATTTATACAAAATGTACTTTATGAGGTATTCATTTGATGTTTTAAGTACTAAGTACAAAATATCAGATGTATTGATGCAAACCCAACTCTACTCTTAGCCTAAACGGAAATGCATATTTAGATAATTAAATGTGCTTTTCAATTTCAAAATAATTTAGTGCATGTTAACCAACTGATAAAAAAGTTTGTAAAAATGTTGTCGTTTTATTTGTTTTATATTTTAAATGACACATTTTGTTACAAAATCAGTTTTTGTTTTTTTAAAGATGCCGAAAGGTTCAGATGAGACTTGGTGTCAGAAACTGTTTTCTCAGTGTAAGAAGTGGAAGCATTTTGAAAAACCCAGACTCTCAAATACAGCTTTTATTGTCCATCATTTTGCAGACAAAGTGAAATATGAAGTCTCAGGTTTTTTAGTAAAGAATAGAGACACTGTCATGGAGGAACACATCAACATACTTAAAGCTAGTCAAGTAAAAATAATTCTCATTAATATCTTTTGTGCTGAATGAAAAGTTTTTTTGTTCCTTAATAAAAGCATTTTANATTCATTACGCTTTGAGTGGTCACCATTTTTTAAAAGATAAAAATAAGAAACAAAATTCCCTGTATTTTCCCAGTTTATAAAGAAAAAATAAAAATTCCCTGTTATTTTAGGTGATTTTTAAATTTCCTGTATTTTCCAGGTTTTCCCTGTGGAGTGGCAACCCTGCCAGATTCCGGTTACCTCCTATATTTGAAAGGTTAAGAATCCAAAGATGCAAAAAAACATATATGTTAATGCAGAGAAAATACATTTTTGTGTTTGATTCATAACTTAATTAATGGTTAGCACTTAATAATTAGCATATTTGAGGTCATATTTATTTATTTACTTATTTTTTGATGTAATGATGATTTACGAAATGTGACAAAATCTCTCACAAAATGTGAGAACATCGTCCGTGATATTAGAGTAAAAAAAATATTGCACATCCATTTTAAAAAAATATATAAAATTTTATTTTATCCAAATAGTTTTTTTTTTCCTTTTGTAAATGCAACATTTTTGTTACTTTAAATTTAATTAGTAACATGTATATTTCTTATTATTAAAAGTATCTTGCAAAGAGATATTAGTGTCAGAGGGGTTTGTTGCAGAAAGCCCAAAAAAATTCTGCCACGGGGATGTTTGATTGTATTATAAGGTTTATTATAAAGTATTATAAGGCTTATCTTTTTTATACTTTTTATTTAAATTTTAAAAAATTACGATTATTAATTAAATTATTGAATTACTAATTACAAAAGTTACTTATTCAAAAATTACTAATTTAGTAATCTTATTATCAGATCTGTTTTTTTTAGTAAAGTATCTCTTTGTAGCTCTTGTAATTCTTCACTGTATTATAATTTTTATTATACTATATACTTATCATTCTTCTTTCAGAACATACAGCAAAAAATTTAAATTCTGTATCTTCTTCAAAAATATTATTTATTTTTTTGGAATTTGCAATCCATAATTATTTATTAGTGTTTCTCCCATTAAGGGCTAAGGTTTTTAATTTCACATTTTCCCCCAATTTTTTCTTTTTAATTGGTAGATCACTCTTTTCGTTTTATTCTATTCTCTTTAAATTCTGCAAGCCATAATGTTTTCCTTATCTGTGAATCATCAATAAAAAAGAAATCAATTCAGAGGTATGGCTTAACTGGAAAAATTTTTCCAGTCTGAAAATCAGTTTTTCTTACAACACAATCGGTAAATAAAAATCTTCAAGGTAGCAACAATTTGACTTGATTAAATACTCCTAATATAATGATCTCCTGTTAGTTTTGCATAGGAGAGTCACAAAATAAGGAAGGATTGTAACGTTGTTGTCCTATTTAAAGGGAATCGAAAAAGTCAGTTTGTGTTTCCATTATCAATTGTTTAATGGAATGATGATGATTTGGTATTTATCATTCCATTGTTTAATAGAAGTTTTAAGATTTTGTGCAATAACTTTCAAAATATGGAAATTTATTCTGAGGGAAACAAACTTTTGCCATATCATCCTCACGTTATTGTTTTGATGTATTTTGCTTTTTCTATATTAATACAATATTAGAAAGTAATCATCTTGCGGATATAATTGTGTTAGCTGATAATGAGATTATATCTTTTTTTTTCTGGCTTTTTAAAATTATTTTTTATTTTTTAAGTAAAATTTTTAATTTTTTTTAAAAAAATGTTTTAATTTAATTTTTTTTTCATAATTTGTTCAACATATTTTGTTCATGTTTTCTCTTAAACTTTTAACCTTATTTATGAGTTTTATATGCTTGTAACTTATGCGCAATAAATGAAACTTTAAATTGCTTAAAAAAAAAAAAGATATTAACTATCCTCTTAATTTGATTGATTTACCTTATTTTTGCTGATTTTTTTTATTTACTCTTTAGAAAGTAGTTAATGATAATAGTTTGAACAGAGAGAGAAGCTGTCCACTTTTACTGATAAAGTGTTAAAGTTAGTTGGAGTGTTAAAGTAAAATTATTAGTGTTTAATAAGGAGCCTGTTGAAACCATGTATAAAGTTAAAATATGTAGGAAAGGAAATTTATGTAAATGATGCTATGTAAATATATATATTAAATTTTTAATCTCACATATATTTTGATTCACTTCCTATGTTTAGATTATTTGCCTTAATTAAAGTCATAAATAGGAATAAAATAATTTCACGCTTTTGGCATCAGTGTCAGGGGTCTATCCAGACATTCATTCAAAAGTGTGAAAAGTCCAATTTTTGAAAAATTGTGAAAAAACTACTCATAATTTGTGAATCTAAAATTACTGTTCAGTCACGTTCGTTCAACCAGGGACCTACTTTGGTGAATTTGTACAAATAGGGTCCTGTCATTGTTAAAATTGCAAAAAAGCACTTTCAATGAGTTTTTAAATTGTAAATAGATACAAGATTTTACTCAAAACTGTAAAGTTATAATAATAGAAAATTAAATTTTCGCAAATGTCATAATGTCTTACATGTTAGGTAAATTTTTAATAACATTTTATTTAAAAAAAATTTATATTAGATAGTTTTTAATTAAATAGTATTCTCTTAATTAATTTTATGAATTATTAAATTTATTTACTAAAAGAAAATAAAAATTATTACTTATTAAATATTAATTAGAAAGTTCAGGGAGAAAAAAGAGCCACTCTGAATAACTTTTGATGTAATAATGGGATCTTTACGTTCTAGGACTCAATCTTAATGACTCGAGGCAGTGACCTCAAATAGGCTAATTAATTAGTGCAGACTATATTTTAAGAAAAGGAATCAGACAGAAAAACTTACTTTCACTGAATAAACATCTTTTTTGACGGATTCAAATTTCTGCCCCCCCCCCCATCCAAAAAAAAGCCGCATAGTTAAAATTCAATTTCTTGAGAGGGACCATTCGATCGATTTTGCTTAAATTTTGTATTTTGCCATGTAAAATTTTATTCTTTCAAATGGTGCAAAAATTTTTATACCTTACAATTCAACACTTTTTCGCCCATTATTAAATGAGATAATAAAAAATAATAAATATTTTCTAAAAGTTAATTTTTGCATGGCATTATCTTTAAATAAACAAATGTTAGTAAATGCGTGCCAACATTTTTCAATTCGCTTGAAAAGTTCTCAATATAGTGAGATATAGTGAAATACGCAAAAAGTAAAATTAACGTTAAGGGGTGCAAGCTTTAGAGCGCTCTCCTGACCAAACTATTGGGACCCTATTCCCCAGATTGCTGCTTTGGCGGTTAGAAATCCGAATTTGTCTGAAAAAAGGTACGCTCATTCAGAGAAAGTGCGATTTTGTATGTTTGACTTTGTGACTTAAAATATCGTCTGCATTTAATAATTAGCATATTTGAGGTCACCTCGAACCATTAAGATTGAGTTTTATAACATGAAGATTCGATCATTAGATAAGTTATACTGGGTGATCCTTTTTTTTTGTGCACTATTCACATATTTTGCTGGAAGTAGAAATAATTTCTAAGAATACTGCATTTGGCATTTATAACTTTTATATTTGATTTTGAAGGGGTTAAGCTACAAAATATAAATAAAATATTAACAAGATAGATAAATTTGTAAAATCGCGAAAATAAAAACGAAAAAAATGTGACACGACCAGAGTTGCCTGTTTGTAACATATTCTGTTTTCTTGTTACACGTTAAGTTGAGAGTGCCGATTACTGACTTCATCAGCTTACGCCCAATTTGGAAGAGAGAAAAGGAGGGCACGGTTCTTTTAGATCCGTCTTTCACAATTCGATTTACAAAGCAAATTATGAAGATAAACAAATTTGATAATGGTTCGATTAAAAGATTAAATATTTTGTGAAGGGTTCGTTAACAGACCCAAATTTCTTCTAAGCAGACCCCTGATTGTGTCAGTAGACACTTTTAACTTAATAATCTTGCTTGATTTTTTCTGCCTTTCCCAGGGGTGATTGTGCTCCGGAAAAAATCCGGATTTTCGGAATTTTCGCTAGCAGTGATCTGGAAGTTTCCGGAGATCGAAGGTCCAGACGTTTCAAAATATCATTGATCACAAAAGTTTCCGGAAATCAAATTTTCAAAGGTGGAACTTAAAAACACAGTTTATTTTATTTGTTTGTAAGGGAGAGCCAGAGAGATACTTTATAAGCTTTTATTCATGATTAATATTCATTTTTTATCAGTAAATAGTTGTTATAATCATAAACTCAAGAAAGAAAGACATATTTGTAAATTTTAATTACTTCTCCAGGTCATCATAGCTATGTGTAAATGGTATAGGTATGTGTAAAATTTTAAATATATTTTAAGTAAACTAAGAAATGTCGGAAAAAAACCTTGTTTAAATCAATTTAAACTGTTTTTTGTGTTTTTTTAACTCAAGAAATTTTCCGGAATTTTGACTTGGGCTCACAATCACCCCTGCTTTCCTGATATTGGATTATTTTTTAGGAAAAAATTATACTTCTTCATGGTTACCAAGTTTTTAAAAAATAAGACTTAAAAGTAAATTTTCCATTTGGGTCGTCAATTAATGCTACAAAAAAAGAATGGTTATAAAAGGAAAAATAAATCCTTAGAAAAAGGGTATAAATTCAAGTGAAAACTTTAACGTATATTTCGTATCTCAGGATATCAAAATATATATAAGTCTGTGCAGCCTGTTTAAGGAAGTCAATATCCATTCACTGCTTTGCTTGCCAATTTTTTTGAAAACAAAAAATCAACCTATATTTTTATTTCATTAATAAATACAAGAACTGAAACTTAACATAATACGTTTTAAGTTGAAATTTAAATTTTTTTTATGTCTAAGAAACTTTTAATTTACTATCTGTTTAATATTCCGAGTTATCTCGGTCAAATTTAAATATTAGTCTTTGTGTGATAATTTCTTAAAACAAGGGACGACACAAAGTGATACTTTTCAAACGTCAGTGATGGAATACGCCATTTTTTTATTTTTTTTTTACTCTTATTGCTATGTCAATTCAGTGACCATTGTATATACAATCGCACAAAACAGATGTGCAGTCCCACAGTCCAACAGCTAAATTCCCAAATAAAACTTGGCAATCTTCTAACCACAGCAGGTTATGTTTTTTGCTTCCGACCGAGTAAAAACGGGATAAAAAAATGTACTGACACATTCTGCTACAGCCGAGTTTTCTCGGGATGATAAATATTAGTTAACTCGGTTAACACACGAGTTAACTCGGGATATAATCAGGGAAGCGGTTAATATAATAAAACTGAGTTTAAATTAATTGCTTTTGTCATCAAACATGTTAAAACCAAAATCTAGTATTTAAATGCTATTAAACAAAATTCTTTCATAGTATGAATTGGTTGGAGAGCTCTTTGAAGAACAGAAGGAAAATAACAGCCTGAAACCGGTTGCCAAAGTAAGATCAGCTGCTCCTCCTCTCAAAAGCGGGCAGAAACAACACAAGAAAACTGTCGGATCTCAGGTGAACATCTCCTCTTTAGTTTTATTTATCCCTAAATACCTAAGAATCACTTTTAGTTTAGTCAACTCTTTTTAGGAGCATTTTTTTTGTTTGATTTATCTAATCTCAAATTTTTTTTTAAAATTCTCTTAAGAATATATATAACATATTTTACATGGTGCATAGCGTTTTTATTAAGTGCTTAAAGGTGCATATTTTTGTTTTTTAAAAGCCCTTGAAGGCACTTTTTTTATTAGGTGTTTTTAAAAAGTGCTTAATTTTTTCTTTTTGAAATTTATACTTTTTCTTGACCGTGGCAATTTTCGCCACCTTTCATGCAAAAGCGTGGTTTTATTCAATGTTTTCACAATTCATTCAAACACAATGCATTTCAGCATACTGTCGGTCCGTAGCGTATGGAAGCGCCAACCACTTCACATATTTGATGAAATACTTGCAGGTCCTCATGTGTGCATCTACTGATCTGGGTTCTGTGAGATTGTTGCACTCTCATGTGCAACTCTGCTGCATTTTGCACAATATTCTCAATTTCAGGCTTCATTCTCTGAAATGGAACCGAAAAATCTCTCGATCTTTTTATTGTGGCTAATATAATCAAGAAAAGAGTTCTTTGCCAGAAACTATTCATTTTATCATGTAAAGTGTTTGAAAATTACTTTGCAATTTGTTATTGTATATAGTGTTTAAAAATATTTGTTGAGTGCTTAAAAAATACAAGGTGCTTATTTTTTGTTGAAAGATTTGACTACGCATCCTGTTTTAGAGATGGAAATACATTTATAAAAAGGAAATTCTTTTATCGTATTACCTAAATTAAATTTGATTCTAAGAAGCAGTTTTTTAATGAAATTTTGGGTGAGGTTTTCAGAATTTTGCATACTGTTTGCCTTTATAAATTATGAGTTCATACCTGCAAATAAACACAATGAATACGAATTGTAATTTTTATTTTAATGAAGAAAATGTTAAATTTTTTTAACTATTGATTCATTATTTTTTCCTGATCAAAATTTATGTATTCTCCATTATTCTTTGCCGTATTCATCTTTCACTGTTGTGCAATTGGTGGGTGTGTCTTAATGCAGTGTTCTCACTGGTTCTCAACTAACCCTAGTAATTTCGCTAATCTGAGAGCAAAAACCTTCGCCAAATTAATTCTCTCTTCTTACCCCAAGTTACTGATCTAAATTCGACTATCTCAATAATACATTTGAAAAAAAAAATTACAAACACATGTACTAAGTAACACTAAAAAATATTTTACTTTCAAGAATTCTTTTTTGAAGTTTCAAAGATCTTTTGTTGTGCCCGTTTACATGCATTAGTATTATCATTCAATAATAACTTCTCTGCCTAACGCTTCTAATTTTATATTACTTTCAGCACAATAGTAGTTTGCTTATTAGGCTTCATACTGAACCAGCCAACATGTTGTAAACCTAAGAGATTGAATGAGGCTTTTAAACCAACAGATAATGAAGAGTGACCACTGTTAGCGAGATTTCCGTGCAATGCCCTCCAATCCACATGATTGAAAGGTTTTTTAGACAAATTTAGCAAACACTAATGAAAGTGATCAAGTGAAAAAATATTTTTTTAGGTCTCCCATTTTGGAGAGCACAGTTGTTCATTTTGTCGCCAAATGTGACATTTTGTTGCAATTTATCGCAATCATCAGAGAGAAACCTGGTATGAAAATTTTGAATGGATCAAACTTGCCCTAATGGTATTTAAACTGGAATAGTGTTTGTTCTATTTTCAATAATGAGATAAATAAAAACTTTCAATTAGTTTTCAAGTGATTTGTTTTGTAATGAAGCTAGAAACCATTTTGTTAAAACTTTCTAAAGTGCAACTTGTTAAGAATAAACTTTATTGCAAAAAATTTTTTTCTATCTTTCTATTGAATAAGGTCAACAATTGCATAAAATAAACTAAAATTCGTTTCATACGTGAGAGAATTTTTCATTTCATCAATCAGTTCTTTTTTTAATAAATGTTTATCGACTAAATTACGGTAAAAAGAGTTTGGCGATTTCTTATTAAATTATGTTTTGAGTTGTAAGGCAATACTTAATTTAATATGGGAAAGCTGGAAAATATTCTAGTTTTGCATATTACTGTTATTGGTGCGCTAATAATAAAGTTTTTCCTTTAAAATTCCATCCTTTATTCAACACACTTTTATTTTATGTAACGTTATATATAAATATTTAATAAAAATTTATTTATACAGTCAGGCCTCGATATAAGGTCACCCTAAGGGACATTGCCAAAGTGACTTTATAAGCAGGGTGATCTTTTAACCGATTCATTAGCAGTTTGTAACTAAGCACGTAAATAGTACACATTATGATTTTTTAAAAAGGGTAATACAAACGAAAACGATCTGCCATAAATTAAATATTTAAGTCAATAACTTTTAACAGAATTAGTAAATAATTGAAGAAAGTTACATTTTTAAATTTTTTTAAAATTTAAAATAAAGCTATTTACAAATTTCCTCAAAGTGTACATACATACATTACATCTTACCTTATTTAAAATGATCATTTATGCAAGTCTGTCTCGTTTTTGGTTTCATTTTTCGAACAATGTTTTCTAGATTTTGTAACTTCTTAAAATGTTTCTCAGCTCCCTCATGGTTTGTAAAAAAATTTCGTATGACATTTATTGCATTGAAGACTTGGGTTACTGCTACAGTCGCAGGATCACTGTCATTGTCTTCACTGTCCACAACTTGTGAAACAATTTCAGAAATTGTAGCTTGTTCTTTGGCTGCAACATTTTCCTAGAACTTGAGAGGGGTAATTGCCTTGTAAGGAAGTTAAATAAACTTTTGTTAGAAAAGAGATTGCCTTGTAAGGAAGTTAAATAAGCTTTTGTTAGAAAAGAGATTGCCTTGTAAGGAGGTTAAATAGGCTTTTGTTAGAAAAGAGCTCCCCTCTTTGTTCTTTGACTGCAACATTTTCCTAGAACTTGAGAGGGATAATTGCCTTGTAAGGAAGTTAAATAAGCTTTTGTTAGAAAAGAGATTGCCTTGTAAGGAAGTTAAATAGGCTTTTGTTAGAAAAGAGCTCCCCTCGCCTCAGAAAAATGACCTTATAAGCTATAATGATTTTTAAAACTTGACCATATATCCAATAATCTGTAACAAAGAATTCCTATTCAGTGAGCCGGGACTTTGGAAAAGTTACCTTATATGCAGGGTGACCTTATATACGAATGACCTTATATCAAGGTCTGACTGTAATTGAAGTTATAATTTTCTTTTGTCTTTACTGTTTTATTGTTATGAACTTTATTACTATTTTATTTTTTAAAATTATCTTTCACAACTCTTCTCTCACGCTTGTGGGATGGGGGCAAATCATTTAGTGCCCAAAATATTTTGTTGCAGAAAGTTCAAAATTGAAATCTTTGTTGTTTCAGTTTCGTGATTCATTGTGTCTTTTGATGTCGACTCTCAATGCAACAACTCCTCACTATGTGCGCTGCATTAAACCCAATGATCAGAAGGAAGCTTTCCTGTTTGAACCTCGTAGGGCAGTACAACAGTTAAGAGCCTGTGGAGTCTTAGAAACCATCCGATTGAGTGCAGCTGGCTATCCATCAAGGTTGTCTTTCATTTTCTCTGCAATCATTAATACCTATATGCAATCATTAATCATTAATACATTAATCATTAATACATTAATAATTCAAGGGTTCACTATATTGGTTCCTCAAACAATTTTAATTTATCTTTCCGAACTTCTTATTACACATTATTTAAGTAAATGACCCATAAAATAAAATACTAAAATAACTGAAAAATAATACATAGTAACAAAAATGTGTTAAATTTAATTTTTTATAACTCTTTGCCTTACATACTTTAGCTGATGCGCAATCCTCAACATTAGATATGGAAACACTTACCAATTCTCGGATAATTTTCCTGAATTTATGTTATTCCGCTTTTTAAACCCATCCATTCGAGCACATAAAAGTAGTCTCACCCAATCACTTAACAATTCATCGACTTTCACTCGAAGCATTTGTCCAGATACTGGACGATTGCGGCTTCTTTGAATGCAGAACCAATTCAATAATGGTATTCACTGATGAAGCAAATAAGAAAAAATTCTTATTGCTGCATTCCAAGCTGTAGATGGTTTTAAAAATCGGTATATGTATTAATTTTGAGTAAAAATGTCAAAATTATTGCAAAAAAAATGAAGAAAATAAATCAGTCAAAGACAGAAAAAAGTTCATACTATCCAACTTCCTTTCTTTTTTTGGATCATTATATCCACAAAAAATAACATTATACGTGTGCAGCAGGACAAGGAAACGAACATTTCGTTCACTTTATCCGGGAGTTCACTATATTATCCAGGAGTTTGTCTGTAGAATCTGCCATAATAAATAATCAACCAAAAAGTTTAAAAAAGGTTTGATGAGATATTGGTGAGAAGTGGCAAGCTCGTATGGCGTGAAAATGTCGGTGTAAAAGTCTTAAAATGACTCATTTCAAAAAACTGTTTTTTTGATTTTGTATTGAGTTTGTAGCTTACCAATTTTTCTATTTTACTTTTCACAATATATATTGTGATTAAATTTTATAAAATAAATTTTTTTAATACCATCAGGAAAATTTTTAATATAGGCTTATTCAAGTGCCAGGTATTTTCTTTTATAATTAGTACTATTATAGATTCTTATAGAATTACTGTAAGTCAAACTATGATGAAACTCACAAGTTGAAGAACTAGAGACATGCAATCATTCAAAATTCAGTTCTGATCAGAAGTGGTTCTTCTGGTTTTGAGTGCAGGTTTTTAATTTAAAACTGAATCCTGCAATCTTTTGCTATCTGAATAAGTTTTAATTTTAGCTTTTGTTTTGTGATGGAAAATTTTTAATCAATGTTTATTGAATTTTTTTACTTATATTTATGTTGCATTTTAACTTTTTAATTCTAGAGTGATTCTGGTAGAATTTAGACTATTTTACTTTATATATGTTATATTCTTTTAATTATTGTATTAATTTTGCCTTATCAATTAATAAGTAAGTGAGTGAAAAAACAGTGTGAAAAGTGTCTATTAATAAATGAATAAAAAAAATCTCACTTTTTAAGCAATTTGCCTGCAAGTTGTAATGTAGGGATATTATTTATTCACAATGTCAACCTTCATCTATGAAAAGGTACCCCTTCATAGAATCGAGTTAACATGTCTTATATGTACTAGTGAATTGGAATTATATTTTTATAGTGGTAGATACACGACAGTACACTCCCACCAGAATTATATCTGTTATAGAATTTGATGAACGGATACCATTAGTTGATTCATTGCTGTTTTCTGCTAAGCCGGGAGAGCTGTATTAAGATCACCGTATTTTTTATCTGATTGTGAGAGCTGAATTGAGTTCACGGTTGTGGTCGCTCCTGTGTTGCCTTTAGAAGTCGAGTGTTTGACGTTGTGTGTGATCGAAACTGAGTAGCAACAGCGTGAGGAAAACTATGTCGCAGTCACAAGTAGCAAGTCAACTGTTAAATGTGCAACATCCATCGGAGTAGCTATGTTCAGATCTAAGTGGCTGTTACTGTCAAGGTAGGACCTGTTCACATCACGTCCGAAGGTCACCAATGTGCGGATAGTAGTTATCGACAATGTCAACCTTCATCTATGAAAATATACCCCAACGTAGAAAAACATGTCTTATATGATAGTGAATTGGAATTGTGTTTTTGTAGTGATAGATATGTTACCGTTAAAGTATATAATGCAGTTATTTCATAGAATACCTAGTTATTCCATGAAATAACTGATCGTGTCCGTTAAAGTCGTGTAATATGTTATTAATTTGACACTTTAACTAGTTATTCTATGAAATAACTAGATATTCTATAAATTAACTAATGAGAGACAGTTAAAGTGTAAAATAAACAATTTATCGGAAGTGAAATAACTAGGTATTCCGTAAATAAACTAATGATAGACAATTAAAATGAAAAAGAAGCAATTTGTCTAATTTATGCAGCGTATAAATGGTATTTATGGAAACGTAACATAAAATCATTTGTTACAACAAGGATTACTAAAATGACACTTGGAATTACAAAGAACATTATTTCTAAAACAAAAACATTTTTTGTTGACACACTGGATTTTACACGAACATTTTTTAAATCCCTGACCAGTACAAGATATATGATATAGATTATTTTACACTTTAACGGGCTGCAGATCGTTATTCTATGAAATAACTAGTTAAACCATAAAATACAAGAGAGTTTTACACTTTAACGGACACGATCAGTTATTTCATGGATAACTAGGTATTCTATCAAATAATGGATTTCATACTTTAACGGTAACAGATACACTACATCTAGCATCTCAAAAATTGCAGATTTTAAAAAGCATAAACAAAAATCTTTGTAGAAACTATAATAAGTTTTAAAAAATTTATCTTAACTTGAAATTTATTATCAATAGGTACAACCTTTTATCCTGCTGAATTTTAATTGTCTACTCAGTTTTTTTATTTCTATTGTTTTAACTCGACTTTTGTACTTTTTAGGCTGTTTTAACCAATTTTCTTGTTCTTAGCATCTATGTTTTGATTGTAATTGTTTTTATCTTGGCCTTTTGGCTTTTATTATTTTTGACTACTTCTCTAATTGATTTTAACTGTTTTAGTTTTTACAAGCCCTTTTGATTTTAACTTTTTTCTGATTTTATAAGCCCTTTTGATTTTACAGTTTTCTTGATTTTATTGTTCTCTTAGATTTATCTATCTCAACACATTCTAACTGTTTTTTTTCTTCTCAATTTTAAAATAATCTTTTATACTTGGTTGCCTTATACTGGTGTTTCATCCCCTTCCAAGATCGCTGCTTATCCCACTTTTAGTGGTGAATTATTGTTTGTTTGTATCATTGCCTATTTTGTTGTGAAACTTAATCTTAAATTGTGAATTTAAAAAATTACTCCTCATGCTCTATTTAGTGCAGGTCGGTTATTTTATTTTATTTATTATCAATAGTAGGACTGGGGTATGTTAAGATTTTGGCATCACAATATTTTGATGCATCGTGATGTTTCGGTACATTAATGTTTTATATTTAGTGCTACGTAAATTCGCAATTAGTAAGTTCAATTTTTTTAAAAAATTAACCTTGCATTTTTTTATAATTATTTCTCAATATTTACAGACGTGGATGTCTGTAAAATATCGGTTAAAAAACATTCAACAGCTGGATTGATTGTAAAAATATCAATAGGATTTGCACAGCACATCAATTCTCAATCACTTTCGGATTTATCATATCAGCAAAACCATGAATCATGATGTAAAAAAATCATGGAAAGATAACGATCATCGCCACAGCCATCATTGCACACTTACAGGAGAAAAATGCTGTTTGCTCGAGCTTGCAGACATTGATGTACTATCGGGAACAATGCTCAACATTGCGCGTGTAGACATTGGTGTCAATGATTCATCGGTAAATATTGTGCTCATTTGAGTAAATCATAATTTTCCATGCTTCGTAAGATTTCCAATTCAACCATGGGATCGGCGATGATTGCATAGATTCGATATTTTTGATGCATCAATTTATTGCCCAGTCCTAATCAATAAGTATCTACCATTGTACCTTCAATTTTGTAATTATTTTGTTCAATTATTTATTGCCCTTGTAATATATATTCAAACTACTTTTTAGGTGGACGTACCAAGATTTCTTAAACCGCTACCGAGTTTTGACATCCTCGAAAGATATCAAGCGTTCTGATCTGAAAACGACCTGCCAAAAAATATTGGAAAATTTAGTTCATGTAATTATTTTTATATTAATCAACTGTTTTAAATTTAAAATGATTTGAATTTCAACTACCATGGTGCTTAGCGTTTTTAAAAAGTGCTTGATGGTGCTTATTTTTGATTTACGTTTTTTAAAAGCTATTAAAGGGGCTTTTTTTCATTCGGTGTTTGTGAAAAGTGCTTAATTTTCTATCTTTCAAAAATTGATTTTTTTCTTTGCCCTTTTGTCGTTCTAAATTACAAAAAAAAAATTCAGGATATTCAGAATTTTCTCTGCAATATTTATCAGAAACTAGTTATTTTTATCATGATTATGTCAAGATTTTCAAAATGTTTTGGAATTGTATTGATTTTATGTTTATATGTATTGTGTTAGAACTTTAAATGATAGAAAAAATAATTGTTATTACTTCACAGATCCTAATTATGATTTTTTTTTTAAAGTGACTAAAAATATTTGAGTGCTTAAGAAGTACTTAAAAGTTGCTTATTTTTGTTAAAAAATCTAGCTACGCATCTTGTAATATTTTCTCTTATATTTTTTATTAATTTTATGTTTTTCTATTTTGTTTACAAAATGAATTTTTGTAACTAATGGGCAAGCTTACTTTGAAAAACAATGTTTTGTGTTTCATAACAGGGTCAAAGAAAATCTGGGATTTCACACATACACATGTGTGAAGAATGAGAAAATGCATAGTTAGCTTTAAGTAAAAGTTAAATTTTAGCAAAATAAGTATGATAATTGTACGAGATTTTAAATTTACCTTATATTGTTTCCTGGCCTTTTTTTAAACAATTTTTCAATATAATGTATTTTTAAAAACATTTTATTTATTTATTTATATATATATATGTATCAATAAATGAAATGTTTTTAAAAATAGAAACAAAATGAGGCAAGCTTATTATCTCATTAAAGCTAATGATGTGTCTTCTCATCCTAAATAGAAGGTTTAATTTTTTTAATTCAGTAGTGTTTTAAATAAGAAAAGGACAACCAACAAATCAATGATGACAGTTTTAAAACTTATTTATTACTAGGTTCAAGTCTTTGAATGATGCCCTCAATTTTCTCATTCACTCTTGATCAGCATGGGTTGAATGGGCTTTTAGATAGACTTTTTCATCATTTTTTGTGTAATGAAGATATTTGCTAGAAGCCAGTCGAGATCCAATAAAGAATGTTCGGAACTACCCCTATGGCAGAATTTTTTCAGACTTTCTGTGTCATACCTCTCCATTACTAATATCTTCCTGATAGATATTTTAATCAATAATAATAAATACACATGTTACTAATTTAAAGTAACAGAAGCATCAACTTAAAAAACAAAAAAAGCTTTTTGTATAAATAATATAATTGTTTTAATCGAACATGTAGTATTTTTTCATTTTAATATTATGGGTGATCGCATTTTGTTCGGGGAAAATGCACTAATCATTTCCTTTTTCCCTTTTCGTATATCCTCATCACATTAAAAAGAAATAATAAAAAATCGTGAAATCCATCACCAAAAAAAAAAAATTTGTGAAATCCAATTACCAAAAAAAAAAGAAGAAAAAAGATCGATGCCGAAATTACACTTATCAGATTCTTCAAAAAAGGGTTATTTCTCATTTATACTAAATGCATATTTTCATTTTGAGTTTTAGTTGTTGTAATAAATAATATCGTATTAAAAATGTAGGAATTTAAAAACTATGTGGAAATCAATTATAATTACTGAATAAAAAATTTTAAAGAAAATTTTTTACTTCATTATTCTTTATTTTTCATTGTTCTCAAATGTGAATAGAAAAATCATAAGCATTTTTTTTCACACCGATGCACGAGAAAGGCATCTTTTAAATATAATTCTGAAGAAAAGAAAAAAATTTTAAGAAAATTACTGAGAACCAAAATTTTTTACTTCCCAATTGTACTTCTTCCAAATGTAAAACTTCCCAAATGTCTTTCTGCAAGAACTTGGTATCGCTCTGCTATATTGTTGCCGTGTCACCACGGATGGGAGGGAAGGGGAACTACAATTATTACATGAACTAGGGTTACCCTGTGTGATCAAATTTTTTTAATTAGCAGCAAACATGAGAAGAGTTATTCTAGTTAGAAGTACTGATCATTTTTATAATGCTCCAAACACTGCATAAAACTATTTTCTCTGAGACTTATGTATAGTTATTAAAAAATTTTGATTTAATTATAAATTTCAAACAAATCTGATTTATTTGATTTAAACAAATTTGTTTTCATTTTAATCCTATTTTTCTTACTTTTTTTTACCAGCCAAATAATCAAATAAAATGTATTAATAATATTTAATATTATTTAGAAATAATTAATATTTGTAACTAATCTGTTCACAATTGTTTAATTAATTTACGAGCAAAATAATTTTAAAGACAGGAAGGCAATTTTAGTGTTAGATATCCAATGAAGAATAAATTAGTTTAGATCGGTAAACGTTACTCAAAGAAAATGAACAACGAAAAACAATTATTTAAGTTACTCCAGGTAGAACAAGTCTTTCTTTATTATTGATAGACACTAAATACATATTGAGTTTTATAAGCATTTATTAAACTAAATGTGTATACTTAAAATATGCTTATTAACAACAAATTATTATACATACAGCTAAAGGAAAATTATAATTTAAAAATTTTGCTTTGATCGTATCTGCTTTTAGGCTTTCTTTTTTTATAATTTTTATTCATTATTTATCAATCTGGTTTGAAATATAATAATTTACATACACCACACCTTTTAATTATTCCTTTGAGTAAAACCTTCATTATTGATGAAATCAGATTTTAAAAAAATAACATCTTCAAAAATATGTTTATGAATATATATATTTATAAATGTTGTACAAAAATATTTTCAATTTAATTTTAAAAAATTAATTTCTTCAATCAATGATATTCTTGAAAAAGAAATTACAAATTATGTAAATCAGTGATTTTTTTACTACAATTTTAATCAGGATTTATATTAAGTGAAAATTANCAAAAATATGTTTATGAATATATATATTTATAATTTATGTATGTAATTTATTATAAATATATATATTTATGAATATATATATTTATAAATGTTGTACAAAAATATTTTCAATTTAATTTTGAAAAATTAATTTCTTCAAACAATGATATTCTTGAAAAAGAAATTACAAATTATGTAAATCAGTGATTTTTTTACTACAATTTTAATCAGGATTTATATTAAGTGAAAATTAAATAAAAATTCATTTAAATCAAGTGTGCTTTTTTGATGTAAATTTGATTTCAATTTACATAAATGTTGCCTTTGATAAAAAACTGTTATTTCACATTTAATCTGAATTTTTTGTTTCTTTGAGCATTTATTTTCAAAGTCAACACTGAAAAACAAATGTGTTTTGGATTGGCCTATTGTGCCTTTGTAGTGTGACATAAATAAAATATTTCTACCTTAACTCCAATGTACAGTGCACAAAAAAAAGACCACCCTGAATAACTTTTGATCTAATGATTGGATTTCCACGTTCTCTTAATGGTTCAAGGGGATGATTTCAAATATGCTAATTAATTAGTGCAGATGATATTTTAAGTCACAAAATCAAACACATAAACTTCCTCTCTCTGAATAAACTTACCTTTTTTCCGATGGATTCGAATTTCTAGCCCGTAACCTGGAATATTGCAATCTGGGGAAAATGGTCGGCATAGGTATGATCGGAAGAACGATCCAATATTTGAACCCCTTGACGTTAATTTTATTTTTGGCGTATTTCTCCATATCTCAAGAACTTTTTAAACGAATTGAAAAAAGTTTCCATACAATTATAATTATAAAATTCATTTGTCCACAGATAATTCCATGCAAAAAAAGAAACTTCAATAAATATATTAATTATTTTTTACTATATTTCATTTATTAACAGTTGATAAGTTTTGAATTGTAAGGAATACAATTTTATACATGTTTTTAAAGCATGTGATTACATGGCAAAATTAAAAAATTTTGAGTGAAATTGGTTAATTAGCTCCTGAGAAATATAATTTTAAAAATGCGACTTTTTAAAAATTTGAATTCTCAAGAACTTTTCGACTGATTTCGCTCAAATTCTGTATTTTGTCATGTAAAATGACATACTTTAAAATAATGTAAAAAATTTTATACCTTACAATTCAAAACTGTTTTGACTATTTATAAATAAATTTTTGTTGAAATTTGTATTTTGTAAGTAGTTATCTTTCTCATTTTGTTTAAAAAGTTCCTGAGATATAGCGAAATGAACAAAATGTAAAATTAACATTGAGGGGTCCAAACTATGGAGTGCTCTCCTCCTGATCAAACTATGGAGATCCTATTTCCCACATTGCTGCTACCCCCTATATTCTGGGGCTAAAAAATCAGAATCCGTTAAAAAAAAGTATGTTTATTCAAAGAAAGTACGTTTTTGTGTCTGATTTCAAAACTTAAAATATCGTCTTCACTTATTAAATAACCTATTTGAGGTCACCTCTTCGAACAATTAGGAATGAGTCTTAGAACGTAAAGATCCGATCATTAGATCCAAAGTTATTCAAGGTGGTTTTTTTTATATGTGTTGTGCATTGTGTTGTTCAATTCAACCATGGGGTAGGTTAATTCCTTTTAAAGATTCTATTGTGATAATTAACTTGATTTGATAGCTCAGTAAATTGCAGTGGTTTGTTTTTATGGGAGGAGAATGAAAAAAATAAATTTAAATCAGTGTCCCTTACTAAATGCACATTGTATGATTCAATACAAGATGTTTGCCAACTTTTATTACAGAATGGTTAGTTTCAGTAAATGATTTAGAAGTATTAAATTTATTTTATAAATTAATGACATAAAAATGGTAAAAATTATAATAAATTATTTATTTTTTTAGAAAAAATGAAGTAATCAAAATTTTGATTCCAATCACTGATTATCCAAGTTAAATCACCTCAACATTCTTTGTTATTTTAAAAACCCAAGTGCTAATGCTGTCCACTCATATTTCATTAAAATCACTATCAATCACAAAATCCTTTTGACATGAATTGTTTTTAGAATGAAAAAATTATTTTAACAAAAATAATAGCCAGATTGATACAAAGAAATGATCAACTTTCATTTTACTTTTAGCTTTGAATTATTCATTTCTTCTAACATAAAATTTTATGATAAATGTTTGCACTTTCATTTGTTAATTTTCAATACTAATTCTAGTATTCATATTTTATGCTTAGCAACATGTTTTCTTCGGAAAAGGTGTAAGTTAGATTCATAACCTCTTTTCTTATAATTTTTATCATAAGTATTTTGTTTGAAATATTTCATTTATTATGTTGTGTAGGTATCTTAAAAAAAATAAAGATTAAAGTTTGCTTTTCAATATTATGTTGGTACTGAAATGTCCACTAGAATATGTTAGTTGCAATTTATTAGGAACCTATTTCCTATATTAAGAGGGTTATTTCGCTTTAAAAGAAATGTGATTGGAAAGCTTAAATATATGTTTTATTTGGTAAGGAACACTGTTCTAAAGAACTTAACTGCACTGTTGAAATAATAGTATGATCCCAGCAACAGAATTTGCTGAGTTTTGTTTTTAAATTTTTCTTGCTTTTTTAAATACTTTATTTTTCAAAATTCCAATGAAATAAAAGGCATTATTTTGAAGATAACCACTTTTCTCTATCTGTCAATCAGCAAACAATTGAAACAAACAATGATTGAGTGAAATTCAAAACAAATTCTGTTTTCCCTCTCAATATTATTTAAAAAATCTGATTTCAAAAATAATCTGCAGATCCAAAAAGCAATGTGAATAAATGAAAGTGCAGAAATGGTGTTCTATGTACAAAATTATGCTATAGCAGCAATAGGGTCTTTAAGATTGTTAGTTTATTTACTCAGATTTATTTAAAATCTTAGCTATTTGGTAACTGACTGAAATGAATGTTATATATTTAAACAAAGCTAAAATAAGAACTTTCCCTGAGAAATCGGATTTTTTCTTTTAAATGTAACTTAGCTGGTTCTTCCACTAAGCTCTTTAAATATCTCCCTTTCAGCTTATCGAATTTCAACTCTGTAGTTGCAGCCTGTAGAGTGACCCATGTGTTATTTTTTTGCAAGAAGTTTAATAATTCTCAAATTAATTATTGACTGTTGACTTTTTGTGATTTTATCAGTATCCTTCTCCAATTTTCTACCCACCTTAGTAGTTTCAAAGTCTTATAGTTTCTGTGCATCAAAGCAAAATGTAATGTTAAGTTGAACAACCAAAACAGCTGCATCAGCAGTTTTTTAGTTTTGAAATAGTTTAATAATTAGCAAAATATTTTAAGTTACACAAATTTTTACATCATTTTATAGGACTAAGACCAAAATTTGAACTAAGTTTGGTTAATAGTTTCTGTGTTTTAAAATTTCTACGAATTCATTTTAAAAATTTTCAATCCTCGGGAAAGCAATTTTTAGCAGCCTTTAAGAAATTCTTCACAAGCTTTGGATTTCATCATTTAAGATCACATAGATTGAAGTAATGTAAACATTTGTACACAATTCAAAATTTCTTCCAAAATTATCTTTTAGTTTTTTTAATTGAAAGCAAATTTTTTGATTCCTTTTAAAAATTCCAGAGATGGGGAGAAACATGCAAAATGTTAAGTTTCAATATTAAGAGAATCTTGTCTAAGAGCCTGACTGAACTATTGTGACCATATTTATCATATTGTCGCTACTTTCCATATTTTTCCTTTTTTGTATCATGGGTTGACTAAAAAAAATTTTTTTTAATTCAAATAAAGTATGTTTTCAAGCTTAAAACATTAAGATTACTCGCTAGGATGTGAAAGTTGGATCTTTAAATCGAAAGATATTCTGCTTTTCCAATTTTCATTTCACCTACATGTAGAGGGAGCAAGAGAATAATTTTAACCATCATTTAAATTATCATTTTCACACTGATATTTAAATGGAATTTCCTGTATCACCTATTAAGGAAGATACTTTATAAGCTTATTTTGTTTTTACTTTATTTACCATATATTTTTAAAATCTTCATAAAGAGTGAGTTAATCAATAATTGTGAAAAAAATCAACTTATTATTGCTGGTTTTATGAGGAGTCATTTGTTCCACTAAAGTCCATGTAAAAATAATCAACTTTTATTTACTTTTTATCTGGACTAGTTTAGTTTTGTTCCTCCAAGTGTAATGAACACTTGCAATTTTTTAGTCAAACATTTTTCTCACTTTTTAAGTGGTAAACTTTAATAGGGACACAATTATGTGCATGATTCTTTGTGTTGAGGTGTTAATGTTTTTGGTAGGAAGAAGACAAGTTTCAGTTTGGAAAGACAAAGATATTCTTCCGCGCTGGACAGGTGGCCTACTTGGAAAAGCTTAGAGCTGATAAGTTGAGAGCATGTGCTGTCATGATCCAGAAACACATCAGAGGATACTTATGCAAACACAAGTACAGGCAGATAAGAAAAACTTGCGTACTCATTCAGAAGTACGGGAGAGGTCTGCTGGGCAGAAGGTGAGTTTTTCTAGTTTCAGTTTCACTAACTTTAACTTTATAATAATGATCGCCAAAAAATTTTTTATACTGCGAATTTTCAGTAAACAGAAGCTTCGTTTCAAATTGAAGGCTTCAAAATTCAGATTTGAAATTCACATGTTGTGATTGCGTATTAATAATATTGGAGTTGGAAAAATCCTGTCAAAAAGGTCAAAATAAGATATATAACAGCTGAAGAAATTATCTCTCGGCAACATGAAGTTAAAATCTATTTGTCGCTAATAGAACATGCCAAAGAGTGATAACTCAAATTCAAACACTATAGCAGCATCCTATTAAAAGTATCAAGACTTGAAAAACCATGCAATGAATGATAATTGATAAATAACTATCACCAAAGGATGGTTCATCAAATAAAGACGTGTTTATTTTTTTAACAGGTATACTATGTTCCTTCGTCAAACAAAGGCAGCCATCATCATTCAGAAAAATATTCGTATGTTTGTTTGTCGCAATAGATATCAGCGCATATCTCGAACTGTTCTTGGGTTACAAACTCTTGCAAGAGGTAAATGGGCAAGACTGAAGTTCGTACACTTGCGAAAGGAGGCTGCTGCTGTCATCATACAGGTAAATTTAATTCTTCCTTAATAATATTTTTCTGAATCACAATCTCCTTTTACAGAGACATACAAGTTTATTATGCTTTTAATAGATGAAAATGTAATTCTTTATTCTTCAATTTATTTATTTTGAATCAATGAGAAATACGTATTGACTTTTTTTATAAATGCATATCCTTTTCATAGGCTATTCAATATACCATTATATATACAATTAAAAGAATTTTAGTTTTTTTTTTTTTTTTCANCGTTTTTTTTTTTTTTTTTTAATTTGCTATTTTTTTGTTGACACTTTACAAAAATAAGTTTATGTAAACGACCAAAATATTAAATAAATTATAAATTATTTCTGGGATATAAATACAATATTTATTGATTGAAAAAAATTCTAACTTTGGTACCCCTGTAATCTTTCCAAAAAACTCTAGGGTTCCATGTGAAAACCAGTGTTTTAAGTGACCAAATCAAAAGAATTGTAATAATTTTTCAGGGCATTGACATTGTTTTGCAATGTGGGAATAAAATAGCAGCAGATGAATGGAAATGAGATAATAAAATTTTGGAAAGTAGTTTTCGTTAAAGATTTGGGGGACAAACGATCATTTTTAATTTAAATGCTGATTGGATTGCTATTTGTTGCGGTTTGAGAAGTTTTTATTAGTCAATAATGTAAAAAGCAGCTCGATTCAAGAGTTATTATTCAGTAAAAATGCTTTGAAAAAATTGGATCTCCACACAGAAAATCATCTTTCTTCCTTTTGATCTTCGGCAATTTTTGGGCGACGTCAATTTATATATTGTCCTTATAGACAATCTGTATCTGGATTAAACTAATCATAATAAATGTTCAACCAATTTTTTAAATATGGATTTAGGAATTTTTATGAAGTTTTTGAAATACTAACTATAGATAAAGCCTATGGATTCCACTTAAAATATGTTAATTAGGTCATCCATCTTTCATTGAATTGATGTATCTATGGTTTTGTTGGGTTTTTTTAATATAGCAGCTATAGTGCAAATCAAAGGACCTTAGAACTCAATTATAAAACTCATTTACAAAATGCTAATTTAACATCAAAATAACTTTTAATACTTGTTTCTCCTAAAATTCAATAATGAAAAAAAAAATATTTTGAATTATCAGAAAAGATCTTTTTTTTTGTAATTTTTTTTTCTTTGATTTAATGTGCACTCAAATTATCAGAGATCATTACAGATTGCACAAAGGTTTTTTGAAGCCCAATATTAAGTTTTATAAATAAACACTTTTGGAAATTAGAAAGATTTGCTTTTTAAATGTGAAAATTCACTATAAACTAAAATAAAGCCACCTCAAGTAGAAGCAGTTATTAATTTTTCTTTTCTGTTTTTAGAAACATATCCGAGGTTTCCTTGCTCAATCAAAATACAGAAAATCACTCAAGTCAATTATTGTGGCTCAGTCTGCAGTGAGGAGATGGTTTGCAAGAAAGGAATTGAAGAAGTTGAAGGTATATTGAAGTCTCTAACCAAAGATAAAGTTTCAAACAGTGCCTCGTTTAAGTATTTTATCCCTGTAAAGACAGAAATTGAGTGTGGTTGTATAGTAATATTGAAGATTGTGATTAAAATAACAGTTGAAGATGGATCACAATTAAAATAAAACTTTTATTTAATGTTTGTAGAGCTCAAGATACAAATTATTATCAATAAGACTTCCAGTTAAATAAATTTTGCATAATAATATTAATCCCCACCCCATGACCTGCCTAATCAAAAAGCAATTGAATTGTTCCCAAGATACAGTTAGAATCATGAAAAGAGATCCATGGTTGGTGATTTATCAAAAAATAACATACCCGAAAATGAAGCCAACCTCCCATAATCAATATTAGGTTTCAAAAATACCTTGGTGATCGCGAATCGCCAACAAGACTGTTAGAATTATTATAACCCTGTAACTGAAACATATTTGTGATAAGAAATTTAAGAATAAAGAGTTATAAATAGATTTTTGTTTTCGATTGAGCGCAAAAGTGAATTCATGAGTTTACAATAGTATTGAAATAAAAAGTTAGCCATTACATTGATCGATAAGAAAATAAGATGTTTTATGTTTGCTTCAATTAAAAATTAACTAATTAATTTTATTTAATTACAATTTGATTAATAAGGCTTAAAAAAAAGTAGGTTTAAGTAATTAAAAATATTTTAAAGGCTGGGAAATATGTAATGCCAATTGTGGCATCACAATCTCATACCTTTAAAACCCATTTGCAATTCCTTATTGGTATTTTATGATTTAGATTACCTAAACTATGGAAGAAGAAGATTATTCTATTATTTTCATTAAAAATAAAAATTATACGCTCTATTTAAAAATCATTGCAGCTTTGCCCAGTTAATATTTCAAGATTTATTTATTTATTGTTTGTATAAAAAGAATGCTTACTACTTATATTTTTTTATTGCACTAACACATTTTCAGAATATTTTGTCAAATAAATAATCTATCTTATAAACAAGGATATTTTGATACAGTCATCTGGCCACTAGCATCCCCTAAACATCATAATATAAAACTGTTGAAATCTTAAGTTATTACACTATTACTTTATATAGGATCTTTTCTAAAGTACAAAAATGGCAGCTAAACTAAAAGAAAAGGGCTTTAATTTTTTAATATGAAATCCACATTTAAATTCATATTAAAAAAACTAGAAATTTCCTGTAGATAAATTGCATCTTATTTACATTTGACAGTTAAATTATCACGATGTGGGTAACATGAGCAGATATATATTTTTTAAAACATTACTATAAAACATCCAGCCTAGAAAATAATTTTGCAATTATTAAGCCCTTATGAAAGATTATTAATTTTTTACTGTTGTTTATAAAACCATCAATTGAAGAATCTCTTATTACTTTAAAATTACCATTATTTAGTCTTAAGTGTAAATGTGCAATAGCTAATATATTTGTGCAAAATTACTTATAAGTTATTTAATTATGCTTTAAGTATTGCTGAAAAAAATTCTGTATTTTTCAGATCGAAGCAAAAAAAGTGGAGCATGTTAAAAAATTGAACAAAGGCTTGGAAAATAAAATCATTTCACTACAACAAAAGATTGAAGAACTTGTAAGTAGTTTTATTATTAAAATGTTCATCTGTTATATTAGTCAAAATATATTTATTGTATTTTCTTTTTTACCATTCCAAATGTCAATGAACTTTAAAGAATTGTACATGTTATTTCCTGTTACCGACACTATTTTGAATATACCCAATATTGCAATAGAAATTGCCCTATAATTTTATAACTATATTTTAATTTTAACATAATAAGAGAAATAATTTATAATGCAGCCAACTTTCTTGTTTTCCTTTATATTTTACGAAGCTAAATATATGCAAGAGAGTGGCTAATAGAGATGGGTCTGCATCAGTGTTTAATATTTTGTACTAACTAGGTAAAAGTACCCATTATCATAAAAGAATACATTTTGTATCAATTTATTTTAAAAGTATGAAGTTAACTAAAACTTCTAAAAATATGAAATAACTAATTTTTTTAAGCCTCTAGAAAATGGAGCAATGCTGAAACAATCTTTTATTTATTTAAAATCATTTTCATTTTGGAAATTATATTACCCAACAATAATATTTCAAAAAAAACATTGTATAATTTATTTTTGTAAAATATTTTACAAAAAGTATGTACCATTAACTTGATTTAATGTGTTAAGCTGAAAAAATTTCTCTATAATTTATCTGATTTAAATGGAGTTAAGCGAAATAATTAAATTAATTTGATTCCTGAGATATTTCTCATGAGCTGAAGCAGTTATAGTATTTTGCCATCTTATTATGTTATCAGGAAATAAATAAACTTTAAATGTCTTGTTTCGAGCAGTCGTTATTAGTTTGTGGTGATGTAGTTAGCGACAATGTCTTGATAAACTTGATTTTACGATGAGCGACGAACCCCACACCACAAGTTTATGAACTTATGATATTTATATCCTGCATAAATTAAAAGTATTGATAATTTAAAAATAACATGTCATATATGTTTTTTTAATGAAATATTTGTACTTTTATATTTTATTTAAATAAACTTTTGTTTTATTTTAGAACCAAAATCATCTTCCGCAATTTAAGTTACTTAAAATTTAAACTTTACTTAATTTTTTTACACCACTTTTATTTAATTTCAAAATTAATATAAATATGTTGATGTATATCAGCTATAAAAAACCTATCTAAATATCAGCTATAAATCTGCCTTTGTGAAGAACCTTAGTGGTGGTTCATCAAGTTTAATATGGATGAGTGAGTGGGAAGTAAAATGCAATAATGTTGATCACATTGTCACTATCATTGTATTGGTTGCATAATTGTGAAGCCTCAACTTCCTTTTCTTAAGAGCTTTAACTAATCATAATCAGGGGTCTGTTCGAGCACTTCTCAGAATATCTCTTCATAAAAACGGACCCTTCACAAAATAATTTAGCTTTTTATCGGACCCTTCCCAAATTTGTTTATCTTCATTATTGTTTTGTTAATCAAGTAAACCCTTCCCGTGGGGAGGGGGAGAAAAATGGTTCGCAACGAACTAAGTTTTCCAAGTTTCCCAAAGTTTAAATTGCAAATGTATTATTCTAAGAAAATATTTCTACTTTTACAAACATCGTGTGAACATTCTTATTGATATTAAATTATTTTATTTTTTTGTAAAATAATAATTGATCAATTTATATTTATTCATAAAATTAATTAATTGAATATTATGTAAATAAAAATTAATTTCTGGCAATTTTTTAAATAAAATATTATACATTTAAGAGTTGTTTAAATTCACTTAATGCGTAACACATTAAAAGTGATACATAACTAAGTTGTGTTATTTAAAATATGTCAATTGAAATTATTAAAAATGTAAGTGATTTTGTTTCCATTATTCATCCTAAATGAATATTCTGTGTTGAGCAGTATGGACTAAGTACCAAATATTTGCATGTTGCATCTCTAATTTAGTAGCAGTAATTGTTGAGCAGAATCTCGTATCTATTTACATTTTAAAAACTTCTTGAAAAGGTTTTTAGCAATTTTTGCAATAACAGGACCCTGTTTGCAGAAATTTACAAAAGCAGGACCCTGATTGAAAGAATGTGACTTAATGCTTATTTTATATTCACAAATGATAAGTAGTTTTTTCACAATTTTACAAAAACAGGACCTTTCACAAAATGTCTGGACAGACCCCTGATAATTACATAAGTTCTGTAGTAAATTGTTTAGATGCTTTTAAAATTATGAAACTGGAATATCTCTTAATAAAATTTTAAATAACTAAGTTGTTTTTTTTTTAAATGCAGAAAAATATTCTATTTCATTCTTTTCATAACGTAAAACTATATATATATATATATATAATGAAAAGAGAGAACAACTAAGAAAAATAATAAGTTTTAGTTACTGCACTTAATACAAGTATATAGAACTTATAATGTCTTGCTCATAATATCTGCATTATTATTTATATACTAAAAAGAATGATTTTAAATTTAATATAAATGAACTAATTGCTTGGAATTCTAATGTTTCTAAAAATATTTATTTAAATACCAATTTTAATCAAAGGATTGAAAGAATATGTTATTAATGTTTATTTATCCAAAAAAAAAATCTCATTCAAAATCTGATGAAAAAAACAATGGATATCCAACTAAAGTAATTATAAAATCATTGAGTTCATTGTATGTTATTATTATTAGTAATTTTATTAAAAATCTCTTTGTTAACTAAATTTATATTTTTACAATGTGCAAATCCAATTCAAAGAAATCTGTGGCAAAAAATTTCATAAAGAATTTTTTTTTTTAATAAGTGTTAATAATTTCTTTAAAATCATTGAAATTTTATAATTAAAAATCAGCCTTATTAATTATAAACTTTGAATTATACAGTATAATATTATTACCTTGTGCACAATGAAAAGTAAGCTGATTTAGACTAGAAGGAAGGGGGGGGAATACTATGGGTTGGTAAGTCTTTCTTCAATATTGATATATACTAACTACACATTAAATGAGTTTTAAAAAAACTTGTATTTAAATAAACATAAAACTAAGTGGGTCTTTTTGAAATATTTTATTTCTAGCCAAATAATTTTACATAAAGTGAATGAAAAATTATAATTTCATACATTTCTTATCCACTTTTAATCTTTTTTTTCTTCTGTTTTTAATCTATTTTGAAATATAAATTATGTCCATTCATCTCTTTTTCATTATTTATTTGAAGAAACCTTCAGTATTAATATAAACAGACTTTTAAAAAACATCACACACTAAAGAATTTATTTATTTTTAAAAAAATTGTTCCTTTTTTTAAAGAAAAAAAATTTTTTTTTTTTTTTTTTTAAATTTCCTTTTTTAAAATAAAAAAAAATTGTTTAATTAAATAAGGTGCAAAGTTTCTGGTATGAGAACATTATTTATTCTTTTTTTTTTCTTGCTTCCCCTTTATTGATTAATTTTAGTAACATATCGCTAAACATAAATTATGATTGTCCTATATTGATTTTTATGAGAAAAAAAATATTTAGTTTTAAAATTATGTGTTAAAAAATAGATATACTTTTTAACTGTTTCTTTTTCTATTCACTTTGGAATGCTATCCTTAAAAATACTTTTTACTATAATTGTAGAAAATCATTAGACATCTTGAATACATGTTAAAAGCTGATGTAGTCGCCAGTCCTGATTTGGCAGCTTTAGCCGGAAGCATAAATTAAAAACTTGCAAAATTCAAAACACTGTTGTCATTCGATATAATTAGTTAAATTAGTGTTTTAAACAGCGCAATTGATTTAAATCATTGTTTTTGTATTAAAGTGATTTAAATCATGTGATTAAAATATAGTGTATGTTGTGTTTCAGCTTGTTGTAAATAAGAACCTCCAGACAAAACAAGTGGATACAAAAGAAGTGACAGCACAAATGGAACATGTTAAAGAGTTAGAAACCACAGTTAAGGCTTATGACAACAGAGTTGCAGAATTAGTACAAACTGTGGCTTCACTTAAATCACAAATAGAATTGCTCAGAAATGAGAAAGAAGATATTATAGCGGAGAAAGATTTGTTAAAACTAGAAAAAGATGAGGTTAGATGAGCATCTTTTTTTTCTTCCTATAATTTTAAATCCTGGTCTGGTTTTACTAAGTAAAAAGTGCTATTTTGCACTTTTACTAATGAAAACCTCTCATTATTATGAACATGTGGCATAACTCTTTCTATGTACATAAACATTGGAGGATGTAACGAATATTCAGCCGCTCTTCGGTATTCGGCCCATTTTCCGAATATTCGGCAAAGTAATTTTTGGAAAAGAATTTTTTGATCATTTTTTTAAAAATTTGAATAGATCAGAGATTATTGTGCTCCGAATTTTTAGCTAACTGCGATCCAGAAGTTTCTGGAAATCCAAGTTCTAGAAGTTTCAAGAAATCATCAATCACATTTATAAATAAAAATTCTTGTATATTTTACTTAAAAATATTAGAACTGGAATTTATACTTGGCACCTTTTTCGTTTGTAAATATTTTTTCTAGTAGAATAATAAATGTGATTAAGATAAAGTAAACTTTTACATGAATTCATTTAAATTAGGCTGCATATTATTTATTTAGAATTTAATTTTTTGAACATATCAATGATATAAATTAATAAAGACATTCATTTTCTGAAATGTATCGTTAATGATTTTACTCAAGAAATTTTCAGGATTTTTGAGTTGGGCTCACAATCACCCCTGATGTATGTAAGTCGACGCATACGACCATTACATTTGAAAATTTTCTGTATGAAAATATTAAAAAAGCATATTCAATCAGATTGATATTTAAAAGTTCTTAGAAAGTTAAAAATTTGAAAATGGGCCACTTTATCTTAAATCACAGCCTGAAGTTGATACCTGATTAGAATAGTTTTTTTCCCTTCATGATTCTATATATATCCTTGATTTCCTTTATTTTATTTAGATTGTTGAACATTTGAACAAGGATAACATCAGATTGAAGGATGACTTAAATAAACTGAATGAAAAGATCAAATCACAAGAAAAAAGTGCAATAGGTATGGTTTCAGTTTTGAAACAGCATCTAAAATTGTTGAAATCAATTGACATAAAATTTAGCATGTAAAAAAACTTCTCATTGTAAAAAAATAGTATTTTCATTGGAAATTTAAGTTTTGAAAGTAAATATATTCCATATTTATAATTCAACTAAATCTGTATATCTTTATTATGCATGAAAAAATTCAGTATTAAAATAGTATAGTCATAATAAAAGAATATTTTCATTTAAAATCTGCAGCAGTTGAAAGGGGCTTTTCAGCAATGAACTTACAAAAAAACACATTATGTACTGGTCTTAAACAAGAAGCGTCAACCGCAATTATGAACATCTACCTAAATGAAAAACCTCCTTCAGATTTCGGTGCAGAAACCTCTGTAAATCATTGGCTTGATTGTGGAACTGGCAAACGCCGTATTTGATTCATTTAAAAAACGCAGTACCATCGGATAAATTGACATGATAATTGACAGATAACTTGACCTTTGTTATTTAAATTATTTCATTAAGGAAAGAAATTATTTCAATAAAGAAATACTAGGTTTTACTATTAGTAACCTAGTATTTCTTTTNTTAAAATCTTATTTGTGTCAGCAAAAATATACTCTTCTATATTTTTTAAGTTAACTTGTTTTTGTATTAAAAGTTTAGAATTAAAAACAAATGTTACTCATCATTAAAAAAAAGTTTTTGTTTAAAATTTAAACTGTGAGGGCAAAAATATACGATTCTATATATATATATATATTTTTTTAATTTAGCTAAACATAAATTTACCTTTTTGGTATAAAAAAATTTAAATTTAGTATTAAAAAAACTGTTTTTCATGGCAAAAAATAGTTTCAGGAGAAATTTTAGTAGTGAAGCAATGATAGTCAACTACAATAACATAACTTCTTGTTCTAGCAATTACATGTGTACACAAGACTGTTTTCTAAGAAGGAAGTGAGAATTTTCATCTGATTGCTTCTTCCTGTGAAAGTTTTTTGTGTGTGAACACCATTCTATTATGACTTAATATTGCATTTTCCAGCAAGCCTTGTGGTGATTTTAAGGAGGAGGGTGCATTCCTTGTTTTTCAGTGGCGCCATCTATGGCCATGAATACAGCTTCAACCACACACATGTCACAGCCCGTTTTAAAGGGCGGACCCATTCATTCATCCACAGATTGTAATTTTGCCCTGAACCAGACAATGGCTAATCTTCAATTTAGTACCCCCACCCCCCAGAATTATTTATTTGTTATGGGGACATGGAGGACTTAGTGACCCAACAGATTTAACATGCATTAGTCCCCATTTACTACACGGCCAGAAGATATTGAGCTCGTGTCCGCTCGGGCGTGGGCCGAAGACCCTGCTGACCAGGCTATCCCGGCCACACCTTCGCTGTATAGGGTATATGGTCACCACTGGCCATAGGGCAGCTAAATATAAAGAAAAGAGATATTAAGAATAATATAATTCCGACATTATAATTACAATTATTTTCTATTTATTTCATAACAAATAAATTTTATATTTGTTAATGAACATAATCTTTATGTTGCATTATTGCTTCATAATTTCAGACCCTAAATTTTATTAGTTTAAAATGGTGTGTACCATACTATATACTTTTTTTTTATGAACTTACTTTGGTCAGAAACATTTTCTCTTCTTTAAAAGATTAACTCCTCTGTGTTTACCATATTTTGAAGCCCGATGGCTGAGTGGTAGCGCTTCGCATTTCCATGCCACAGGTTCTGGGTTCGATCCTCGGGGCCGGGCAAGGTCGACTCAGCCTTTCATCCCTTCAGTGGGTCGATGAATGAGTACCAAGCATGCTTGGGAACTAAACACTGGGGAGTTCGCGTTTGGCTGACCACCTGACCGAAAAATCTGCTCCTGCACCCCATAGCCCAAGGTCAAGAAAACTGAGATGGGCCCAGTGGGCCTTGGCTCTTGATGGGCTGTTGTGCCACTGAGTTTAGAGTTTACTTTGCCATATTTTGAGAAATGCTTATTATTAATATTCATAGTTTTTTTTTTTTTAATAATTTAGAATTTTCAATTCTTTAACACAATACCACTGATAAAAATTCTAGTTGCTGGTAACAAAACTTCCTAATTTTGCACTGAAAACGTTTTGTAACTTGTTGAATCTGTTTCTAGATGTGCTGGAGAGTGAGAAGCGCCTTCTTCTGGAAGAATTCTCTGCAGAGCGTGCAGCCTATCAGAAGCTCCTCAAGGAACATGCACGACTGGAGCAACGATTTGAGAACCTTCAGAATGAAATGTCGAGGATACGTGGCTCCTCTGGTGGTCACAATCGCACTCTCTCCAATGTCAGCATCTGCAGCGTTAAGAGCGACGTCACCGCAGAACTCCATGATGAGGTTTGTATACCCATAAATTTATTCATGCAAAATCAGTGAAATTTCACAAAACCATATGTTTTTTTAAAGCATATTTTGAATAACTTTATTATTTTTCAAAACTAGAGTTAAGGCAGTTCAAACTTTTTAAAATGCGAGTTGCTAGATTTTTTTTTAGTTGGAGTTAATATTAAATGTAATATTCCTTAGAATTAATTAGAATAAATTTAATATTTCATCAAACTACAGAACTAGAAAATTGACTCTTAAAAAAGTAATAGAGGAATTTTAAAAAAATATGAACTCTTTTTAATAACACTGTCCTCGACTACCGAATAGTATCACTTCGAGTTTACATGCCATCCATCATGATTATTATGAATCCACTGCTGAATAAAATCTTTTCAAAAAATTGGATCTCTTTACGCCTTATAAAGTCACTACTTTGTTTGTGATCAGGTAATGTCATGACCCAGTGTTCGTAGTTGTCGTGATATTCTTTTTGCATGTGTTTAACGAATGCAAATGCGAATTCTTAAAAAGAATAGATGTGAGATTTGGATTTTTGATCCCAACATCTTCTGAATAAAATTGGAGATATTCTCATTGCGCCTGCGAATGAGCTGGCATGAGGTTTGCTCCAGTCAGATTTGATAAATTAACTGCATTTGAAACCCTTTTTCTTTTTTAAAAAACTAACACTAAAAGTAGTTGAATTCCTGACAAATAGTGTTTCTTTTTATCATACTATGTTATAGATTTCAAAAAGTAACTCTTCAAACGGCTAAAAAAAATTAACACAGTAGTTTTGTTATTTGCAATGGAACATAATAGGGTTTTGTGAATCTACAAACCTTAGTGAGCTTAAGATGAAACGGGGGTCAATAAAACTGGAGAATTATAGTGAAATTGAAATGCAACAAAAGAAACATGAATGCAATACAGACAACCTGCAAGCATTCATTTTTTTTCTTTCTGTTTAACGAAACGAAAGTGTTTGCGTCCCATTTGGAAATAATACATAAAATAAAGAAGAAATAGATTCAATACATAAACAGCAAAGCAATTTTTATACCAAAAATTAAAAAAAATATTATATAGTATTAATAAAGGTCTTTCCTAAAGGTTGATTTTTTTTTAAATAAATTCTTTATTTTAGAAATTATTTTGTTGTAGATAAGTTTTTCTGTTGTCTAAAATTATTAATTACTCCTTATAAGGATGCTGGCTATGGATCTATCAGAACAAAAGATAAAGAAGAACATCGGAAACTGGAAGATGCACAATGGGGAAGTCCAGGCGAGGAAGCAAGAGTTTGTTCACTTTTAATTTTTCTCATTTAACATCTTTTTTATTATTATTATTATGTGAAAGGAAGTCTGAAAATAAGTTTTCCCCAAAAATCAGAAATGGGTTAGAGAAATACATGGCAGAGACACCATTTGGGTATTGAACAGCCGATGCAATTGCAGTGCCTGGTCAAAGGGTACCTTTCAGTCTGGTTTTGTTGTTGTACTTTTTGGAGGTTGAAATCATTAATGCTACTATTACACCCTGTCAAAAATTGAGGAAAGACTGTCATATTCTATTGTTTGGAAGCTACACTTGGTGACTACATTGAGAGCGCCATGACCATCTGTTTTAGTCGCACTCTCTTCTTAATTTTGGAAGAAGAATTGATGGTGCTTGGGAATCACTCCTTCCATATGAAGAGCCATGATTTTTTTACCCCTAAAGAGCATTTTAATTGAAAAATGTCTCATCATGCTTCTTAGTTATGTTGAAATAAAGTCATGTCTTATTGTGTACCACCCTACGATAATAGAAATCCCACTTTAAGTTTTTGACATTTTTTTTTTTACATTTCTCAAGAAATACTTATAGGAATATTTTATAACTTTAGAGGTCATGCAATTTCTCACGACAATCAATAAATTTTAAGTCTTTGAGAGGTTTGAGGCAGTAAATTATGAAATAAAACAAGTATTTTCGAATAACCCGTGCCAGAAATATAGCAATAAGCTGCAGTATGAATTGTTCAAATCTTGCCCAATTTTCACAGATTTTTTCTTAATGATTTCGTAATTTATTTTAAATTGAACTAAAAATTTTGTTTTGAATATTTTTGAAATGATAGCAAAAAAAGCATAAAACAAAAAGACTTACAGAGAAGACTTTCCCACTAGCATCACTAAACATAAGTTGTTGATGCATTAATTAACCCCCAAAATAACCTGGAATTAGTTTTAAAAACCCTAAGTTAGAAATTCTTCTACTATTTCAGATGGCATTTTATGATCGCAACCTAATCTATTGGCATTCCACTCCCTTTGCATTAAAACATGGTGCATAGCATTTTTAAAAAGTACTTAAAAATGCTTATTTTCGTTTTTATAAAGCTCTTGAAGGTTTTCATTTTGTGTTTTTAAAAAGTGCTTTATTTTCCCTTTTCAAAAATGAGATTTTTTTTTCTTTACCATGTGAGTTTTCGCCAAGTATCATGCAGAAGCGTGCTTTTCATTCAACCACAATCCATTTCGCCAAAGCGTCAGTCTGTAGTGTATGAAAGTGCCAATAATTATACAGGTTTGATGAAATACTTGCGAGTCCGTTTGTGCGTATACGGAGCTGGGTTCGGTGGGATTCTTGCACTATCATGGGCAACTCTGCTGCATTTTGCAAGATATTCTCAATTACAAGTTTCATTTTCCATCCTCTGAAATCGAACCAAAAAATCTATTGATCATTTTTTAATGGCTAACATAATCAAGAAAAGAGTTCTTTGTCAAGAACTAGTTATTTTCTGTAAAATTTTTGAAAATTATTTTGCATTTGGTTAATGTATATAGTGCTTAAAAATATTTTTTGAGTGCTTTAAAGGTGCTTATTTTTTGTTGAAGGATTTAGCTATGCACTCTGTAAAAGTTTTGGAATAAGTATCATGGGTGTGGTAAAACTGATTGGGTCAAATATTTTTATAGTATTTGAACGAGAAAAGTTACCTTTTTGTACACCATTGTCGTGACGATGTTAACATCGCTCACTATTTTACCTGTATTGGGATACCACAAAAGGCCAAGAATATCTTTATTTAAATCTAGATTTTGATTTTCAACCTATAAGGAAAAAATCCAACCCATAAGCTTAAACCCTGCTTGGGACATAATTTGATAAGTTGTCTTTGAAAATCGCTCTAATTGCATTTTGTTTTTGATGCTTATCACTAAAATGCATCCTTCAATTTTATCGTGATATTCTTTTCATTTTCTTTTATTTCATCCAGATGTTGATAAGCAAAACTGGACTGGATGGAAGGCTAAATACTACTTTGCTATGTTTTAACTTTGTGTTTTTCATAATCTTCCCTCCAAGGGCAGTAAAGATGATCTCTTTCTGAAGGTCAAACATTTATTTGAAATAATGCCTTACAAATATCTGCAAATCACGCCAATGTCGTCTTTGCGAAACTTATTTAGAATATTATTTGGAATTTAGAATAGAAAAAAAATCATTTCAATGTAATTTGTACCTATAGCTAAACATTCATTTAGTGAAAAAGAATTTTCATCTTTTGAGGTGGCATCAAACATTCAACTAGATTTCCTCCAGACAACTCTGTAAGAGAGATATCTACCTTTTATATCAGAAAATTTTTCCCTATTTGCAATACTAGGTACTTGTTATATAATACCCATTCCTTAAAAATGTTGTCAAATGAATCAAATTTTCCCGAAGCTTAGATGTCATGGAGTTTATACGTTTCCCCGATTGATATGAAAAATTACATTATTCCGGATGGCCTTCGAGCCATGGAAGATTTACATCAGAATCTTAAAATTTTTTTTGAACAAATTTGTTTTGTTTAATTCTTGTGTGCTAAATTTGTGTGCTCTTAATTCTTAGAATGACCAAAGATTGCAAATTTTGCTAGCATTATGTTGTGAAATCATAATATGAATACCCATCCTGAGTATGTTTGCACAGCAGTTAAAAACCATTCGGTTGTAGACTGATACAACCGGTCAAAATTTTTCCTAAATAATCAGTGCCAATAATTATTGTTTTCACTATCAGATACATAAATCCCATTTTTAGTAAAGTATTCTACACCATATTTTAAGAATTGTACCTCAAATAGTTTATTTATCTAATAAAGCAGCTTCACCCGAAAAATTTCCTGACATTTTAAGGCTGAATGTTTGATTTTTTTCTGTTTTAACACTGCCAAATAAACTCTGTGCTAGAAATTCAGACTGAGCAATTTTTAAGTTTAAATGCTCTGCGACATCACGAGTTACGTAGGATGTTTGCGTGTCGCATAAACAACCTTTTGTAGTTATTTGAAGTGTTTGCAGGGTTGCCACAAGCGACTAAAATTCTACTATTTGTAACTATTTTCAGCATATGGCAACTTTTTTTTTTGCCTGAGAAGGCTAAAAACGCAACTATTATTGGAAAAGAAGACTATTAGGTGACTTTTCTATACTCCTAGTGATGTTTTTTAGCCTGAATTGGTATGAAGTCATTTTGGCCCTGAAACGTTATTTTCTATCTCCTTAAACCGGACACTACTTTTTCTTAATTTGAAAGAAAAAAAAACTATTTCTGCTTAAAATTGCAAGGGGGAAAAAAGCAACTTTTCGCCATTTTCGAAACATGCACATTTTTTGTCTTATCAATAACTAAAAATATTGTTAAGCTATTTCACTACTGAAGAATCAATCGTCCTCCTGTCACCTTGCCTTTTCAACGTAAAGAAAGGAGAGAAAATGATACTGCTCTTCTGAAATAATTCAGACAGCCGCATTTTTTGATCCTTTCATCTGAACCACACGTTATGAGATCCCTCAAGTTGAAATGACATCTTAAATGCTCTCAACCCTTCTTCCCCATTGAAAATTTCTTTACTTTTCTTATCAATTTGAAGACTGTATTTAACACAGCTGGGGTAAAAAAGAGAGTAGAAGTGTAATTTTTGAGGTGTTCACATAAAAGAAACATTTATTCAGACACTTGATAGCTGATCGATTGTGAATAATCAACTCCATATGTTCTCATGACTTAAATACAGGCATTGCTTTTTTTTCCATGTGAATTCTGGGAGGTTTACTTTCAAGAAGGTATTAACCATGTTCTCTATCAAATCATAGGTAGGTGTAAGGGGATTTAAACCTAATAATTGAAACCAACTGAGGACTGAAAGCTCCTATTGGATATCATATGTTTAACTTAAGTACCTATACTGATAGGAAAATTATATTCATTTATCTGTATCTGCATCTAATATTATGTATTCATATCAAACTTCTTTATAAATTCTTTTTTAAATTTTCGTAAAGTTTAAATAAATATCTTTGCAGATACTTATTGTAGATTATTTAATTATTTCTACATCTTTGAAAATGTACTAAAAACAATTTACTGTGTTAAACTTCATTATTAGGGTACCCTTCCCGTAAACGGACAACTCTCCTAAACGGACAATTTTTTCGGTCCCAAGAATGTCCGTTTAACGGAGGTTTCACTGTATATATATTGATTTGCTTAATCAATTATTGATAAAAGTATGTTTTCTTTCATAAAAGTATTTTGTATGTTTTCATCAATTATTAATAAAAGTATTTTTTGAATGAAGTCTAGTAAATAAAAGTATTTAATTTTGTGTAAATATACTAGTTTTTTTGATAAAAAAATTGCCATATTTCCCACCAACTTGACTACATGGATAATAGTATATGACAAATAAGTCATTTCATAAAATTTTTGTCTTATTTTTGCTGAACTTTTGTTCTTATTTAGGCAACTATTTTCATTGCTACTAAAAGCAACTATTGTGTTCATTTTTTCTGTGGCAACCCTGTGTTTGTAACAAAACATCTACTGAACACAATGAGCTATCACTGACAACGCCATTAGTTTCGGTTTTGTTTAATGTAGAAAAAGATTTTTCATTTCTTTGCATAAATTTTGACACACTATCACGAAGTGTTTTTTAGAACGAAATATGCACCAAACATTCATTCCACATTTATTAGCATGGCAATTCATTCTAAGACTCGCCAAACATTCTTTCATTTTAATTATTTTATTTTTCCTTTCTTTAGAGTCATGCAGTAAAACAATCACAATTACTATTTGTGCCTTTTTTGCGAAAAAGACAACATTTGTTTTGAGTCTATCAGTTTTTGTTTTGGTTATCAAAGTGTACACCATCATGACAGGAGTTGAATTTCTTTTCAAACGTTTTCTAATTTCACTTTTCGTTGGATTATACATTTATTGTCTATGATTTTCTTTAATAATTTTAGTTGACTTTACTTTGGCAACAGATGTTTAACAGGACATGGTGCGTAGCTTATTTAAAAGTGCTTAAAGATGCTTATTTTCATTTTTTAAAAAGCTCTTAAAGAGGCTTTTTTCATTGGGTGTTTTTAAAAAGTGCTTAATTTTCCCTTTTCGAAAATGAGATTTCTTCACCATGTCGATTTCTATCAGTTTTCCATGTTTGAAATGCCAATCATTTTACATGTTTGATGAAATCCTCGAAGGACCACATGTGCGTCTACTGAGCTGGTGAGATTCTTACACTCTCGTGTGCTGCATTTTGCAAGATATTCTCAATTTCAGACTTCATTTTCCACTGTCTGATATTGAACCGAAATACCTCTTCATCTTTTTATAATAGCTAATGTAATCAAGAAAAGAGTTCTTTGTCAGAAACTGGTTTTATCATGATCATGTAAAGTCTTTAAAAATTATTTTGCATTTTGTTAATGTATACAGTGTTTAAAAATATTTTTTAAGTGCTTAAAAAGTACTTAAAAGGTGTTTATTTTTTGTTAAAAGACTTGGCTACGCCCCCTGAAATTTAATAGAATGACCTTACTGACAAAATACACTGAGGAGAAAAGTTAAAAACATTTTTTCTCTCTAAGATGCTCCATCAATTTAAAGATAAAAAATAAGAAAACTTTTATTTTACGCAGGGAGATTCGGAAGATTCTACGAAAGATTTGGTAGATGTTACTTTGGTGCTCAAACTTCAGCAAAAGTTGAAGACATTAGAGAGTGAAAAATCCAGACTCACAAAGAAACTGGAAGACATTGAAGCTAAAGAAGAAGATTCGTTGAAAGAAGAGAAATATATTAGGGACACAATAAGAGTAAGTAAAGATTTCTCAGCAGATGTTTTATCAGAATAAATAATAAGCTTTTAAGTGTTCCTGAAAAGTATTCATTTCATAAAATATATAAAAGAATAATATAAGTCTGTGGTATAAAAAATTTTCAATTGCTTTTTTTTAATTAAAAATTTTAAAGTCTTTAAACATTTTGGTTTATGATTATTTCTAACAATTGTTTTCCTCCAAAAAAAAACATACTGAAAAAAGTTTTTTCCTTTTATCATTATTTTGTAACGTAATTAAATAATAAGTTCATAATACACAAAAGGAAGCTTTAATATGGTAAAGAGATGATAGGGATGTCCTGAATGGAATTTCTGTTTAAAATAATGTTCGGGTTTTTGTTGTCATTTATTCTTCTAAACTGTAAGAAGTACAAAGTTATCAAATTTTAAACTTTTTTTTCTCTTTCAAAAGGAAATCTTAAATTATACAAAAAAATAAACTTAAAAATTGAGTTATAAGCTTAACAACTTTATTGAATTACAAAATTTCAGACCAACTGACTTAAATTATGGATCAACCTTTTAGGGAAACTGATGGGAAACAAAGACACTCTTCAACATGAGTATTTTCTTGTCAAATCTTATAAAAGATAATTTTTGAATTACTTTAATGACAAATATTATATAAATCTTCAAACGCAATTTTATGTATGATTTTTTTTAACAACCCTTAAGAAATCTTGCTTAAAAGTCTTCCCTTGCACTTTAGGCTTGATAATGCTCAATGGGGAATCTATGATTTAAAAGTTGTTTTCTGGTTGAATCTCTGTCTGAGTCACATCCCAGCAATCTTCATTCAAATATAATCAGACAATAAGATACCTCTTTCAAAGACAGACCTTAACTGGGAATATTATGGAGAATACCAGGGATCAACTGTCTGCACACCCCTCCTCCATGTTTTAAGATTATACGTTTGCTTCTTTTATTTTAATGAACACAAGGCACTTATATAATCATTCAAACATGCACTAAAAACAGCACCTTTTACACTATGAAATGAATATCTAAATAAGTGTGACCTTTTGAACTCATTTTTTTTTATTTATTGGATCTTGTGAGTATTCTAACGAGTGTTGCAAGTGTATTAAAATGTTTCTTACACAAATTCTATTAATCAGTTGTTCTTCAATTGCTACAAGGTGTGACAATTAAATAGCTGGTCTAGTCTTGATAATTAGATTTATTCTCCATCCATGCATACGAGTTTTCCACTGTCCAAAGCAGTGCTGTAGGTCATCTTCAGAAAGTTTTTCTGCAGACTGAGTTCCCTTCAATGCACTTAGGAAGCAGTCACATGGTATGAGATCTGGTGAATCCCTCAAGAACTGTTTCACAGAGAATGTGTGTGCATTGCCTCGGTGCAAAATCAATTTCTCCGGACTTTTCTTCCTTCTCCAAGTTCTCTAATTTTGTAGGACCTCTGTATAGTTTTACCATTTGATCTGGAGGTATTCAATCATACCATTGATGTCAAAGAAGTTCTGAACGTTACTTTTAGTTTGAACTCACTCATTCATGTTTTTTTTGTGTGCCTTGGGGACAGTGAAGCGTTCCATGACGTCAGAGGAAATGTTTTTCATATTCATTTTTTGCTTGCATACCAAGTTTTTCTGTACCAGTTTTGTGCAAACTTTCGTCCTATGCTAATCTTTGGTTACAATTTTTCTTACTGGCTTTCCGTCAAGGTTTGTAATATCCAACATAATCCAATCACTCACATTTTCAGCACAATTTAAATTCTTTAATGCTTTCATCAGTTCTTGAAGTTCATCGTCTTCAACGACCTATTGACCTTCCGAGAAACTTTGATGCCATTAAAAAATTTAACTATTTAGCATACAATTATCTCCATGCACCTTCTTTAACATTCAGTTGGAGTGTTTTTTTTTTAAATTTCATGAGGAATTTTAAATTAATGTGCTGCTTGATTTTTAAGCTTATCTTCATCACTTCGATTCTTATTTATATGGAGTTTTTTCAAAAACGAAAACAAAAGGCTCTAATGCTTTAATAATGATACCAAAAATTTTTTTGAATTGTTCTGGTTAGTAATTTTTTGAATGAATACTTTTTTTATAATTATTTTGAATGGCCATAAGCTAGTTTTATAAACACTTGACTCTTTTTTAGTTTGAATTAAATAGAAATTTAAAAAAATAGCCAAAGTAATAAATAGCATAAATAACGTAAATAATAAAGTTGTTATATTGAAGTATTTTTAACAGGAAATGAGCCTATTAACATTTTAATGTAGTGTCTTATCCTATTTTTATTATTACCCGAGTGTTATTCAATAAGTTTCGTCAGAAGTTTAATTTACTACCATGTTGTGCAAAATAATGTATCGCCTGTTTCTTGGATTAACCCTTATTACTCTTTAAAAAGGGAACTTTCTTTAATTAGCAAAAACGTTTTCTTTAATTTTGAATAAATGAGAAGAATATTACATGTAAAAATTTAGTATTAGAAAAATTCTAAATGTAATATTAGCTCAATTTGTGAATAAACTATTCCTTCAATAAAGCTTTCTTCATCCAAAAACTGGAAAATTTTGATTTAGAGAAAATAAGTAAATAAAGTGTTACTTTCAGCTTCAAGATTTAGAAATGGAGAATTCAAAACTGAAAAGTGATATAGTGAAACTGAGAGAATCTTTAGCTAAAGAGGATCCCACAAACAAGGCTCAGGATCTACTTGGTATGTAAAAATATTTTATCACCTTAAATAGAGTTTTTGAAACCTTTTTGTACACTAACTTTGAAAGCGAAAAAGGAGTTTAATAAATTCTACCTTGTTGATAAGCAACATGAGAATATTTTTCTTTGCACTTTGATTAAATTCTTCTGTAGAATTTTTTAAATAAAGTAATGGAATATGAATGGACCATTAATATGATGTTTCTAAATATTGCTTTGTTTCACATGACCTTTACGTGGCTGCCAACTGTACTAGATTTTCCAGTAAACTACTGGATTTTGCCAGTTTCTCCTGATATACTGGTTTAATTAAAATTCTTGGTTTTTGTACATTTTAGAAAATTTCCTAAAATTTAGTGAGTTTTTTAAAAAATCCCTATTGAATTAGGATTTTTGTGCAGATTATTGCTTGCTTGAATATTTTACTAAGTAATACTAATACATAATGAAGCGGCTTATTTTTAGAAATCAAGTCAAAACGTTTTTCTTCTAAAATGTTCCGTTTATTCAGAATTTTCTTTTTAAATAAATTTAAAAAAATCTTTTAAATAAAATATTTTTACATAATCAATTAAATGCCTGTTAATATTCAAAATTATGAGTAAACATAACATTTCAAGTTTTGTTTAATGTCAATCTTAACTGGAAAATATTGCAGTTTTATTTTACTTTGGTGACTAGAAAAATTCCCTTTGTGTAAAATATTTAGTGCAACAATTAAAATCTACTGGAGGATTTTTTTCCTATCCATGTTGGCAGCTATATCTAAGTTTGCAATACTTCAGTGTCATGTACGCATCTTAAAAAACATCACATACTAATAATCAAATGATTTTGAAAGTGCTGATTGTTCTAATGATTTGATTTTCACATACTAAGGCTTAATGGTTCGCAGAGTGACTTCAAATATGCTAATTCATTAGTTCTGATAATATTTTAAGTTTTGATATTAGACACAAAAACATGCTTTCTCTGAATAAACACACTTTTACAGATTCTATTATAATATAGAGGGGAGAACCGCAATCTGAAATATAGGGTCCTAATAGTTTAATCAGGAGAACAATCCAAAGTTTGTTATACATTTTTTGTAGTTCGCCATATCTCAAAAACTTTTTAGGCAAATTGAAAAATTTCTGCTCACAATTATAAAATTCGTTTTTCTAAAGATAATGACAAAAAATATAAATTTTAATTATTATTTTATTTAATAATAGTCAAAACATTTTTGAATTATAAAGCATACAAATTTTACATCATTTTAGAGAATATTACTACAAAATTTGAACAAATTAGTTAAATAATTAATTTTAAAAAGGTTATATATTAATGATAGGGCCTGCACTAATTAATTAGCAGATTGAATTCTAGTACATTAAATCCAATTACCTAAGTGGCAGAATCATGGCAACATTGTCGCAGAACGTTACAGAGTTCTTGCAGAAAGATTTTCTTTTGAAAAGTAAAAAATTCTAGTTTTCTTTTTTACAGAAATTTACACATAATATTTGCATCACGCATTGAGATAATGACTTTTTAATGCTCTCAATTTACACCGATATTCTCGTAAATCGGTGTAAAGTTTCGATTGTATTTACCGCAGTTATTGATATTGATTTTCACGTGGTTTTTAAATGTCCCGATATTTTTGAAACGATATAAAAAATTCAAATTGTGCATTTGAGTTTAATGTGCATTTGCATTGAGTTAATTGTGCATTTGGCTTTTTAAGGCAAATGTTCTATCAAGCCCGATTTGCGTGATTCTGTCGTCAATCTTTTTTCTGGCAATTATTACTACGAATTTCATGATTTTTAATTATTTTTTTTATTGTGGGGATTATTTGAAATGCGAAGAAAATAATTTTAGCATCCCTCCCCCCCAAAAAATGCCAGAATATCTCCCATAATATTAGAATAAAAAATAGTTATATGCTCAATTTTAAAAAAAATTCTTAGTTTTTTGTAAACACTGCGCTTTTGTTATTTTAGATGAATAACATATATGTTTGTTATTATATTAAAAGTATCTTGCAGAAAGTTATTAGTGCTAGACAGTTTTGTGGCAGATAGTTCAAAAAAATTCTGCCACGGGACATGTCACTAAATCAAAAGTAATCTGTTTTTTTTTTTCTACAAGTATGCAAAGAGTGGTGATAACTTCCATGTATATTGAATTTTCTAAATAAAATGGCTGGCAGCTGTAAAAATGTTTTTTTTTATTTTTTGGCAGAACAATTTGAAGTAATGCAAGAAGAACTTGAGAGAAGAAGAGAAGAATGTATTCAACTACGAACTATTCTTGCAGATCGAAATCTTCCACTCCCTATAGGAGGAGGTGAAGTAATCAATGAGGATGGAGAACTTCTCATGGCATTTGAAACTCAGAAAATTATAATCAGGTCTTTTATCTTCTTGTTCAGAAATAAAATTTGTTTAATGCCTAATTTAAAAGACGTTTTATACAACATCTTATTACAAATTAACTATGGATCCAATAGTTTATTCTTTAAGAAAATGAGCAAAATTTATGAGGAGAATCAAATGCATTTTAAGTTTTGTCCAGAATTAAAAGCCTATTAACTGTTTCCCTTACCAGTTTTTTTTTATTGCAAAAAATCAACGTATATTTTTATTTTATTAATAAATACAAGGAACTGAAACATAACATAATACGTATCTACATGTATAGTAGTTTATACACCTTAAAATGACACTAGTTAGAATTTTGTAAAAGCTAACTGTATATTTCTGTGTTATTGTACTTCTGATAAGTGTTTGGAAAGTTGCAATTTCTGTGTATGCAGTCAGTCCTGCTTAAAAGAATACCATTGGTATTCTAATGATATTATTTGATTATAGGAGAGAATATTTTCATGACAATATTGTAAAAATTCCAAGTGACAATTTTGTAAAAAAGGATTTTAAAAAAAAATCATAAATATGATTCACTTTAAAATGAAGAAAATTGTGATCGCCTTGCAGCGATCACAGGTTCCCCATTGGCAAAATGATTGTTTTCTAATTTTTTTTTTAGAAAAGAAACTTTATTGGGTTTTCATCTTGGACATCTTTAACTGTTAATCCTGAACTGCTCGGTACGCAATTTCGCAGACATATTTAAATGCAGCTCTGACACATTCTGCGTAAATTCTTTTGATGACTGAATAGACATTGAACAGCCAGTTGAGATCAATATTAACATTTTCGGATTGGCATATGGTGTGTGATGGAGATTGTCAGCTGCATCATACACTCGTTTCGAATTCACAAGTTCATACATGAAAGATGATTTGAAAGCTAGGCTTTTATACAATTTAACAGGAATAGTGAATTAATCATTTATAGTGTGTGTAAGACAGCCTACTGTCTTGTCCAAGTTATTGGGTACGTTGACAATAGAGCCTTTTATCTCTAACTGGTGATCAACACCCAGTTCTCGTATTTGCATGAAAAGGGTTCGGAGAGTCACATTCGCTCTTCGGTAGGGTTCAATTCTCTCAACCACTTTGGAACTTTTGTGAGGAGCGGGCTTCATGCTTGCATTTGCGAACAAATCCTTTCTTTTTCTGTTCTACGTTCTTTGGCTTTTTCAGCCTTGACAAGTTTTTTTTTTTTTTTTGCTTTAACTCTAACTTTTGGGACTGTGTCAATCAGTTTGGACTCTCTTTATTTGTGATAATCACCTGAATTAGTCTTGAAAATGATCCAGTTTGAACTGTATGTTAGAATTTCTGATTCTTAATTGGAACAATAAAAGCAAAAATTTCCTTCAAATCAGTGCTCGAAAAACCACAATAACGGCGGTCAAAAATTCCCCGCTGACAAGGAATTTCTGGAATCCGCACGGACGGGCATTTTTTCGTTAAACATGTTTGTGATACATTTTCAATTTTTTGTTGTCTTACAGTAGTCTAGCGCCTCGCTTCTAAAAAGCCCCTCTAATCTAGAAATCCCCATAATTCTTTCGTCAGAACAAATGTGATTTGATTTCCCTGAGTGACTTTTTGAAAAACAGCTTTTGATATCTTTTAGCAACCGAAACATGCTGATGTTACTTGAACATTTTATTTTGCTTTTTTGAAGGAGTAGATAAAGAAGATTTTTCTCAAGAATGGGTGTCATTAAAATTTAAGTTACATAGCATCGTTAAACACCAGAAAACTTCAGCCCTCCAGGCCCAAGCTATTTATAAAGACCTAATGCAGCAAAATGACCCACAATACAGCAATATACTGTGCATGGCGGAATTGATGTTTTCTCTGTCTGGGAGTACCGCAGCGGTTGAAAGGGGCTTTTCAGCAATGAACTTACAAAAAAAAAAACACATTACGTACTGGTCTTAAACAAGAAGCGTTAAACACAATTATGAGCATCTACCTAAATGAAAACCCCTTTCAGATTTCCGTGCAGAAACCTCTGTAAATCATTGGCTTGATTGTGGAGCTGGCAAGCGTCATATTTGGTTTATTTAAAAAGCGCAGTACCCTCAGATAAATTGACATTCCAAATAACTTCACCTTTGTCATTTAAATTATTTCATAAAAGAAATAAATTATTTCATAAAAGAAATGCTAGGTTACTATTAGTAACCTAGTATTTTTTTTATTACTGTATAATGCAATCCTAGTTTTTGTAAAGCTAGTAACTACTAATTCATTGTGCAATTCATATAAATGAAAGAAAGTTATATTTTTATTTATTTAGAAGCTACGGGTTAGTTTCAAAGGAGGACGGGCACATTGTTGGACAAACCATCCTCGGGGACGGGTAAAATTTCTGATTTTTTTTTTGAGCCCTGCTTCAAATGATAAAATTATCTTTCATTCACAACTCAAAAAGTATTTATGGGATTTCTCTGGTCCCATATCTCAAAAATGAACTCCCCTACTTAATGCATAACAAAATTAAAAGTAAAAACTAAAAAAATGATCAAGCAGCAGCAGTTACAATAGAAACCCATGCGCACTGTTTACTATTACTCTTGATTATTGTAGTTGAAAAGTGTGAGGACGCCATCAGATCCAAACCAATACCCATTTTGCCAATGGGTAATAATTCAATTTGCAATTAAATGTTGCGTCCTTTATTAATTTATTTAACATTGTTTGTAGACAACAAGAAGCAGAAATACAGTCAGTGAAAAGCGAATCTCAGAAAGTAGAGAAAGAGCTTAGACATGAACTTCAAAAGTTACAGGAAGACAATGAAAGACAACAGAAACTTCTTAGCCAGGTATTTATATTTTACAGTTGTTTAATTCTTACCTTTAATTTATAAACAGTCTCCGTGTTTGAGGTTTTACTGCATGTATCAATATATTTGCGATGCACGTATTGATGTATTTCGTTCTAGTGATACAGGGATGCCGATTTACAGGGAATTTAAAAATACCCTAAAATAACAGGGAATTTAGATTTTTTTCTTTAGAAAGGAAAATACAAGGAATTTTTTTCTTCTTATTTTCGTTTTTTAAAAAATGGCGACCATTAAATGTGTAATCTACGGGATATTGAAGGATGATATTTCAGTTACACTAAACTAGGTATTTCATTTACTATAATAGCAGTGTTTAAGTATGTTCAGCAGTTTCTTTTTTCCTCATAAGTTTTTCCAGTAATTAAAACTAGTATAGTTAGCCCAATATAGCCCACAAAAGAGTGCAGTAATTGTTTCCTCTCAACATATTGTGTGTAATATGTACAGGGAAAACGCAGGGAATTTTTTTTCCAGATTTGAGTGGCAACCCTGTGATTTTAATTCAATATCCGAAAGTACTTATTTTTGTATAATTTTTTGGTATGAAGTTATCTTTGCAGTTAATTTGTCTTTATTTTAATTAGTTTTTTGAAGATTCTCTTTTTAAATTTTTTTTCATCATAATCTATGCATACGCACCCACACAAACAAGTCAAAATTGCTAAGTTTAAAAAAATTGAGAGAAGGGAAAAAAATAACAATTTTTAATTTTTTTTAACATCTGTTTAATGCTGAAAATCCCTGTTTTCTGTACTACACAATTTTTTCATAAAAGGTGTGATATGTTAATATTAAAGGGTATAATGAGAAAACTATAATAGTTGTCTATAAAAAACATTAAATAATGAAATAGAAGACTGCAAATATTTTAGCTTATAAAAATAACTAGTAATGGAAGTCTGACTAACAGCTACAGACAATAAAGAATAAAAGAAACTAGAATTATAAAGACAGGAAATGTATATAAAAAAATTACGTTTAATAAAAATCTACATTGTATCAGCTATTCATGTAATTTGTCTCTGAATATTGTCTTATAACAATCAGTCGAATCTTTTTATTCAAGTTCAGCAGTTTTTATAAACTATTCTCTTTTGCTTCTTTGCATTGTTTTCTATGTAAGCTAAAATTATTGAAGCTGAGGGAGAAAAATAAAGTTTGGGTGAAATGATACAAGGGAGAATAAAAAACACATTAAATGCGAAACTGTTCAAAAACACCTCACATTAAGTAAATCTTCAGAAATATAACAAAATAATTGTATAAAAGTGAGCCTAGGTGCTGAGAATGAATATCTAGTTACAAATGAATGTGTGCAAGCTAAAAAAAAAATATTGTATAATTTTATTTCCTTCCTGTTTTCAGATCTTTGAGTCAAACATAATGAAGTGGTATATTAATTGGACCAAAAATAATTTGTTTAACTACTGGCATCTCTTTCAATCTAGCTAAATTTATAACAATAATAAACCACATGAATTATAGCAATAATAAACCATATTTTTGTCATTGAAAAGTTACATAGTTTTAAATAATGTAAAAATTTGTGTACTTTATGAGCATTATAAGTTATTTTCAATTTAAAATAATTCAATTAATTATTGTTAAATATGGAAATATGTTTAAAATTGTTAAACATGGACAATTAAAGTTTTAATGGTGAACAAATTTTATAGATTTGCCTTTATGAGAATTAGGATAGATTGAAAAAAGTACCTAAATATATCATTAAGCGACTTATAGGACTTTTGAAAGCAACTGCCCAGACTCCTTTCTGCATTTGAAATCATTTTACAGAAATTGTTTATTCATAGAAACCTTGTTTTTGTGGCTTATTTTGCATGATTGTGTTTACTAATTATCATTTATGTCTATCCCTCAAATTATTGAAATTATGTTAGAGTAATTAATTTGAACATTGAAGATCTGTGTATCAGAAGTTTTTTAGGGTGTTTTTTTTACTCTGGTCAAATTAGAGAGAAATATTCACTGTTCTGATTTTCGCATAACTGAAATGCATAAGTAGATAAGAGCTGCTAGTTCATTCAATTATAAGTTGTTTTCTATTTAAATGGCATTGAATCAGCTGAATAAAATAAGTGCAAAATGTAAACAAAAAATAAATAAAAATAATGAATAAACTTGACTCTTTGTATTATTATGGATCTGCGTTAAAAGAAAGCAATGAAATTGTTTTTTCTTTCTTTTGCGATTTTTGCAGCAATGTCAAAATGCCTTTTTCTCACATGTATGTAAGTTTCTTTCCATTTTTCTTTTTAAAAAAAAGATTGTAGAGTGCAGAATTTTATAAAATTTTTGGTAATTATTTGTATGCCTCTTAAATGTTGTATGACTTTTAAAGAGAAATATTTTCAATTCTGATGCTCTTTCATTCAATTTTAAGTTATTTTCCATTTAAATGACATTGAATTTGTTAAATAAAGGGAATGGAAAATGCAAATTATAAATAACAGCAAAAATATACTTCCACATATACATTCTGGAATTAAATTTTTAAAAAAATTGTCATTTTAACAAAATGTCTTTTTTTTTTCATACTGTATGTAAGTTTGTCTCTTTAAATAAGGCCCTTGTGTCAAGAATAGCATAAAATGTCATTTCTTCTCAAACCTAATGCTATTTTCCATTTAAGGAAATTTAGATCTGTAAATATTTTACTTAATCTGTCTTAAATGTATTTTCTTATTTAGAATTTGAAGAAAACTCCTCAGGCTCAAACAGAAGCTATATTGCAACATGAAATTAATAGATTGACTGGTGAAAATGTGGTAAGTGTATTTCAGAAATATTTGTCATTAATTATTGCTGATGCTCAATTAATTGCATCTTTTATATTCATTGTTTTTATGATGTCATTATTTTGTTGGTTAATAGGATCTTCGAGAAAAAATCGATAACCTGACAGAGCAAACCAAAAAATTTAAAAAGCAATTGAAAATTTATGCAAAGAAAGCAAAAGATACAGGTATATTTTTGCATTATAAGCCTATCCTTAATATTCAACTTGTCTATACTGCTTGTTTTGAATTTTCTGTAACACCTAAAAAATACTCTACTTTCAATTTTAAAATTAACTGATTTTCATAGAATTCAATTAACTAAACAGTTTGTGTCTTATTTTTGTACATTCATTGTTTTTTAGTGAGTTTCATTTTAGATGTATGTTTATTTCTAAATATTCATATTTTCCTTGATATTATTTTCTAAAATTAAAGTAAGAAATGCCGATAATAAATATCTTGAAATGAAATCGCAAATCAATAAAGTAAAATAAAGGCAAATGAGTGAATATGAATAACATTGCACCAAAGAGTAAACAAAAGAGAATTCATAACATCATTACAAATTTAAGGAATTGTCACATATTAGTTGCTTTCATTTCTAATTCTATTGTCCATTGATTTCACCAAAACTTAAATTCAGTTAAGGATAGAAGGTAATATAACAAAAAGAATTAATTTGGTTTTTCATTGATTATATTGATAAGAAATAATAGCTTTGCTTTACTTCAGCTGAAAGAAAAGTATTAAAATCTGCAAAAGTCAGCTTTTCATTGGGTCGAGTACCCTTCGTTATTTGCTTTCTCTAGAATAGAGATCACCTGTGGTCTGATGGCCAAATGATTGGATCTGCAAAGAGTGATCATTTTTAAAGAGACTTTGCAAGTAATTGTTTCAAAAATGGTTGAATGTCCAACCCTTTGTTTATGGAATTCAAGGCACAATCAAAAGGATCCATGAACATCATAAAAATTGAGCTATTAGTAATAATTCCGGTAATTGAAGATATTATTTCCAATGTTATACTAAAATCTTATTTTTAAAAAAAAGAAATTTTCTGTAAGAATAAAGTGCAAATTTAAGAACTATGCTTTGTGGAATTCAAATATGCTCTCTGTTGAACTTTTGGGTATTGATTTTCCATTAATCTTCCCTCTTTTCTACAGGCAAACCTTCTTCTGCGTCAATCAGTCCTCACAGTGAGTTCCATTTCTTTTATCCTTAATTAGGACTAAAAATAACAGGGTTGGACCCAATGTTTTTTCCAAAAAACTCACCATTTCATGTTTTTTCAAAAACATTTTTATATCATGTGTTTGCTTTATGTTATGCTACACCTAATAATAAAATTTTGTTCAATTGTTTGCATTTCCAATGTTTTATATATATATAGTTTTGGGGATTTTTTAAAAAAATCCTGAGAGGTTAAGTTTTTTCACATTTCTGGGTTTTTTTATCAACCCTGTTAAAAAGTTTTCACAATTTCAGGTTTTTCTGAAATCTTTTGCCAACCCTGTTAAAAAGTTTAATTAGTTTTTCAAGTCAGTTTTGAAATTTCGAATTACTTTCAACTCAAGAAAAAATTCAGCCTAATTATTGTTTCAAAAGATATTTCATTTTGAAAGGAGAAATCATGTACTTAATTCTTACCTATTATAATAATAATAATCTAATCTATTATAATAACGAAATTAATCTTTTTAACTTGTCTTCCTTATTTCTGGGGGATTACCTAACACAACAAATGTTACACATGCAAAAAGATTTTGAAATTGTATTTTTAAATGAATGGAAAGGATTCATCAACATTTATAGTCTTTTCCTAACAGAAATATTTATGCATTTTCTTTTCTAAATTTTTTCTGTAAAATTTCTCTGTAGTTGCTTCTCATTCATTATTGTTCTATTTTCCTTCCTAAACGTCGGTATATTTTGAAGTAAATATCATTTTGTTATTAAAATATGTACCTAATTATAATTTCATGTAAAAACATTTTTGTATTAGTATAGTACATAATAAAATGAACGATTTTAATATTTTGAAAAACAATCAACTGTACATTAGAAATATATGTATATTTGAACATATCAAAGTAAAAAGGTAATAAATAAGAGTCATTTTACGTGTTAAGAATGTATAATCGCAACACCTAATCATTCATTTATTTTGTTTATTCATTTATTTTTGTTTACTTTTGTTGTTTTTCTTACTGTTACCGTGTTTGAAAGACACAAACTACTGCTAGGCATTTTAACCAGTGATCGTTTTATTTATATATTGTTGAATTCATTTAAAATACTTTAATTATTGCAAAGAAATTAAGAATAACAAACGAACTAATTGGCATGGAGAGAACTTACCCATACTGATCTTCATCATTATTGTTGGTGAACCCCTCACTACTCGGTGCTGTAGTCTTTTTATTAATCTTATATACTATACTTTTTTTTATAGAACTATTGCTGTATAAATTCCGGAAAGGTCTCGTAAGAGATCAAACTTGGACTATAGACTCGTGATCAACCCTTTTCGGCATGTATTTCTTAACACTTTAATCGAGAGAGTTTATTTATATTTGTTAAGGTTCTATGTACAAATGGAAGTTTCTGCAGTATTTTCAATCTAATCAATTATTTTGGACTTTACGATAAATCTTTTTTAAATGTTTTATTGTGATCCTAAATTAAGTGACCATAAGCGTCACATTAGACTAACAAGATTAATCAACATTTTTTTGCACACAAATATAAAACTTATTTATCCAAAGATATTTCTGAGTTGAAGATTATTATTTTTTTCATTTAATATATTAAAGATCAAACAAAATGTTGAATTGTAAGGTACACAAATTAAATACCAATTCAATCAGTAATTGTAATGGAAAAAATTCTCTCCACAATTTGGAAGGAATGGGTCGTATGTTTCTTGAGAGCTAATTTAAAAAATACTTGACCAGGCAAAATATGCAAAGAGTAACAAACTTAAACTTGTAACTGGAATTAGTTTTTTATCTGCTACATAATTTTCAAAGCATAAAAGTTAAGACATAAATTATTTGATACGAAAAAAACATCTCCTTTTTTCATTTTTAAAACACATGCTCTCCAACAGCTGAATTGTATTAAATGGCGGTAATGATTTTATTAAAGGATAGTTATGATAATTTTTTAAATTGCAATGTTTCTGTTCTTGTAGATTTGATATTAAAAGCACTTAAATCAGGTTTTTTATGAGTGGGGAACACTGTATTATGAATTAAACGCATCCATTTAAAATTAGTGAAAAATTCGTGTTCTTAATATGTTAAATAGGATCATTAATAAATTAAATAAGTAAAAGCATTTCTTTTAGATAAAAAAGTGTATTGTTTTCAGCATGTTGCGTAACATTTTGTTATATTGTTTTACTAAAAAAAAAAGAAAGGGAATATTTGTGATCTAATATTTTGAAAGGTCCACTGCTAAATGCTTCTAATTGTCTAACTCAATTTTAAAAGAATTTATCAAAGAAAGAATAAAAAGCACCCTAAAGAAGACAGAAATGTTTCATCTTCTCAATTAACTCAATTAACGTTCTCTCTTTAACATGTTTTATACATCTTGGATGTCACTTTCTATGGAACGAACTTCAGTTATTTCTACATTTAAAAAACATCAGGCTAACAGGGATTTAAGAAAACTGATTTAGGAAATGTTGTTTCTGTGTACTTATAGTTGTTCTTTTTATTTGTCAACAGCTATTTACATAGTTTCTTTAAAACCATTTTTGTATCAATTATGATCATTTGAATTTAAAAAAGTTATTTGGCACTTTAATTAGTCACTTGGTAATTTTTTTAACCATTAGAATAACCATACATTTTGCCTTTTTTCAGGTTACTTCAATCAAAGTTACAAAATCCATTAAACTTGCTTTGGTGCAATATAATCAATTTAAAAGGGTGAAGTGATTTTAATATTTATGTGTACCCTGTTTTAATTTCAAAAAATCTTAAGAACACTAAACTTCTATAACTGTTTGGGGGGAGTCACACTGATGCTGTTGAGCCATGCTTATAAAAGAGATGCTCTTAGCAAATAAAAATTAATTTTATTTTCTGAAAAAATATCATAAATTATACTTAATTATTCACCTTTTTTTATTTCTAATGTGTTAATTTCACTGCATTCATTAGCATACATTAAAAAATAATTATCCTTAAAAAAATGAAATCTCATATTACATATTTTATTTCTTCGCAATTAATTTTAAAAACTATATCTATTTCTGTGTATGCCCATTCTTTATATGTAGTGAGACAATATGCTTTAATGTGATTCTTTTTAAAATGAATAGCTCCTAAATATATTGCTTCGCTTGGTTGTTTTTCAGCTTCAAAACAACATTGCATTGTAATTGTGGGGATTTCCAAATGCTTTCTCAGTGAAACAGATTTGCATCTTTGAATATACACTTCCCTTAACCACAGCTTGTAAGGGGTGATTGTATTCTGTGTGTACCCTGGAATTAGTAGCAAGGCATGTGATTTTTTCGCAGAATTCTGTATATCTCAAGACCATTGATTTGCGGACTTCAACGAATAAGAACTTATAATCCGACAAAATTTTCACCACAATTTAAAGTTAGAGTACGAATTAAGTTCTGCAATCTAGAATTTAAACTTTGAAGTCTTCGTTGGATCGCTTAAACGAGATGTTTTTAAACACATGACTCTTCCGCAATTATAATTGTTAGTTTGTTGCTGGAATCCTCTAATGTCAAAATTCATATGCTCTCAATTTTATTAGCTAGCATCGCTTTTCGTATTTACCTGATTTAACAGTTATTCATTGCGAATCCTATTCATTTGATTTCAAAATAGCGCATCGCGTTTCATAATCAAGCGAGTTTAAAATCTGATGTCGCTATTCCCATTAACTGGATCTAAAAAATCATGTGTATCGCGATTTGTATTTACATGATTCAAAAATCCAATATTGCGATACTTGTAAGAACTAAGTTTTTTCTTAAATGAGTTACTATAGAAGTGTGATATTCTTTATTGATAAGTATTTTAATTATAAAATATTATATTAATATTGAATAGTATAGGGGTGCACAACCTTTTTGAGTGAAGGGCCACATGCGCAGCAGATTGACTAATGAAGGGCCGCATGCCAAAGGGAACACCCAAAGTATTTAGACAAACATATTCATAGCAATTTTAGGTAGTAATTGTTATAAAAACATTGTTCTAACCNGTAGCAACAACTGCCGAAAAAGATTAGATTTTTCATGAAGTTTGCACAAATAAAGCGTTTCATAACTTTTTAAAAATCGCGATTTCAGAAAATACGTGAAAATGGGCAGCAATAACTACCGGAAAGTCATTGAATTTACGATAAAATCGGAGCACTCGAAGAGAGTCAAAAGTAATAACTAAAATTAGAAATTCGTATATCGTAATAATGATGTGTTCAAAATAATGGTATTTTCAAAACTATGCCTAAATCTGTAGAGATAACCATCGAAAAAAAGCGATCGAAAACTACATTGAGTGAAATTGGGTGCGTCAAAAACTTAAATGCGGAAATTTCAAATTTCCGAATTTTTTTTTTATTTAAAAAAAAATGTAATTATTTTTTTTCATTTTGTTCAGATTGCGGTAGGGGGCCGCACATTGAGGGTTGGCGGGCCGCATTTGGCCCGCAGGCCGCAGGTTGTGCACCCCTAGAATAGTATATAAGTTAATATCTTATCGGGTTTTGACGCATAAAATTTTCACAGTTTTTCAGTTTGTGTCACAATCACCCCTGGCCTGTTCTTAACTAATCTCAAGAAACTGCAGTTTCAACTCCTGGTTGTCTTTTCTTTCAAACATTCTCTCTGTTTTGATTGGCCGAGATGCCTCACTCGGCACTGTTTTGATTCATTATTGATAAGACAAACCAGGCAGCAGGCGGTCTCAGTACTGACACAAAATATCTTAAGTGGTCCCTTTGCTTTCAGGCATGAGGTTGCTCTCTGTGTAACTCAAATGCAGGATCAGAATGGGTTGGGCTACAGAGTTGATAACTGTTGCTTTTTAGCTAGGTGATAAAATAAGAAATGATAAATTAACAAATAATTTAGAATTCCAATGCTAAATTACAAAAATTAACTGTGATTGTTAGAAGTTGTTGTCCTATTATAAAATCTAGGGTGGCTGTTAAGACTTGAATGACGCATTAGTTTTTCCATGATCCATTCATATCTATTTTTTGCAGGTGGTGAACCCATGGATATTGAAGGAGGCAAAGAAAAAACAAATGACATGCCCCTCATAAAGCACAAAGATGTTGAATACCTTGGAATGTTTGAATACAAGACTCAGGATGAGCCAACCATCATTAAAAATTTAATTTATGGTATAGAACTCCACTTTCATGCATATATTTTTCTTTTCAGCCACCTAAATCAACTGATGTGTCAGATTCATATCTCCACTGGTGTTTTGAGAATATTTTCCTTTTATGTTTACAATACAAAGTCCGGTTTCCCAGAAGGGTTCAAAATCAAAATAATTTCCTTTATTTAAAAAAAAATCACTTTTTGTGTACTTGCCATTTAGTCATTTCTGGTGATTTATCATTCTGATGATGGGTCATTTCTGGTGATGCGGGTTCCATTAAAAAAATGCAGCTCTACTCAAATAATTATGGCATTTTTTCAAAACACTTTATGGATAGGGAAATGAAAGGATCATCAGTTAAAATAAAGGGAGAGGGGAAACATTCCCCTGATTATGTATTATTTAACAGTGTGCATTTTTTAAAAGCCCTCAAAGGTGCTTTTTTCATTGGGTGTTTTTAAAAAGTGCTTAATTTTCCCTTTTATAAATTGAGATCTTTTGTTTACCATGTTAATTTTCGCTACGAATTATGCAAAAAGACATTGTTCACATTGTTTTATTCAACGTTTTCACAATTAATTTAACCCCAACCTATTTCCTTGGCGCATCGTCAGTCTGTAGTGTATGAAAACGCCATTCGATTTACATAATTCAAAAATTTTAACAATTGTCAAAAACAATGCCAAAAGGTTTTGTTTTTTTTGACCTGACGATTAATACCAGATTAAACCGTCAATTGTCAAAAACTTTCCAACCCTACCTAATTATGATATTTTTTTAAAGTGCTTAAAAATATTATTTGAGTGCTTGAAAAGTGCTTAAAAGGTGCTTATTTTTTGTTTAATAATTTGGCTACTCACCCTGTTTAAGGAGTAGAGAAAAAGATTTACTTTTAATCCTGGGTGATTGGTTGGCACACAATAGTAATGAAGCGAGTCAATTCTGCAGCCCATGGATAATGGCTTGCGGACCATCCAATAGAAATAAAGGCACAGGTGACCTTTCTGAGGCAATATTTACAAAACTATGTAAAAACTGATATCATGACGGCATTATGGAAAGTGGCAAAGGAAGAAATTGCTGGGAATGCCTTAACTATGTTTTTTTGGTGATGAGAACTGTTTTCAATTCCACGGAAGTGTCAACTTTTAAGTGAAATTTTTTTTTTTTTATGAATTGCATATTTTAATTTTAAAAATATGTTCAAAAATAGCCAAAGTCTACATATTGCCGTTTCATTTTTGATAATTTTTAATTTTTTGAATCTGGCAGCATTCTTAAGTAATCACATGGTTGACAAGTGAATTGTTCACATTTGTGCTCAAATTGTTTTCTTGAAAAATACTTTTAAAATAAAAGAAATGTATCTTTCTTTTGCAATATTTTGATAAAAATATACATATAGAACAAAATTTAAACATTTTAAGTTTAATATATAAAATAAAAGTAACTTCTTTTACGTCATTCCGTCACATGTCTTAATAATGCATAAATTTCCTGAGAACGAAGATAAGATGTGACATTGGCAAGTTAGATATAAAACCTCTTCAGAGACAACCTAATTTTCAAACTGTTGAAATTTTTACTAATTCTTACATAAATATTAATCCTGTTTATCTGTTACATTCTGTTTATCATTTACATATTAATAAAACATTTTTTAAATGAAGGCTTTCTTCTACTAAACTTTTTGTCATTCCGTCACGGTCATTCCGTCACAGCAAATAGATGTTAATAACTGCTAGCCAACCTGAGGTTAATTTTCCAAATTCACATTTTACATTGCTTACACATTATACTAAAAGTATAAAATAGTTCAGAAAAATAATAGCTGCAAAATTCGCAGAAACTACCAGTTCTAAGCGGCATGCCAAAAGCTTGGTTGCCAAAATGTCCTTCCGTCACGCAAATAAAAAGTTCGTAAAATTAAAAGTAAAAAAGATAGAAAATCCTGTTTGTTTTTTTTTAGTTTATGAAGCGCATTATGCCAATAATAATGATATGCATGAGGGAAAAAAAATTTATTTGAAATTAGATACATAGAAACTTCAATTAATTGTTATTTTGCAAGTCAAAATGTCATTCCGTCACATATGGAATTGCCCACTTACCTTAAGACAAAGAAATTAGGGAAAGAATGCTTGGAATAACATCAACTCTAATTTTTGGTAATAATGAGGAGAACCATATTCAGACCAAGCTATAAAGAGAAAGAGATATTATGGCCGATTTCAGGATTGCCACAGGCAACTAAAATGCACCTATTTTCAGCATGAGGCGACTATGGCAACTTTTTTTGCTTGATAAGGCTAAAAAAGCAACTATTTTCAGGAAAAGGAAACTTTTCTGTACTCTTAGCAATGTTTTTTTAGCATAAATTGAGTTGAAAACCTGCAACCCGCCAAATCTTCTGAACACACTGAATTTCTTTTCTTTAAAAAAAAAAACTTTAAAATAAGAGTAATAAAATTTAAAAAAATTAAATAAATAATTAAAGCATTACAAATTAAACAAATTTTAGATTGCAAATTTGAGTCATCACTTTTTAATGTGTTCAATTTGCACAGATTCTGTCGTAAGTCTATTTTGTTTCTCGATCGCCTTTTCAACGGTGTTTGCTATGAAATTCTGCATGATTTTGAAAACCCAATTTTTAATATGATATTGCGATGCATGAATTTTGAATTTGAGTAATCACTTTTCATAATATATATATATTTGCTAAATCAATTGATAAAAGGGAGAATTTCTTAGAAAAAGTGTGTTTTTTTAAATAAAAAAGTATTTTTTGAATGAATTCTAGCAATTAAAACTATTTAATTTTCTGAAAATATACAAAAAAATGTTATATAAAAATTTAGTGCTAAAACACTAATGTTTACATAAAAAGTATCATTGCCACCAAATTGACTAAATGGATCATGGTATATGACAATTAAGTCATTTAATAAAATTTTTGCTGAATTTTTGTTCTTATTTAGACAATTATTTTCGTAGTTTTTGGCAACTAGTTTCATGCGATAGGCTACAAAAAAGAACTATTTTACTCATTTTTTTTCCTGTGGCAACCATGCGATTTATTGTGTTACTTACTCTGAGTGAATTAAAACGAATGTCTTTTAGAAACAGAAAGACTTCATTTCTGATCTCTATAGCATCAAGGAAAAGTTGTAAAAACAAGCTTTCTTTTTTCAAAAAATATTCATACAGCCTATTTATTTTTATAAAGAATTTCTATCTACTTTAAATTCTTGATCCTTCATTTACTATTCAATGAATTCAATGTCTGCTTATAGTCAATATTATTTTTTGAATTTTGTTTTATTCAAATGATTGAATAAGCAGTTTTTTTCTGGTTTATGTAGATTATTGTTACGTTTATTTTTAAGCTTTCTTTTATTTTCATCTCCATGCTTTTCTTACTAATGAGCTGTGATTTACTGAGATTGATTATTTACGTGGTGTGTTATTGATTTATACTCTGGATTGACCTTTCCTTAATGCGTCATGGATACATCTATTTTATTGTTTTATATTTTGCTTTATTTGGGTAAATGATCATTGTTATATAATGTATAATGGTTTTTTATTTTTTTCCTCACTGGCAAAATTAATTATGTTTTTCGTTACAATAATTTAACGAGTATTTCAGATTACTTTTTAAATGGTTGAACACAGTATAACGCTTACTTTAATATTGAATTAAAAAAGGAGCCACATTTTAACCATTTTAGTATTCCAATTAAAAAAAATTATTTTTACTTCCAAAATTTTTTTTTACTATTTTTCTTATAATTTCCCTTCTACTGATGTACTTATAATTTCCCTTCCACTGATGTAGAATTAAAAAATGAGCCACATTTTAACCATTTTAGTATTCCAATTAAAAAAAAAAATTTTTTTACTTCCAAAATTTGTTTTTACTATTTTTCTTATAATTTCCCTTCCACTGATGTACGTGCGCAAAACGTATTCCTCTTGTAAATTGTGACGAATAACCAAATCATCTTTGATGATCGGTTCAGAGAGAGAAAACCTCTCAATTTTAAGGTCATTATAGGTGGAGAAAGAGATGTAATACATGTTAAAAACAGGTTCTCTGTGTTCCTGGTGATGTATAAATGTTAGGCTTATTTTATGCATATTTGTTTGTAAACAATCACTGATGTCTGTTTTTGCAACTGTTTAGTCTTTGTTTACAATATCAAGACAAATTGAAGCATTTATGTTGATCCAATAAATGGATTTATCTATACTTAATTCTACCTTGCTTAATTTAATAGAAATTACTTTTGATTGTGTAACAACTATTTAAATGAGACAATTCTGTGTAATACACTGAAACCCTCATTATAGTGAACTCCCAGATAGAGTGAACGAAATGTTCGCTCCCGTCTATACACATATAATATTTTTTTTTTGTGTGTGCATAGAGTGAACCAAAAGAAGAGAGGAAATTGCTTATTATCAACTTTTTTTCTCTCTTTGACTGATTTATTTTCTTCATTGTTTGGATAATTTTGAAATTTCTACATAAAATGCATATATTGATTTTTAAAACTATCTATTGAATGGAATGTAACCATTTTTCTTGTTTGCTTCTTCTATCTCAGTTTCCCATCCCTAAATGTTTTGTACGCAATATGAAAAGTCATAAAAAATAAAAGTGAACACATTTTTTGTAACTACATATTGTTTTTTCAATCTTTTTTGTACTTTTTTCTGTGGGTCATTTATTTAAATAATGTGTCATAAAAGGAAAGCAGTTCGGAAAAATGAGTTAAAATTGCTTACAGTACTGATATAGTGAACTCTCTGTTACAGTGAACAGAAATTTCAATCCCTTGAAAGTTCGCTATAGCGGGGTTTGACTGTATTAACTTTTCTTTTATATAAATGCATGTTAAAAGTTTATAAATGCTAATGTTATATTACAGATATGAAGCCAAAAATCGCTGCAACTTTAGTACCTGGTTTGCCAGCTTACATATTATTTATGTGTATTCGACATACAGATTACATGAACGATGACGAAAAAGTTAGGAGTCTACTAAATAACACAGTACATGGAATAAAAAGAGTTATCAAGGTACTGAAATCTTTTTTTTTAACAAGTCAAGGTGGTGAGTTCACTAATCAAAAAAGAATTCTCTTTTAATAGTTATCTCTTAATGGTGTATACCAACAAAACATTTCTTTTTTCAAAATAGAAGAATCAAATTAATCTTTACTTAACTAACAGAGTCTATGAAGGATTTTTTCTAAGTAATTCCTTTGTACCCGCTATCAAACTATGTGGGTTATTTTGAAATAGAGATCTGCATGCCATTTAAAAATAATCAATCGAATAATAAATAGCAATTTCTAAACTTCTTTCATAAAATCTGATGCGATTTATTTTTGTTCAAGTGAGCATTTGTATGATTTTGTTTCAGGCTAAATTAAATTACTATAAATTAATTTTATGTTTTCTTCTAACAAAATTTAAACTGTTAGCTTTTTACATTATTTTTAATATATATATATTAATCATAAAAAAGAAATTAACAACTAAAAAATGTTAACTCTTCATCAACCCGCATGATTATAGCCTCAAAAATAGTGCTTTCTGATATTGTATTAATGTTATTATCATTCTGATATTGTATAATATATAATTCTGATATTGTATTAATATATCTTTAGAAGCATATATAAAAATATGATTATAATATATATACATTAGTGGAAGATTTGTCTTTGAGACTAACTAGTTTGGAGACCCTCAATCTAGTTTATTACAGTCTTATATTTTCATTTCATTTTAGCAGGCTTCACAGTTTTCCTATTTTTCTTACATTTTTGAAGAAAAAAATGCTATTAAGTGTCTGTCTTATGTGTGTTCTACATTTGAAAAAAAATAGCATTTTGACTTGTATTTTTCTCAATATAAAGCTTAAGTTTCGTCATTTTTTTTAGGACTTCCTTGAAATGCTCCACAACAAAAAAATTCAAACTGAAAAATAAAAAAAAAGATTAAAAAACGTAACTGATTTATTGGAGAAAAAACTCCCTTCTTTTAAGTGAGGATTTTTCACCGCTATTTTTCTTCATGATTTCTATGGTTCCAAAAGCAAGGCAGTATTTCCTCGTACAGATTAGTTATGTTTACGCATGTTTATTTTTTTGCTGTTCTTATTGTGTTTCTATTTTCATGTGTAGTTGAATGATTATGGAGTCGTTTTCAATCTATATTTGTCGGCGCTCGTTTCGTTTTCAAAACATTTATTGTTACAAACAAAATTTAGTCAGGATTAATTAAATCAAAAGAATTTTTTTGGAAATGAATTACACATGTTCTCACAGTGAAAGTAAGTTTCATGGGTCATTTCTGCGAGAGAGAAAATGCAGCAATTTCTAATGGTAGAAAAATTCTACTGTTGTGGTACACAAATTGAATAAAATACATAGAAAATGCAAAAGAAGATGCTTTGGATTCATCACAGTCAAAATTAAAGAATTCTTTAACATTAAGTGGCGGCATCCGTGTTTCATTGGATCCAACAAATTCCAATTCTTACCCAGTTTTATATTTAAACCAAGAGGGATACAACTATTAAATTTGTTCATTTGATGGAATTAGTGAACTATTTCAAGCCATGTTCCCTAACAGGACTGAAGTTTCGTATGAAATGTCTTATGGAATGGTATCCTATTTTCTGACAAAAATGATATAAGTAGGGAACTTTTTTGCACTTCAATGTATGAGGAAGCTTTAAATAAATATAATTAAAAACAATTAGATATTAACCTGAGATTTTGCAGAAATGTTATTGTTCGAACTGAAATTTTGCATCATGCAACAGAGGAGATAATTGAAAACTTTATTTGTTTAAATAATCTCTTGTTATTTAAATTATTAATGTTAGGTTCTGATGGATGAAACATAGATCAATTAACCCAACAATCAAGCATGCAGGCCACAAGAAACAAAGCAACATACCTAGGTGGAGGCTGAGACTGGACTAATATTTTATGATAGATAAGAGATTGTATTTATGACAGCACTTCTACCATCTATATCAGCATTTGTGCTGCCAACTATGTACAACATGTTAAACTAACTAAAAAACATACCAGATTGAGCACCCATGTTCTACACATTGTGCTTTTAGTGAAGGATTTAAAATGGAAGGTTTTTTCTACCATAGTTGAAATATCGTCCAGGAGGTATCTTTCTAGAGAAGAAGGCTTATGAAATCCATTTGTTAAACCAAAGATATGGAACAAAATATTTTCCATACAATCATTCGTTTCAGTCATCAAAAGAACTCAAGTACTGCTTTTTAATTTATCTGCTAAAAAGGGAATAGAATCAGGGTGGCCACCCACCTGGAATTATCAGGGAATTTTTAATTCACACATAACTGCAAACTTATTAAGTCCTCTGTTATTAACTAGTACAGGGGGCTCAATTCTTTTAACCATGCTTTCTTTCTGGTAGAATATTTCATCTATTTTTTCTGGCCATTTACAATAGATTCCCACAGCAGCCATTACATTGACTTTAAATTCTTTCTCTGCAACAGACATTACCACACCAGGATATAACATGTCCTCCTATCTAACCATATATCAACCCCCAGTATTTATCTTGAATTCATCATTTTCTCTTTCAACATCTTTCACTAAAAAAAACTCTTCTGGTATGCCTTCTTGTACTCTTAAATGGTGGATCTGCTTAATGTTTTTAATCTGTGGAGATTTTGAGAATAGACTAGACACTCCACTTTGTTTT